TTAGTTCCTAGAGGAAATTAAGGCTTTAGCCGTACGTCTACATTGCAATCGGTTCTCTGTCACCGTTTTAATAATAATAATAATAATAACAGCTTTATTCCAAACAGTATTTGTGGAACAGGTATGGAATTTTCAGCGTACATTACAATGTTCATCTAAATACCTCATAAATTTTATAAGATTTTAAAATCAAAAAGCAACACCCAGAAAAACAAGATAAATAAAAAAATAAATAAAAAGAACAGCGTTGCGTTTACATTTTAAACAATGTACCAGAGGATAAGAAATATAAAATCAGTGTGTAATAGAAGATTTGAGCAACCATATAATAGTAACGAAGAAAGGAAAACAAAAACTAATGGGACTATTTGTTAGAGTGACGCAGTAAGTTGATCGTGTCATACCTAACAGATTTCTCATCACATAACAGCTGTGCCAGATATGGTATTGTGGAGTTTTTGTATTTGGTAGTCCATGCATATAGCCGCCTATAGCTGTTTCTAGTTCTACCAGATGAAATGCAAGGAGAGAGCTGAGTATAGAGAGGATGCTCAGGGTCTGACAATATTGTATTCGCTAGTTTCTTACATGACATTATATGTCTATCCACAATAGTATTAACCAGTTGGCTTAACGATACCCCACTTGCCCTACTAACGGCTTTTAGTGCCCTTCTCAGCAAAGCAAAGTCTTTCTTAAGTCTGTCTGTCTGTTTTCGACATAGAACTTTGCACAAATGTGAGGAAGTTCAAGTCGCCACATTCCGTGTAGCACGCGAAGCAAGAGAAGAAAGTACAAGAAAAGCATAATAGAAACAGTGAGCAGAGGTGTGAGACAAAGGAGTAATAAAGAAATACAAAACAGTTTCATTGGAGATCATAAGTCACAGGGAGTGGATGCATCTGCGCTGGCCACTGAGAACGATTTTGAGCCATGTCACCAATTGTTTCCAACCATAGATTTTTACCGTCCCGAGGACCCCAACCAGCTATGAAGTCTACACCTTTCTACGTGGCTTAGACCAACTGTTGTGGATTTCATTGACTGATGCCAAGTTTTTGTTTGACCGTCGCTAGCTTTTTTCCAGCCTGACCCTATATCCGCTAACATTGCTCGTCGAGGGAGGCGATGACTTGGCATACGTGACACATGTCCTAACCATCTCAGTCGATGTAGCTTCACGACTTCGTCGATTGATTTCCCCTCCTTACCTAGAACTCTACGCCTAACCTCCATGTTGCTCACCTTATTATGCCACTTTACACGGGAAATAGAGCTCAGGCACCTATGATCAAAGACAGCTAGTCTTTTCATGTCTTCCACTCTCAGTGGCCAGGTCTCACTGACAGCCATAAAGGAGGACGGAGCGGACTGATGAGCAGTACACCCGCCCTTTGGTCGATAGTCGAACATCTCGTCTACGCCAGAGTCGGCGCAAACTAACAAATGCGAAACGAGCCCCCTGTATTCGTGCTGAGATTTCGTCGGAGATCAACCTGTTGGCACTGGCTGATGGTACTTCCCAAATAAGTGAAGCGGTCAACGTGCTCTACCACTTCACTTCCTATTTTTAAACTAGGCGTCGATGTAGTCCAGTCCTGTAACATCATCTTGCATTTGGCGGGAGCGAATCGCATGCCAAACATTCGTAGATTGCGGCTCAAGGTGTTTAGAAGACTCTGCATTTCGTCAGCGTCTTCGCCTAGAAGGACTATATCGTCTGCATATTCCAAGTCAACGAGATTATTCCCTGGTAGCAAGTCAATTCCTGAGTCACTGAAGTCACCTAGGGTTAAGTCCATTAACACATCTATGATGAAGTTGAATAGAAAAGGAGATAATGGGCATCCTTGACGGACACCACTGGTCGTCATCAGTTCAGATGACAGCTCGCCGTAAGCCCTCACCTGGCTGTATGAGTACGAGTAGAGTGAGTGTCTTGATCAGTGCAATATATTTTCTTGGAATTCCCTTTACAGCCAAGCATCTCCAGAGAACTTCCCGATCGACAGAGTCGAATGCTGCCTTTAGGTCAAGAAATATAATGACTGTTGGACGCCGATAGGAATGACTATGTTCTAGAATCTGTCGGAGGGTGAAGATATGATCAATACACCCTCTTCCTGGTCTAAAGCCTGCCTGGCTCTCTCTTGTCTGTGCTTCTTAAGTAGTCCATGGATCCACGTCTACCTACATGCTCCCAACTCCTCTTCACAAGACCTCCTTCATGACACCCTCGGGCTGACGACCAACTCGCTGCTTCCCATTCGGGTTCCACTCGACCAACGGCCTGGGATATGATGTCACTTGATGGTGTGTTTTCTCAGAGTATGGCGAATCTACCTCCATTTCTTGCTGTCTATTTGTTGCACAACCGGTTCCTACTGGGTTGGTTCGCTCATTGCCAGAAATCTATGTTGCTGATCTTTTCTGGCTGGCCATCTGATCTTGAGTAGTATTGAGCGAAGACAGCTGTTGATGAAGGTCTGTAGTTATTCGAAGTAACCTTCGTGACACACCGAGTCTCTGATCCATAAAATAGCACTGACCTCAAACTAGATTTGAAAACCCGGATCTGTGGACCTCCACAGATCCACAGAATAATGAAAGCTTGTCTTGCTTTCCCGATCCTCGCTGCTTTGATATCCTCGTCAGTTTTGTTCGCCTGTAGTTGAAACGACGCTTCCAAGGTAGGTAGGTAGGTGAAGGAGGCTGCTTCTTTCAGGTTCCTCCCATTTATGCTGGCTGATTGTTGTCTGTTGTTGTTGGTGGTGGTGTTTGTGTTGGTCAGGAATCTTCATCACCTCTGTTTTCTCCATGTTCAGCTGGAGACCTATCTTCCCTGGATGCTCCTTCTGCCAACTTGTTGCTTTTCACTTGCGTATCTTCCAGTTTGTGGAAAATCAGACATATATATGTCATCGGCGAAGTTCAGATCCTCCAAATTTTTGTGTGGGTTCATTTAATGCTTGTCTCCTCATTGCCCACTGTCTGTCGCATTATCCAATCTACTGCAATCAGGAAAATCATTGGAGATGGTAGGAAACCAGCCTTGTCTTACTATCATCTTCACTTCAAAGGATTCCGTAAGTTTCCCATTGTGGATTACTCAACATGCAGCATTGTCGCACAACTGTCGGATGAGATGTATAACCGTCAGCGGAACCCCGTAGTAGCAAAGTAGTTGTCCTGGTTTTGAACCTCAGTGGGTGCATAATGCTGAAGAGTCCTAAACCAGGATGGAACAGCTGTCCAGTACTCCCGAGTTTTTGTGTGTCGGTGACACAGCGGTTAGGACGCTCGGCGATCATGCACATGGTCCGAGGTTCGATCCCTGGCCGGCGAACTCCCTCACCTCGCTAAGCCAGAAATAATGCTGGTAAATAGGAAAGTTTGGGCATGAGGTCAGCAGCAACCCCATCCTGTAAAAATAAACACTACTACAGAAACTTCAAGCCAATAGTTTGAAGCTCTACATTCCACTGGGAACGTGAAGGAAAAGAAGAAAAGGAAAAAGGACCGTCGATGGCCAAGCAGTCCTGGATAACTGTTTCGTCGTTGTTTGGGACGCTCAATGACACACACACCCACGACTTTGTCAGAAATCGAAACCAAGATGAATTCAGATAGTAAGACGAGTTTGTTAACCCGTTCAGGTAGTGAGACATGTCTTCTGAAACAACATAGAAGGCTTATAGTTCTGATGGATGAATTTCCATATGGTTGTGTCCTTCCTAGCTGGATGGTCGTTTAATTTCGTAGCTTCTATTGTCTCTTTCTAGACAGATCGGTTCAGCTTGCTGACTTTAATAGGAAGGTAAGAACCGAGATTATCAGACCAGACAATTATATCATAGTGAACGCTATAATGAAACCAGTGGCCTGAAAATATCGTATCTAGAAAGATAACATTAAAATGTATGTGTCCAGAAAGAATCCGTTGTTGGAATTCAATTACCCTAGTGACTCACTTCTCAGTAACTCTTTGTTTTCTTATTTTGTTAACTTATCTTTTCGCTACCCCCCCCCTTTTATTTTTCGCTTGACTCTCTTAAGAGATAATATTTTCTTGATCTTGTGAGTTCTGTCCACTGTATTACCATCATCAACTTCACATCTGACTTCGTTTGCACCGAAATTTTAAAATTTTGATTATCTTATCTAACTACGTAACTATTACTAATTTTCTTTTGTTACCAGCCCAACAACACAACTGTTAATTGATTTTTTTCAGGAAACTTCGTAACACTTAAGACACCCTGTAAATCGCAACGCCTTATTTCACTATGACGCTCTGACAATATGCTTGTTAGTGGACAAAAGTTTGCTAAAACTGTAAATTTTTATGTCATCAAAGTATTCGGGTTGTACACAGCTGCTGATGAGAACCAACGAAATAAAACGGATCCAGATTATTCTGCGCCAATGTTTCTTCTTTCTTTGTTCTAACATAAAATTCACAATTGAAGCACCAACCAGCTCAGAGAATAGAGAGTCACATCGAAATCCTACCTTTACAACACATATCAATATATGAACAAAATAAGTATACTTTCAGGATTACATTATGGACTGACATCGGCTGGAGGACCATTGAAAAACTCACAGGGAGTACTGGAGAGCCAGCTGTTTCGTCCTAGTTTGAGACTCTTCATTAGTAGGCACTCACTGCCAGGGTTCGAACTAAGAACCTTCTGGTTACAAGGCGAGCTCATAGACCATTAAGCAGCCACTGGGACTCAATCCAATGACCAGTGCATGAATTCCAACTTCTGCCAATTCACAATATGGCACGACCACTAGCGAATGTCGTCCGTGGCGAATATTTGTCCTCACCCACCCACCCCACCTGCTCTACCCCACTAGTCACGACTTCCCCCCACCAAAGGTCTTCTAACCGATGTCAGTTCATAATGAAATCAATCCTGAAAACTAATCAAATCCCTGTAAACCAACACACTTGAAAATAAGTATACACTGCGACAAACAAGAAAACATACCTGGGGATGACATGAAAGATAGCGTAAACGCTTCATTTAATTCTGTATCCCTTCTAACAGATTTATTATCCTCAGAATTACTTTTATTTGGTATTGACTGCATACTACTTGATTCAATAGTAGATTCAATCGTAGTGAAATTTGAACGTGTCCAACAGTCTTCACTAGTCACCACCTGCTGATTTAAAGACTTTTCATCATCATTAGATACTGGCTGTACTGAATTCTTTTCATTTCGAGATTGTTTTATTGGTAAATGATGAGTTGAGAACTCAGATAAACAGGGAACGATATTATTATTATTCGCAGTAGTAGTAGTAGTAGTAGTAGTAGTAGTAGTAGTAGTAGTAGTGGCAGTAGCGGTAGGATTGGCAGTTGCACTTGTCATATCAAAAGAAGGAAACCTTGCTTTTGTCGAAATTGAATTCTGTTCAATATCTTGTTTAAAACAGCTTGATGTAGGTGAATTTGTTGATTTTAATACTTTAGTCTGCATAGGTAAACTAATCTTCAAGTCTTTTGTGTTTTGTTCATTGTCGATATAAGTAGGATATAAGTGTGGTAGGATAGTAGTATGCCGATGGTCAACATCAACACGCTCTGATGATGTAGGGCACATCCTTTTCATGGGCAGATCATTTGATGATGTACTACTTCTAGATGATTCAAATTGTGGAATCTTCATTCCAGTGTTACTAGATGTATATTCACATGAGTTAGCAAGAGTAGAAGGCGGATACGATGGCTTCGGTTTTGTCTGCAGTGGTGGTGTTATCGTCTGTGGGGGAGGTTGTGAAGCCGATGGAGGTGGGGGAGGATATAATATACTCATCTCATGTCTGACTTTCGATGGTCGAATACCATGTGATAGGAGATAGCTCTCTAACTGTTGATAATAATGTGAATATGTCTTCATATTTATGCATTCATATAACACATTTGAATGGATTGATAAAGCTAAATTGATAAATCCTCGAAGAAATTGACTAAAAATATGTATAATTAAGGAAAATAAATAGAAGTTAGTTTAGTCTAAAGAAAAAGTAACGTAAAGTGAGTCATAACAGTCAAAACGGAATCGTTGTGGTTAGAACGCAGGAAACTAACCGTGGCTGGGATGCCTATTATCCCCATTTCTATTCAATTTCATCATAGATGTACTGATGGACTCAACCCTAACTCACTTCATAGACTCAGGGATGAACTTGTTAGCGCTAGGGAAAAATCTCGTTGACTTAGAATATGCAGACGATTTAGTCCTTCTAGGCGAGGACACTGACAAAATGCAGAGTCTTCTGAACACCTAGAGCTGCAGTCTACGAATGTTTGGCATGCAAACGATTCGCTCCCACCGAATGCAAGATGATGTCACAGGACTGGACTACTCTGAGTCCTACCGTAAAAATAGGAAGTGAAGTGGTAGAGCATGTTGACCGCTCCACTGATTTGGGAATTATCATCAGCCAATGCCAACGGGTTGACCTCTGACGAAATCTCAGTACGGATACAGTCTGTCTGTTTTCGACATAGAACTTTGCACAAATGTGCGGAAGTTCAAGTCGCCACATTCCGTGTAGCACGCGAAGCAAGAGAAGAAAGTACAAGAAAAGCATAATAGAAACAGTGAGCAGAGGTGTGAGACAAAGGAGTAATAAAGAAATACAAAACAGTTTCATTGGAGATCATAAGTCACAGGGAGTGGATGCATCTGCGCTGGCCACTGAGAACGATTTTGAGCCATGTCACCAATTGTTTCCAACCATAGATTTTTGCCGTCCCGAGGACCCCAGCCTGGAAGTCTACACCTTCCTACGTGGCTTAGACCAACTGCTGTGGATTTCATTGACTGATAAAGCCAAGTTTTTGTTTGACCGCCGCTAGCTTTTTTCCAGCCTGACCCTATATCCGCTAACATAGCTCGTCGAGGGAGGCGATGACTTGGCATACGTAACACATGTCCTAACCATCTCAGTTTTTGTAGCTTCACGACTTCGTCGATTGATTTCCCCTGTTTACCTAGAACTCCACGCCTAACCTCCATGTTGCTCACCTTATTAAGCCACTTTACACGGGAAATAGAACGCAGGCACCTATGATCAAAGACAGCTAGTCTTTTCATGTCTTCCACTCTCAGTGGCCAGGTCTCACTGACAGTCATAATGGAGGACGGAGCGGACTGATGAGCAGTACACCCGCCCTTTGGTCGATAGTCGAACATCTCGTCTACGCCAGAGTCGGCGTAAACTAACAAATGCGAAACGAGCCCCTTGTATTCGTGCTGAGATTTCGTCAGAGATCAACCTGTTGGCACTGGCTGATGGTACTTCCCAAATAAGTGAAGCGGTCAACGTGCTCTACCACTTCACTTCCTATTTTTAAACTAGGCGTCGATGTAGTCCAGTCCTGTAACATCATCTTGCATTTGGCGGGAGCGAATCGCATGCCAAACATTCGTAGATTGCTGTTCAAGGTGTTTAGAAGACTCTGCATTTCGTCAGCGTCTTCGCCTAGAAGGACTATATCGTCTGCATATTCCAAGTCAACGAGATTATTTCCCGGTAGCAAGTCAATCCCTGAATCGCTGAAGTCACCTAGGGTTAAGTCCATTAACACATCTATGATGAAGTTGAATAGAAAAGGAGATAATGGGCATCCTTGACGGACACCACTGGTCGTCATCAGTTCAGATGAACTAGGCGGCGATGTAGTCCAGTCCTGTAACATCATCTTGCATTTGGCGGGAGTACGGATACAGAGGGCTAGTTTCTCATATGTCTGTTTACGCCGTCTCTGGCTTGGTAGACGTGATATCCGACTGGCTATCGACCAAATGGCGGGTGTACTCCTCAGGAGTCCGCTCCGTCCTCCTTTATGACTGCGAGACCTAACCATTGAGAGTGAAATGCATGAAAAGCATGGCTAGCTGTCTTTGATCATAGGTGCCTGCGTTCTATCTCCCGTGTGAAGTGGTATAATAAGGTGAAAAATATTGAGGTTAGGCATCGGTCAACTGCTAGGTGGGTGGGAGGGGATATCAATCGACGAGGCTGTGAAGCAGTTACATCGACTGAGATGGTTAGGACATGTATAACGAAAGAATGCCTAGTCATCGCCTTCCTCGACAATGGGCAGTGTTAGCTGACATAGGGTCAGTCTGGAAAAGAGCCAGCGGCGGTCAAACCAAAACATGGCTTCATCAGTCAATGAAATCCACAACAGTTACTTTAAGGCAGCCAGTCACGTAGGAAGGTGTAGATTTCTTGACTGGTTGGGGTCCTCGGGACATTCAAAACCAATGGCTGGAAACAATTGGTGATATGGCTCAAAGTGATCGTTCTTGATGACGACTGATGCAGATGCATCCACTCGTTGTGACTTATGGTTTCCAATGAAACTATATTGTTCTTCGTTATTACTATTCATTTGTCTCACACCTGTGTTTACTGTCTGTATTATGCATTTCTTCTACTTTATTCTCTTGCTTTGTGTTCTACAAGGAGGGAGTGTGCCCACTTGAACAGCCGCATATGGTTGCAAAGTTCTATGTTGAAAACAGACAACCAATCTTTGTGTCCCGCTGTATAACTGTGCGAATCTTTCTTCAGAGACGAACAGTCAAAAAAATGTTCCAAAGACAGTAAAAAGAGGATTATTCATCGATAGATCCAGGTGATTCTATTGAACAACAACAACAAGAATAACATCAAAAACTCAAAAAAAATTACCTAAACTATACCGTTAGGCAACTAGACTGTGCGTCGGTGGCACAGCGGTTAGGACGCTCGCCGACCATACACATGGTCCGGGGTTCGAACCCCGGCCTCTGACGCACTCCTTTACTCCGCAAAGGCAGAAACGATGCTGGTAAAAAAGAAAGGTTAAACATGAGATTAGCAACCCCATCCTGTAAAAATAATCACCACTGCTACAGAAACTTCAAGCCAGCGGCTTGAAGCCTTATGTTCCACTGGGAACGTGAAGGAAAAAGCAATACAGAATAGGTAACTTTCTGAGTACAAAACAAATAGTGCAGAAGTAAAAATTAATTAACCAAAATTCAAGCAGAATATATTCCCAACAAGGTGGGATCAAAAGTTGGTCCACAAAAATTAGAAAAAAAACACAAACAACTCCCCCAAATACTTCAATATCAGAATGACCTTGATTCACTCCTACAAAATCCCGTCGTAAGACAACACATTATGAATGTATCATACAACTACAGAGAGAGTAGCATTCAATTTAGAGATTGAACAAGAAGAAAGGCTGTGCTAGGGATCAAATCTCGAACCTTCAGGATAACAAACGAATATGTAGAGACTTGAATTCATCAACCATTGGATCCTGAGTAAGTGATTCAGTCTCTAAAAGGACACAGGAGAACATATGCTGCTTGAAAATTCCAAACTACGATAAAACAAACCTTGCCTAGCTAACTAGCTTGCTATATTTCTAGCCGGGTAAAAAGGGAGAGTTGGGCGTGAGACTAGCAATCCTACACCACAAAACTTATCAAACCATGAACGCACAGAAAATATATTAAAAATACGAAAACTTCAAATAACAACAATCTTGAATCGGAGAAACGAAATAACACAGCGGACTGGTGAAAGCCTTTGGGAAGCCAGTCAGCCGGTGGATATGCCTTCTTTCGATGAAAGCAAGAATAAGAAAGAGAATGTAGAATGTCTGTACAATGTACGAGACTGGCTGGGAAGGCTGATACTTATGTAGTCAAAGAAATGCGAAGATGTGGCATAAAAGTGCTGAGTATTTGCGAAAGCAGGTGGAACGGATGTAGATCATCAAAACTGTCAACTGGAGAGTCAGTTATCTACTCTAGTCACCCAAACGACAACCACGAGAACACTGGGGCGGCAGTGAGTGGCTGTAACGATGTCGCCAGTGGCAGCCAGAGCCCTGATGCAGTGGGTAGCAATTTCATCCAGGATCATGACAGCAAGATTCAACTCAAAAGGCAGAAAATAAAGGTCACAATTATCCAATACTACGCACAGTGCTACAAACAAAGCAGAACAAGAGAAGAAGGAAGATTTCTACAGACAACTAAAAATAGTAATGGAAAACATGCTGAATGGTGACATCAAAATCCTCATGGGCGATATGAATGATAGTGTAACTCGGGGCATATAATACAGGAAAAGAACTCACTATCGAGTGACATCGCACGCAATGCAGAAACATCACTCGAGTGGAATCCAAATGGGAACCAATGAGTGGATCGTCTGCTCGAGGGTGACACTGAAGAGATCGTGAGAGAAAGAGATGTCTGTCTGTCTGTTTTCGACATAGAACTTTGCACAAATGTGAGGAAGTTCAAGTCGCCACATTCCGTGTAGCACGCGAAGCAAGAGAAGAAAGTACAAGAAAAGCATAATAGAAACAGTGAGCAGAGGTGTGAGACAAAGGAGTAATAAAGAAATACAAAACAGTTTCATTGAAGATCATAAGTCACAGGGAGTGGATGCATCTGCGCTGGCCACTGAGAACGATTTTGAGCCATGTCACCAATTGTTTCCAACCATAGATTTTTACCGTCCCGAGGACCCCAGCCTGGAAGTCTACACCTTCCTACGTGGCTTAGACCAACTGCTGTGGATTTCATTGACTGATGCCAAGTTTTTGTTTGACCGCCGCTAGCTTTTTTCCAGTCTGACCCTATATCCGCTAACATAGCTCGTCGAGGGAGGCGATGGCTTGGCATACGTAACACATGTCCTAACCATCTCAGTCTTTGTAGCTTCACGAGATGAGGAATTTTGGGTAATCCTGGAGCCAGCTGACGAGGATGGCAGGAAATAGAACAGAGAAGAGATGTGTTGTTGAAGCCCTATGTTCCACTCGGAACCCAAGGGAATAATAATAATACAATTAAACAGATGTCCAGTCCTTTATGGTATCAACGATTCTTCAAGTGAGGCAGGTAAATGGTAAAATCTAGATTTTAACACTTTGTCATCCACTCTTATTTGTGTGTTTTTTTTTCTTTGTACATTTAAACGAACTAAGACATTTTCTGCCTAATACACTAATATGTATGTTCTTGATGTGGTTGTGTTCTCTGAGCTCAATGTGTATGTTTATTGGACAGCTGTTTCATCATACTTGAGGACTGTTCAGCGGTGATGAGTATACATGAACCGCACGAAAGACCGAATATAAGACCTTCATGTCACGAGACCAACCACCACCCAGCCAGAAGTTACAGCCCACGGGTTATTCACCTCTAACTCAATGGTTGGTCTCATATCCCGTGGAGGTCCCAGGTTCGACTACCTAGTGGCATCGTGAATACACACACTTTAACTGAATTTTCGATTTTCCTGCCGATTGATTGGACCGAAGTGCTCGATCTGAGGTTGATAAGTCTGTCGGCTTCTTGTGCAGATGCTTCGACGATGTCTGGGCATTTAATTAGAATTTAATTGGTGGATGGTGACTAGCAGTGGAATCAAGGATGAGCATTTCATCCTATTTGGTACTCGTCAGTTGGTGGATTAAATTCTAAATTCTCATTAAATGCCCAGGCATCGTAGAGGCATCTGCACAAGAAGCCAACAGACATGTCAACCTAAGACCGAGCACTTCGGTCCAATCAATCGACGGGAAAATCTAAAATTAAATTAACATGACCCGTTGCACGAAAGGTGGCCAGCTCTCGTGCCCCAAGTGGTCTAGTGGATAACGCTTTGGCGTTTGAAACTATGGGGGCACTGGGTTCGAGCCTCGGTTGGGGGGTAACATCATCACTCACTGGGAAATGCAGGTACATCCAGTCAGCTGACGAGTCCCGAATAGGACGAAATGCGCGCCATCCTAGAGGGTTCCACTGCTAGTCACCATCCACCAATTAAATGAGTGCACAGTGTTGAAGAGTTCCAAACTAGGACGAAACAGAGCCGTCTAGCATTGATATTGATCAAAGTCTCAAAAAATTAAGAAAGAACCTAAAAACTTGGAAACAATTAACAACAAAACTTACATCAGATTCACTTTATTGTTTCCATCATATGGACATAGAAAATCAATAATTTGATATATGAACGATGATTGATGCATTCTGTCATTATTTGTTTTAGCCATTCGATAGTTCTTTAACACTGGGTCATTTAAAGAAGCGTGTAACAGATAAATTAACGGTGACTGCTTGTTATAGAGATGAGACGATGATAATCTCGTCAATATTTCATCATTTGATATTTTGTCAAGAAATAATTTACCATTCAGCAGACAAACCATTGAATGTTTTGTACACCGTTTAATGACACTTGAACATTGAAAGTGATTTAAATAGGGTGGGAGGAAATTTAAACCTATTCGTAAATGTTCAACCTACGAAAGAAATAGGAAAAGAGACATTAAAAAAAATAAAAGGGATTTATCAAAAAGAAACACTTCACACACAACACACAAATCTTTCATCAAGCCCCAACCCCCCCTCCAAAAAAAAATACCCAAATCAAACATCCTGCCGTTACGAGCACAGTGTATCACTCTCCCAGGAATCCAAACATACAATTTGTCTAGATAATTATGCAGAAAATAGTGAAATATTTAACAGATTCCCGTGATGATCACTCCATCAAATCTGCTTTATCCAATTTCTAGAGAAAATAAAAAGCACTCAAATAGATGTGTCACAGCACTACGTGCCTCAGCTGACAAAAGAGACCATGAAGAAGTTATTCACAGCAAAGATAATCAAAAATGGAACACACACGAGTGTGATGAAATGCATAAACTTATGTCTAACAACCACTTCACCTATTTGGGAAGTTGTATCAGCACCAACGGACTGATTGGCGACGAAATCTCAGCAAGGATCCAAAAAGCTCGAGCTGCTTTCGCTGACTTACACCATCTCTGGCGTAGGCGTGACATCCAGTTATCAACCAAGGGACGTGTGTACTGCTCATCAGATCGCTTCGTTCTTGTCTATGGCTCTGAAACATGGCCAATACGAGTTGAAAACATGAAAAGGTTGACTGCTTTCGATCATAGATGTCTGCGATCTCTGTCTCACGTTAGGTGGTTTAACAAGGTAAGTAATACTGACGTTAGGCGTAGAGTGTTGGGCAAAGAGGGAAAATCAATCGACGAGGCTATAAAGTTACATAGATTGAGATGACTAGGTGACGTGCTGCGCATGCCTAACCATCGCCTCGCCTCCCCCGATGGGCATTACTAGCTGATATAGGTGGTGCAGGTTGGAAAAGAGTAAGTGGTGGCCAAACAAAAACATGGCCTCATCAATCCATGAAATCCTTGACAGTTAAACTGAGTCAGTCAGGTAGGGAGGGAGATGCAGACTTCCGGGTTGGGGCTCTCGGGACTCTAGGAATCAATCAATGGCTGGAGACAATAGGTGACACGGCTCAAAATCGTTGTGGATGGCGCAGACATATTTAGTCTCTGTAATCTTTCATATTCCTTTCTACCATTACCCACTCTGTTTCGCTCTTATACCTGTCAAACTCTATTGATTCTCTTCACTCATCTTCTTGTCTACCTTTGTGTGGTATTTGGAACGTGGCAACTGTAACTGCTGCACTTCGGTGAGAAGTTCTATGTTGAATCCAGACGGACAGAACAACGTATTTCCAATTCAACGGCCAGATATATATGTGAATAAGTTTAAGGAACACCCATGGGATAACCCATATCAGGTTTGATTCCAGAAGCAGTGAGACAAAGACTTGAAAACATAATCCTACCAGAGATCAAACCTAAAATTTGGATACGTTATGTAGATGACAAATTCCAAATAATCAAACGAAACGAGCTGGACAAAGCTCACAACTTAATAAACAACGTCTTCAACGACATCAAATTCACAAGAGAAGAGGAATCCAAGGATAAAATCCACATTTTTGGTCGACTTAGTCAAGCGAACAACCAAAAAAAAGTAGAAACGATGCTTCACAGGTAAGTGAAGGAGGCAGTCTCTGTTAAATCTCTCCCAAAGATGGTGGTTGGTGCTGGTTGTTGTTGTTGCGGTTCGTTGGTTATCTTCATTACCTCCGTCCCTCTTCTCTGTGTTCTCACTTGGAGTCCTGTCTTCGCTGCTTCTTCAGTCAGTTTGTTGGCTTTCGCTTGCAATCATTTTTCTCCGCAATACTGCTTTATTTCCTCTCTCTTTCTCTCTCTGATGTCAAATCTATCGATCCGCTATTTGATATTTTTGTTTCGATGAACTACTACACTTTTGCAACCGTCCAACAGTTTCGAGCGGAGCCGTGTCCCGACGTTCTTGGTTCTACGCGTTCTTGTTGTGCCTCGGTCCTGCCTTTCTTATCCGACTGTTTCCATGTCCGCAGTTGGCAGACTTTAACTCGTTTTTGATATAGTAAAAACGGGACCACGTCTCTCAGTCTTCCCGAACCTGATCCACATTTAACTGCGTCCTTTCTTCCTCTACACACACTACTTGACCACCAACCAACCCCAAAGGTTATGCACCCCATTTTTTCTCTCTGTGTTCAGATTTCCCGACGTCTTTCTTCTGTTAACTCTTGGCATTCTCTAGACTGCTCTCTGTTCCGTTCTCATTCTCGTCATACTCCATACTAAGTGAAGGGACGAACTTGTGCTGTGTATTGGTATTTTTAGTTTCCCGCATACATTTTTTTTGTAATTCAAGTTTAATCAAAGTGTTCATTCTCTTAACACCAGATTTATTTTTCATTTTGAACAACCTCTCTTTTTCACGACGGAGCTTTTTGAGTTGAGAAGAGGAGAAGCGGTCGAATTTTAAGAAGATTGTCTCTTTTGGACAACAAACATCAAGACAGAAATTAAGATAATGTGTTATGTTGGTAATTGTGTTACCAAGAGCTTGATCAGTAAATAAGTCACAGTTTGTGTCTTTTAACATGGACCTTAGATTCAGAATGTTGTCATGAGAATAACATCTGTGTTTTCTTTCCAAGGTATGAGAAGACCCTTTTGTGTTGCTTTCTATATACTTTGGGCAGTATTCTTATGATAAAGTGATCAGAATTGAGCTTCAAATATTCCTGTGTCATTTGTAAACACAAGATCAAGAGTGTTATCCATTCTAGTCGGGAAGTTGACAATGTTATCGTGTCCAAGTGAAATTAGGAAGCTGTGATCACTAGAATTAAAATCTCCGGTAACTATAGACAAGGAATTTCCGAAGGAGGTAGCAGCAAGGGAGGTAAATTCATCCGCAAATAAAGACAGTTCTATGGAATTGCATCCAGGAGCAATATAAATGTTCGAGATGTATATGTAGTTATATTTTGACAAATGTTTAGGTCGACACTTAACGGTGAGGCAGTCAATATTGTCACTAGAGAATTTGAAACATACATTATTAGATGTACATTAACTGAAATGCTGATATCTTTATTCTTCCTTGGGTGGAAGCACGATGTGCTAATTTAGTGAATGGAAGCTCTGTCTTCCAATTACCTCCCTCCAAAGTCAGCCGCTCCTTCAGCGTACGGTTATATATATATACATATATATGAGTAGAGCCAGAGGTGAAGATCATAATTGAAAAGTAAATATTTCTTCAGGATTTCATCATGAGCTGATATTGGTTAAAGAAACTGGGGTTCTAGTGGAAAGTCGTGACCACTAGGGTGCGACGACAAATACTCGCCACGGATAACACTGGCTAGCGGTTGCGCTGTATCGTGAATTGGCAGAAGTTAAAATTCACGAATGAAACACCTGGCTGTCCAGTACTCTCTGCAGGTTTTCTAACCAGGTTCTCTAACCATTGTGAGCGCTCATAATGAAATCCTGTAACCCATCAACTAAATCCCTACAAAACAACACTTAAATATTTCTTCGGTGAATAATCGGTTTGGTTTTTATTTTGTAAATGAAACAGGAGCCGTAAGTACAAAGTAGTTAATATTGAAATAATCAAACACGTAGGGTTTATTTATACACAATCTATAGAAGTGCCAGAATTAAGAGGATGTGTACGTGAGTGAGTCCGTGAATGAGTCAGTCAATCAGTTAGCCAATTGATCAATCTATCAATCATTATACAGAACATAATATTCAAAGAAGAAAAAAGGATTATATCTACATCAAAAAAAAAGCTTACTACATATGCATCAGTCTGGTTAGATTCAACCATTGTATTGATCACATCTTGATCTAGTGAACATGGATCATTAACATTGGGCAGAATACTTCTTGTAGAATATTCATTACTCCCCATGGCATATTTTGTTGAACACCATAATAGGATAAGACGAAGAATACATTTAAAAATTATATCCATCAATTGATGGGGTCTCATGAATTTATGATCAATATGTCGTATAGATAACAGTTGATAATCACCTTTACGTCGAATACATAATTCAGTAGTACAATCCAGTATCTAAAAAGTTTTTTTCCCAGAATCATAAACGAAAAGGAAATTATAAATGACGATTGTTACTTTAAATGGTAAACGTGAGTAAAATACATATTGAATTGCTTCTCAGGAGTACGGAACTGATCCGTTCGTTCACTGAGCTACAGAGTTCACAGAATTTGCACCCCCGGACACCATAGAGAAGATGAACTGGACAATCTCAAGAGAATCCTTGTCGAGAATTGTTATCCAGAACGATTTATTGCAAAATCTATGAATCCTAGACCACAAAAGCCGCCCATAATTAGAGTCACGAAAAAACCTACTCTACACGAACCTTCAATTCAATGGATATATATGTATCTGCGGAAACACTGAAAAATCGACTGTCGTGCTCACCTTCTTCGCAGCTGAACTACGAATAACCTTCTCCACAAAACCTATGATTCATGTGAACGTGAAGGATAAGCTACCACTGCTGACTGTCCTCATCAATGTGTATTTATCAATTCACCAGCTCGTGTGGAGCCAGGTATGTTGGCCGTACCCAGCCAGCGTTCGCTTTCCAAACGTATCGACGAACACATAACATACCAACATGGTTTGACAAAGGAGAAAAACGATGCCTCCACCGCCACAGCTCCATCTTAGAACATCTCATAGAATCCGGACACCAAGCTACACCCCCTCTAAACAATCTTCAAAGTAGTCTACAGAATACGAAGTAGTCTTCCTTCCTAAAGGTGTACAAATCCGACTTCTTCAAACTGGAGAAGCAATGATGATTCACTTCCTAAGTCCTGAACTCTGCATACAGAAGAAGTTCGTTCATAATCACTACACTTGCAATGGACATAATCTGTCTTAATACCCGACAAGTAGATTCTATTTCTTTCTTTCTGTCTCTTCGTTGGTATTAATTGGTCTTCTCAGCTGTAATATTTTACATTTTCAATCTTCTTGTTGTCTACCCTCACCTGCACCTTACCTGCACCTCATTACCACTGTTACTGACTTGACCAACGCTCAATTTCTAGTCAATTATACTACGTCATCTAACTTACTAACTCAATCTTACTTTAGTTGCTGTCTAATTAACCTTGTTTCTATATTAGATAATTCTTGTGTTACCTGATCAATTATCTAAACTTGACAAACCTCATGTACACACACACACACAAATAATTATATATAAATGCGATTGTACAGCTATGTGAATGAATTCTCCGTCGAAGAAAGTCTCTTCGGTGAACGTCTTCTCTTTTTCACATGACTCAATGGGGATTTTTAAAGTACATATGGAATTGTTTCTCAAAAATACAAACAGAAGGATTCCTAGAGATGGTGCTTAGAATTAACCTCACGGTCCTGACCGATAGTTGTCACTTTATCACGGTGGTCGAGTTTGCATATCCCTAATGACGCAGAGTTACACTGATTAAAACTAACGTTCCTGTAGGTCTTATCATTGCAGAAAGGTTGCTAGACTAAAAGCAGTAGTTATCATTACAGTGTCGTACACCTTATATTAGAGGGTCTGAGAGAGAGAGAGAGACGTCGTACTGTAACTGAATAGGGATGCAACAAAAGTACCGTGTGTGTGTGTGACAATCGTGCAAGGTTTCTCCTTTGAGAAATCAAATATATATATATATACAGATCACACACAAACGCACACATACATACAATGTGATCTGCTCGATAGCATCAATGACAATCAAAGAAGAAGAAAGAGACAAAGAACAAATACGTATACGAGAATGAAGTGTATCGGTGGTTCAAGGGAAGAATACTCACCAACCACGAGTACATGTGGCCCAAGGTTCGATTCCTGGACAATACAGACACACCCCTCCAAACCTTGCTTAGCCAGTAGTCAACTGGTTAGTAAAGCTGGAAGGCTGCCAGTATGCGGCTAACAACCTGACCGCGTTAAAGTCAAACAACACCAGAGCATCAAAACAAAGTAAATAAAAAAGTGGAAGAACAATGACAACTAACCGGTAATCCAAATAAAGTCAATAAAAGATGATGTGTATTCCCCTCATATTGTTCTGTTGATGGTCTTGACGATGATGATGATGATGATGATGATGATGATGATGATAACGCCTGATAACTTCTACATGAAGTTGATCTTAGAGGAGGATAATGTTCATTTAATAAGTATAAACTGTATGCCATTATTCTATACTGTGAAGAATTACTATGACAAAAATCATGTATTATAGAAGCAGGCATTGCTTTACACCAAGTAAAAAGATTTATCCTCCCTTCACCGGACTGACTACGTTTACTACTTGTGGAATGTTGATTTGATTTTTGACTTTCCGTCATCATCAATGGAGAAGTTGTAAGGACCTAAAGATTCAGAGAAGAGAAAAGGAAAGGAAGGGGAATAAAGGATAACTAGGAAAGAAGTCATGTATACAACTAATATTATATATATATATATATATATATATATAAAACTTGGCTGCTGCTTGCTTTACTGCTTTACTTCGGCTATCTCCTACGGGAGGATGAGCCGGCTTCATGAACCATGAAGTTTCATGGGAATTGGGTACGAGTGATGTCACCAGCATCGCTCGGCCTTTTGTTTGAGAGTGCAGCTCTAGCCTTTACACAACCAAGTGTAACCTACAAGGCAGTAGGAGTGGAGTAGGGAGTCCACTAGTCCACTATCCATTGACAGCCGGTGGCCGGAGTCCGGTTCATTCGCCTTTCTGAATGAGGCCAGTCATCCATGGCATCCAATAAGCTCTTTGTCCATACGTCTGCAGGTGAGCTCCGGTGAGCTTCATACGCCAGTCGTTGGAGGTTTGGAATCAGGGTTTAGCCCCCTAGACTGTCATCCAATGGACAGTCAACCCGGTGAAGAGTGCCGGGCATCCGCTTTTGCCCTCTCACTTTGGTGAAAAACACCTCCGCCACGTGAAGGCAGTGAGTAGGACTTCCTCAGGAGAGGCTATGTAAGACGCCCGGTCATATGGGAGCATTTCAAGAGGTGTACGGAGAGGTGGCCAACCCGCAGCGCAAGACACCCACCCCCGACCATCCTGAGGCTTTGGAGGATATAAAACTTGGGCACTGTTGTTGTAAGCATTTCCATATTAGTTTGTTTATTAGATGTATCACACAGTCAGTGAAACAGTATCATTTACTGGATGGCACAGTTTAGAACAAAATTTACTGTTCATAATCGTTTCATCAATTATAATCATACGACTTTGAAACTTGAGTTTTTATTTGTCTTCTCCTATTTGTCGTCGTAGGGGTAGTAGAATTTTCCAGATTTCTGGGACAGGTGTTGAATAACTCCTATTACACGTATTTCCAGTTGATTCGATCAATCTCTTCCTCCACCCTTTGACATTAGATTTTAAAACTGTCATCCTATTCCATGCTATTTCATAACTCTGTGTAACTGCAGGTAGTGAGTGGTATAGGTGAACTATTCTCTGGATTTCTTATCTTATTCGGGTCAAATAATCTAGATTTTGATAGGTTTTTGTGCTCTATTAGTGTGACTCGCTGCATTCTACTTTTTTAATCTATGTATTTGACCTGACAATCACACCGACAGGGTATAAGGTAAACTAAATTGTTTTGCTTAATTGACTCCACAGGATTTATACATCAACCGATAAAGCTTGTTTCTAATTGAGTTTGTGGGTGGTTTGAATACCAGCCACTTTTATTTCTGCTAGCATTCTTCACAATTCTGCGCAAGGTGGTTTCCGGGGTTCCTTCCTTGTATGAAAGTACTAGTTATGATTTAGATTCCGTATTGTTGGTGTTGTCTTGCGCACATTTGACTAGCATGTCGTTATTAATATTATTACTATTATTATCATTTTTACTATGACTATCACTACTATTATTATGCATTTTATGTCTACATTTCCTTGCATGTTTCCTGACTAATTTATAAGGGTAATTCTACTACTCCAACGACGACAAATAGGCGATGAAAAAGAAAACCATAAGACTCAAGTTTCAAAGTCGTTTGGTTATAATTGATGATATGATTATGAACAGTAAATTTAGTTCAAAACCTCGTCATTCAGTAAACAGTACTGTTTCACTGACTGTGTGATACATCTAATAAACAAACTAATATGGAATTAATATGTAGTGTAGAGCTATACAGTTTCCGTAGTAATGGTGTTTATTTTTACAGGATGGGGTTGCTAGCCTCACATTCAATCTTCAATATTTACCAGCCTTACTACTGCCTTAGTGAGGTGAAGGAGTGCGTCAGTCGGGGATTGAACCCCTAGTCATGCGCGCGGTTGGCAAGCATTCTACGCTGTGTCACCGATATATATCCATATAATTTATGTGTTTGTTTGACAGTCTGATATATTTTGCTATGTATATATGGATCGATATTCCATTATAATTAGCCAATCATGTTAAGACTGTCTATTGATTTGTTCATTTTGAATATTCGCTCACACACTTGTTCGGACATTCATATATATTTTGCTCTCACACTCTTGTGTGACATTGATTCTCCTTGTGTTTGGAAAATAGAAGTATCATCGCAAACCTAGTGGTCTTCTGATTTCCGTCTTTCTTGCGTCAGGACTATTAAATACTCGACCAGTACATAACAGTCACTGACGCTACTTAATCCTTAGTATTTGTCTTTACTATTGGTTGATTCTTATTTGTAATGCGTCTAGCTTGTTGGTATTGAGAATTATGTTCTGATAGTAGAGGTAGTTGAGTAATTCTTTTTTGTACGCACAGCTCCAGCTTTTCTACGTCAATGATCAGAGCTTCAGCAGTACAAAGAAGACGAAACCGTATTCCCTTTCATACGTTATTCTTGACCCTTGGACAGTACGCGCGTCGAGCGATCTATTGTCATTCCGCTATTTATGATCCTCACGGTAGGCGGAACAATATACTACTAATCACAAACTAGTGTCGGTAGTATATATCAGATCACTAGTAAACAAATGGAACGATAAGTGAACTAAGTGTGCACAGCAGCAAACGTATTTCCAACAGGCTGCTGCTGCAGACATCCCATCAACAGCTGCCAACTTCGTCACATAATGAACATCAAGTGGACGGTCTGAAACAATTACAAATAAATAAAGGAAATTTCCAGTAGGATGAGACACAACCAAATATGCAGAAGAAAACTGAAATTAAGTAAGCATATGTTGAGGAGACAATCAGTTGATAGTGTACACGCCAGGCAGACCCCACCCAATCGGGTAACCAGTTCAGCGTACATCTACGGGTGACATGGAGGAGATGAAAACCTATGGAGAACTGTGGAAGTCAAGTGAGGAGGAATGCATAGAACAGGATGAAATACGGATACGCTGCTAAAGCCTTATGTTCCACTCGGAATTCAAGGAAGTAGTAATAGTAATCTGACCTATCAGGACAAAAGAAACAGATCATTCAAACAAATAGCTATCGACACAGTATAATTATATATATATTCTTTCCAGTAATTTCTCCTCTTCAGGTTCTTACAATTAAAAAATACAACATTTGTTTTCGTTACATTTAAGGCCGGTTATGTGGCGGATACATTTTTAACGTGGAATAACAGATTAGTTATGGGGTGTCAAAATAAATAGTACTTTTTCCTTGTAACAAACGTGCTAGGTTTAAATCGATTACAAAATATTGTAGAATGGGTTATTTCATTATGAACCTCTCATTGCAGTCTTACTATCTCCTCTTTAATACATACTATTATGTACTAGCCATTCACCCAGCTGACGCCTTTTATAACCTTGATCTGTCTTGCCAATTTTCCTATCCCACAGTATACGAATCTATTATGACTAATCACCACCATTGTCTCCCATTTCACAATAATGTATAATCGATTTCAGCCTAGCACAACGTTTGTCACACAAATACGACTATTTATTTTGACACCCCATAACTAATCTATTATTCTACGTAAAATTTTAAAATTGATTAAATGCTCCATGCAATCAAACACAAAATCCCTACAAAACCAATACTTGAAAATTAATCTGATGCTCACTAGTGACTGGCCATATTCAGGAAGTTAACCTGGGGTTCTAGTGGGAAGCCGTGACCAGTAGGTTACAGCAGGTTGAAGATGAGGCGGTAACTCATAGAAGAAGACATTTCGAAGTGGTCGCGCTATGTCGTGGACTGGCAGAAGTTAGAATTCAAGGACCATTGGATCGGGTCCCAGTGGCTCAATGGTCTACGAGCTCGCCTTGTAACCAGAAGGTCCTGGGTTCGAACCCCGGTGGGTGCGTACTGCTGAGGAGTCCCAAACTAGGACGAAACAGCTGTCCAGTACTCCCAGGTTTTCCAGTGGTTCTCTAACTGATGTCAGCTCATGATTAAATCCTCCATGAAAAATTGCATCCAACGGATAACTGGTTATCATTATTGTAACGACAACAAGTATTATATTTTATAATTGTAAGAACCTGAAGAGGAGAAATTACTGAAAAGAATATTCTACGTTCACACACACAATATGGAAATATTTCACAATATTATATATATATATATATATATATATATATATATATATATATATAAAGAGAGAGAGAGAGCTTACATCACAGGGTTTGTGCCAGTGACCCATGGAATCCAAAAGTATTGGAAATTGTTTCACATAGGCCAGCAAAGGACTTTTCGCCAAGTCTTCATCGAATCCACGTCTTCCAGACGATTTATTGGCATGTTGTTGTTTCACATTTCTAGTCAGGCATTTATCCTTTTCAGTAGTAATCCAATATTCTTCGTGTATACAGTAATCTAATGCAGCATACCAATTAGATAATCTCTTACCGAATTCATGAATTTCTTTATGATTTCCATTCGCCTTGTCACACGCTGGTAGATTGGGTCGTAAAGCAAGGACTTCGTCAATTGATGAAGTTGTTGGTAACTATAATGGTAAAAGAAAGTGAACTGATAACTTAAATGATACTGGAAATAATATACATAAAATAAGACATTAAGAATCCAGTCAGTATGCACCCATCTGCGTAGTTTGATTTCATACAATATTAGTCTGTCATTATGGGAGGAACCTGAAAGAAACAACCTCCTTTACCTACCTACCCACCTAGGAAGCATCGTTTCAACTGCAGGCGAATGGAACTGACGAGAATATCAAAGCAAGGATCGGGAAAGCAAGACAAGCTTTCATTTCTCTGAAGTCTGTGCGGAGGTCAACAGCACTCAGCATGAGAATTATAATGCGATCCGGATTTTCAACTCCAATGTGAAGTCAGTGCTACTGACCATAGCGATCAGAGACTTGCACTGCGAGTCATAAAGAGCATCTCAAACGAACTACACACCTTCATTAACAGCTGTCTTCGCTCAATACCAAAGATCAGATGGCCAACCAGAAAAGATCACCAACAAGGATCGCTCGTCAGTGCGAGAGTGACTTGGAGGAGATCATGTGAAGAGGAGATGAAAGCATGTGGGAGTACTTCGAGCCAGGTGAAAACTTTAACAGAGAACCGAACGCAATGGAGACGAGCGGCTGAAGGCCTATGTTCCACTATGAATGAAAGGATATAAAAGTAATAATCCCCAAGTTTTACACATATACATATATCAACTTACCCCAAGTTTATCAATAAAAATATGGCGAGATGTTTCATCATAATACTGTGATAGACTAAAAATACGTGGACGCTTCACAGTTTTAACATTCACACGTGATTGTGCAGTATGTGGTGTAGAGCGTGAAAGTAAACAGTGTTGATGATTAAATTCCTCGTCCTCATCACTATCGCCTTGTTCTTCTTCTCCGCCTTTTTCTTCTTCGTTTGCATTCAACACACCAGGCGACAGTGACAATGTATCAATACGCTGCCAACAAACTAAATCCACATCGACTAGGTGATATGTACGTGTAGGAGGCCTTCTCTGTTCTCCATGAGTTTGCATAGGCTTTTTTTGTGAAGATGACTGGCTTGATTCCTTTTCAACAACGCCACTATTACAAATAGGGCAATCGTTAGTAACTGCATTGGATTCATCAGTAAAGTGACTATTGGCCATGGTAGTTTTTTTACCTTGACGTCTGTGTGTTGACTTCGTTGAACTAGCTACTACTGTTGTTGGTGTTGTTCTTGGACATTGAACTAGGATACACGGGTAAGCAGGATTAGCAAATATTGATTGAAGCCAGTGATTTAAAGATTTTTCAGGGTGTGGATCAACATCACTTATAGCATGATATTGTTCACGTAGATAATACTGTATAGCAATATGATACATGTCCAGCATAATATTTGGTGTTAAACAAGCAGGACAAGCGGAATTCGCCTTTCTGGCTCCATCACCCATATGTTTCATTAAATGCTGTTAAGTTTTAAAAAGAAAAGAAAAGTAGAGTGAAAATTTAATAAATATATATATAACATCTGCGGGAGCAGTTACATTGGAAGGACAGAAAGAAGAAGGGCATATATACGATTTTCTGAACATGTACCAAAAAGCTTACGTCTAAAGGGAACAAATGCTTTGTTCGAACAGTGCCATTGCCAGACATCATCTCCTTGACACGGATCATGAGGTGGACGTCGAAAAGTCGCTCAATATTATCGATAAGCAAAAGAGGCAAATTCTCCTCAAGTTGGCTGAAGCCCTTTCCATCAAGCGCCTGAAACCTGATATGCGCGTTCAGAAGGAAACGACTATCAGTCTTTCTTTGCCCTGGTAACTGGATATTTTTCATTTCTCTTTCATCTGAATGCGAAATGCTGAAACGTTTCCATTGTGTATGATTATTATTGTTCGGAATAGTGTTTAATATTATATATATATATATATATATATATATTATTGTATCCTTTAGTTCCTAGAGGAACATAGGGCTTCAGCTGCGCACCTCCATTGACTTCGGTTTTCTGACAACTTTTTCACCCTGCTCCAGGTCTGCCCACATGCTTTCATCTCCTCTTCACATGACCTCCTCCAAGTCACCCTTGGACGACCAACTCGCCGCCTCCCTTTCGGGTTCCACTCGAGGGCTTGTCTAGTGATGTCACTTGATGGTTTCCTCAGCGTATGGCCAATCCATCTCCATTTCTTTCTGCCTATTTGTTTCACAATCGGTTCCTGATTGGTTCGCTCCCAGAGATCCCTGTTGCTGATCTTTTCTGGCCATCTGATCTTGAGTATTGAGCGGAGACAGTTGTTAATGAAGGTTTGAAGTTTGTTTGAGATGCTCTTTATGACTCGCCAAGTCTCTGATCCGTATAGTAGCACTGACTTCACATTGGAGTTGAAAATCCGGATCTTATTTTTGATGCTGAGTGCTGTTGACCTCCACACAGATTTGAGAGTAATGAAAGCTTGTCTTGCTTTTCCGATTCTGGCTTTGATGTCCTCGTCAGTTCCGCCTGTAGTTGAGACGATGCTTCCCAGGTAGGTGAAGGAGGTTGTTTCTTTCAGGTTCTTCCCATTTATGCTTATTGTTGTCTGTTGTTGTTGTTGCTGTTGATGTTGGCTAGGAATCTTCATCATCTCTGTTTTATCTATGTTCACGTGAAGTCCTATCTTTGATGCTTCTTCTGCCAACTTGTTACTTTTCATTTGCATATCTTCCAGTTTATGGGAAATCAGACATATATCATCGGCGAAATCCAGATCCTCCAAGTCTTTTGTGTCAGTCCATTTTATGCCTGTTCCCTCGTTGGTTGCCGTTGTCTGTCGCATTATCCAATCAATTGCAATCAGGAAGATCATTGGTGATAGTAGACAGCCTTGCCTCACTCCCGTCCTCACTTCGAAGGCTTCCGTAAGTTTCCCGTTGTGGATTACTTGGCATGCAGCATTGTCGTATAACTGTTGGATGAGGTGTATAATTGTCGATGGGACCCCGTAGTAGCGAAGTAGTTTCCAAATGACCTCTCGATCGACGCTGTCGAAGGCCTTTTCAAAGTCGATGAAGTTGAGATAGAGAGGTGACTGCCATTCCAAGCTTTGTTCAATGATGATCCGTAGAGTGGCGATTTGATCAATACATGATTTGTTTCTCCTGAATCCAGCCTGTTCCGGACGAAGTTTTTCATCTAGGGCTTGTTTGATTCTCTCCAGGATGATGCGACTTAGTATCTTGCTTGGAATGGACAGAAGCATAATTCCACGCCAGTTTTTACATTGACTTAAGTCTCCTTTCTTTGGAAGTTTGAATAAGTAACTGTTCTTCCAATCCTCGGGTACTTTGCCCTCTTTCCACACCTTCTCCAGTAGTGGTGTCATCAAGTCCGCTGTTGTCTCTGGGTCTATTTTCAAAGCCTCTGCTGGGATTCCATCTGGTCCCGGTGTTTTCCCAGTTTTAAGCATCTTGATTGCATTCAGGACTTCTGATTTCGTCGGGGGGTCAGTGTTCACTGGTAGTTCTGCTTCCGTTGTTGGTATTGCTGGACGTGTTGTAGGTGGCGGACGATTTAGAAGTCTTTTGAAGTGTTCAACCCAGTGCTTTCTCTGTTCCACCTCTTTGGTGATTGACTTTCCATTGTCGTCCTTTATTGGCTTAATCTGTGTCGAACGTTTGCCCGAAAGGTTCCTAGTTGTTTGGTAGAGTGTGGCGAGGTCTCCTTTGCCTGCAGCTTGTTCTGCTTCGTTTGCCATGGTTTCATAATATTTTCTTTTGTCTTCCCTGGCACTTTTCTTCACTCTTTTGTTCAGTGTATTGTAGCTTGCATTCAGCTCCTGTTTTTGTTGCTCGTCCGTGCACTGGATAATCTTTTGCTTCACTGTCCTTCTCTCTTCTATTAGTTTCCAAGTGTCCGTAGTGAGCCACTGTTTGTCCTGTCTCTTTTTTCTGCCTAGAATTTCTATGCAGGTTTGGCTCCACACCGTTTTCAAGTTGTTCCAGTGCTTTTCAACGCCGACCTCTTCGCTAGTGTTGATTTGTGTCTCGGCTTTGTCCTTTATGCTTGCAATGAAGATGTCCTTTGTAGCCTGGTCCTTCAGCTTTTGAGTGTTGAACTTGGCTTGTGGTCTATCTGCAGCTCCTGATTCCCTGAAAGCTTTTAATTTGATTTGGATTGTCCCTTGTACGAGATAGTGGTCTGAGCCAACGTCTGCTCCTCTTCTTGCTTTTGTGTCCAGTAGGCTGCGCCTCCACTTCCTTGAGATTGAGATGAAGTCGATTTGGTTTTTGGTTTGCCCGTCTGGTGACACCCATGTAGCCTTGTGGATATCTTTGTGCTTGTATACACTGCCACCAATCACCAGTTCGTTGAAGGCGCAGAAGTCGGCGAAGAGTTCTCCGTTTTCATTCATTTCTCCTAGAGCTTCTCTACCCATGATGAGTTCCCTTCCCGTATTGTCTGGTCCCAGTTTGGCGTTCATGTCTCCCATTAGTATTTTCATGTCGCCAGCTGGAGTATTGTCCATTGTTGCCTGTAGTTGCCTGTAGAATTCTTCTTTCTTCTCGAGGTCTGCGTTGTTTGTGGGTGCATAACATTGTATGATTGACACTTTCCTTCCTTTGGAGTTGAACCTGGCGGTCATTATCCTGGACGAAATCGCCTCCCATTGTATCAGGGCTTTCGTTGCCGTTGGTGACATCATGATAGCCACGCCCTCGGTGTGCGTGTGGTTATCTTCTGGGTGACCGGAGTAGATCACTGACTCACCTGTTGACAATTTGGTGAGTCCACTCCCATTCCATCTGCTCTCACATATTCCCAGCACTTGTATTCCGTATCTTTTCATCTCGTTGGCGATCTGGGCAGCTTTCCCAGTCTCGTACATAGTTCGGACGTTCCATGTTCCTACACAGACTTTTTCTTTTGGTGCAAGGAGGTTCAACATACTGAAGTTTCTGTAGCAATTTTTGTTTACAGGGTGGGGTTGCTAGCCTCACGCCTGAGAAAAGAATGATTACATTAAGTAAAAGTTTAGAGAGAAGCAACTTTTTGGGTTGCTCCCCTCAAAATCAGAAAATAACGGACAAACAATGAGAACAACATCAACAAAGGAAACAGTTCACAGAAAAAAGGGCAAAAAGCGACGACAACTATACAATAAGACAACATGCAATATAGTTCAGTACATTTAACTAAAATGATATCTTAACCATAAACTCACTGACTTGGAGCAACTTGAACATATAAATCCAACAATATATACAATTATAGATGTGTTTATGTTTAAAAATTCCACAAATCCAAACAGTGAGTTATGTGTATTATCTGTCAATAAGATTGTATTTTTTGGATTCAGTGTTCGAAAGGTTAATAATTGTGATAATTTCCGCAAACACTTTGCATAAAATTTTAGAGTAATAAGAGATTTTATTTATGACCAAAATGTAGCGTAATATATATATATATATATATATATATATTACTGCTACAATTCAATTCAAGGGAACAGAATGTTCTTTGAGAGCTGATGAACTACCACCACCCAGTTGTTCAAGTCGAAGTAGGTGGAGTGAGAGATTCGAACCCGGAACTTCTGTATGTAGAGTTCAGGACTTAGGAAGTGAATCATCATTGCTTCTCCAGTTTGAAGAAGTCTGATTTGTACACCTTTAGTAAGGAAGACTACTTCGTATTCCGTAGACTACTTTGAAGATTGTTTGGGGTGTAGCTCGGTGTCCGGATTCTATGAGATGTTCTAAGATGGAGCTGTGGCGGCGGATGCATCGTTTTTCTCCTTTGTAAAACCATGTTGGTAAGTGTTCGTTGATACGTTTGGAAAGCGAACGCTGGCTGGGTACGGCCAACATATCTGGCTCCACACGAGCTGGTGAATTGATAAATACACATTGATGAGGACAGTCAGCAGTGGTAGCTTATCCTTCACGTTCACATGAATCATAGGTTTTGTGGAGAAGGTTATTCGTAGTTCAGCTGAGAAGAAGGTCTTCTGAAGTGAGCACGACAGTCGATTTTTCAGTGTTTCCGCAGATACATATATCTCCATTGAATTGAAGGTTCGTGTAGAGTAGGTTTTTTCGGGACTCTAATTATGGGAGGCTTTTGTTGTCTAGGATTCATAGATTTTGCAATAAATCATTCTGGATAACAAACAATTCTCGACAAGGATTCTCTTGAGATGGTCCAGTTCATCTTCTCTATGGTGTCCGTGTCAGTGTCAAGCGAGGAAGACAGATATCCAGCGTGTTTACATCACTTCGATTTGGCTAGATGAATGACAAGCACTACTTACTCACTGAAATGAGTAGCATACAACTACTCATCTTAATCTATCAGTAGTATAGCGTGTGGTGAATTTAGGCATGGCGCATTTTTTTTAAAATACGATATCAAACAGATGAATCATTGTCAATCAACTGAATAATCTCAATTTCAAAAATCGAATTCAAAACAAAAAGTATAACAAAAAAAAGAAACGCCAACATGCGTAGAACACACTCATTCACTCACTTGAATTGTACAACATCCTAAATTATTAATTAAACCAATTGATTTCATAAAATGATAGTTTAAGGATTTCTTTACAATAAACGCGCCAGTTGACCAGATATAAGAATTTTGTTTAAATAATTTAGCTAATTGTTTATTTTGTAATTCTAATTGGTGAAATGCTGAAGGCGAATAAACTATTTGTAAATCTGTTGGACGCCTGAGAAGTTGAAAAGGCGAAGCAGTGAATTTGACAGTGTGTCGTTGTTCAACTGGCAACCAAACTGTTTGTCTTAATTTATGAAACCATGATGAATAGGCTAAGTGATAAGTGATATTCGAATTGATCACGGTATTACTATGAGGTAAATATGAAGAGGAATACACTATTTGACGTGAATATGTAGGCGCATTATTACTAATGGCATTGTATCTCCCATCTAGGCATTTGTACGACGCAGATGAATACCTGTTTGAAATAAATCGTGAAAATATATTCAAAATGAAAACCTTTTAGAAAAAACCATCAAAAGTAGACAAAAAAGGTTAAAGGACCATTGGAAAACCTGCTGGGAGTACTTACTGCCAGACAGCTGTTTCATCATAGTTTGGGACTCTCTTTAGGGGTGCTTAACAAACACTAGGGTTGGAAAGCCGGACCTTCTCGTTACAAGGCCAGTGAGCTAGCTCGCAGACCATTAATCCACTGGAATCCGATTCAATGGCCAGCCCGCCAGTGAATTTCACTTTCTGCCAATTCACCACATAGCGCAACCACTTCGCAGTGTCTTCTTCGAGGAGTTACTGCTTCACCTTCAACCTGTTGTACCCTACTGGTTACGGCTTCCAACTAAAACCCCAGTTAACTGCCTGAATACAACCAGTCGCTAGTAAGCATCAGATCAATTGTCAAGTATTGGTTTTGTAGGTAATTTTGTTTGACTAGTTGAACGGTGGTCAGGTTGAATATGAGGCAGTAACTCATCGAAAAAGACCTTGCGAAGTGGATGCGCTATGTCATGAATTGGTAGAAGTTAGAATTCATGGGCTGCCATTTGGATCGGGTCCCAATGGCTTTACGGTCTACGAGCTAGCGAGAATAGCGCTGCGATAGATTTTGTTTGTCCTTTGCTTAACCACGCAGGGTGACCATGTTCGGAAATTCGACGAGAAACACGCCTAATTGTACGGCCTATGTAACTGGCTCACTCCACAGGAGCAGTTAAATTGGTAGATACACATGGAAGAGGCGAAATTAGGCAGTTTGTCTTTTAGCCCCCAAACGAACACAAAAGAGGAGTGGTTTTGAAGATACAGCGTTTTTCGAAAGCAGGGAATGCTCTTTTCACCGCCTCATTTCTAAGGCGCTGTTTTAGTATCTCGCTGATGTTGTCCCCAAGAAACTGCAACTGTAAGAATAAGGCCTTTTTTGGAACTGTTGGTAACTTGGGCTTCTTTGATTTTAGATTCATATTCTTATCAATAAATTTTTCTGGATAACCATTTTCACTTAGCACTGAGATCACTTCTTCATGGACAGAATGGAAAGTAACTTAGGGTTCAACGGAGACACTAACTGTTTCAAACTTGACGGATAGAATTCAGACTATACTGAACAGTATTCAATCTCTCTCAATCACCCTATTAAGTGGTTGTGTGTTAATGCATGCTGTGCAATTGCCGAGTTTTTTCTCTAAATTACTTATCTTCGCTGATGGGATCAATCATTCTAACCTTAGGCACTAAATTCTTATTGTTCTGATAATCAAACTACTCTTCATCTACTAGTTTGACCTATGCGGTTGACCTAACTCACAGTCATTGCAAAATATTTTGTAAATTATATTATTTTGTTTAATTGGATCAACTCATTGAGTCCTTTAACCTACAGAGCTTGTCCTACCAGAGTGAATTTGTACGTTTTCGAATGCCATTCTAATTCCTGTCTTGTTGAGAATCCTACATAGGGAGAGTTTCAGATGTTGCCTCCTCCTTATAGGGTAAAACTACTATAAACGCCTTATATTCTTTCTTATTTAGGTCATCATTATTAGCTTGTGAATATAGTTTATCTTCCACTCTGTTTCACGCAAGTTCTTATACTGATTTTATTCAAATGTTTGATGGATTTTTACTCATGTATATAAATGAAGGAAGTAAACTATGTGAGTGAGTGAGTGAGTGAATGCCTTGATATGACTATGACCAGTAATAAGTTGTTCTTCAAAACATGGTCATCAGTAAATATTACTGTATGACACTGTGTGGTTTTATCAACAACAAACAAAATTTTATCCATAATGGAGCTGACTGTTTCAAACTTGTGATTCCAAATTAGATAAGTTTATTTTTCAAAATATCACGCAGTGATGCTATACTAACACCTGAATGATATTTCGAGGATAAATTATTGCCATTCATAATCATATCAATTTTAGTCACACGATTTCACAATTTCTCTTAAACCGCCCCCCCTCCCGCACTGTACACAAATTTAAAAATAAACTATATAAACGAACGAATGGGTTGGCAATGGGACCACCAATATCCCCTCAGTAGGGGCAGATATATTTATGGATAGGTTACAGGATTTCATTGTGAGCTGACATTAGTTAGAGAATCATTGGAAAACCTGCAGGGAGTTCTGGACGGTCAGCTGTTTCGTCCTAGTTTGGGTCTGTTCAACGGTATGCACCCACCCGGGTTCGAACCCGGGACCTTCTGGTTACAAGGCGAGCTCATATACCATTAAGCCACTGGGACCTGTTCCACTGGTCCTTGATATTCTAGCTTCTTCCAGCGCTTGTGCTATATCGTGAATTGGCAGAAGTTAGAATTCATGCCCTGGCTGGCCATTGGATCGGGTTCCAATGGCTTAATGGTTTAGGAGCTAGCTCGCCTTGTAACCAGAGGGGCCTAGGTTCGAACCCCGGTGGGTGGGTACTGCTGAAGAGTCGCAAACTAGGACAAAGGAAACAGCTGTCTGGCAGTACTCCCTGGTGGTTTTCCAATGGTTCTCTAACCAATGTCACCTCATGATGAAATCCTGTAACCAATCAACCAAACCCCTACAAACCAATGCTTGAATATTAATGGACAGTTGGAAACAGAAAGCCCTTGGAATGTTTAATCCTGCCCCTAGGCTATAAATGTAGACATGTGGATCACACACTGATTATGTTGAAATCTGAACATATCCTTCATTTTTTTTCACACACATATAAACTCAGTATTATTACGGAATGCAATTCACTTGTGAGTTTTAGAGAATGGATGGACAAGGTGAGTTAGCCATGCTAGACTGTAGAATGAAACGAAAATAAGATGCTGGGAGGTTAGACACTCGCATTTATAGGAAGGAAACCGACACACACACACACTCTAATAAATACTTAGAAATAAAAAATGACGAAAATCATATATAATTCAAAGCCTCTTTAGTACTGCTGTATAAAGAAGGAACAATACAGGCCTTACGCTGGAATCAGGGTGGCATTCAAACCAGCCCAAACAATTCTTTTTCGTAGATCAGCTTTGTCGGTTTAAGCTTCTAAGAGATCTAATTAAGAATATCAATAAAATTTACCAAATACTATGTATATTAAATATTCCCATAGTAAAATTTAGAACAAAACATTTAAGTGAACAATATTGTTTTCAATTAGATCTCATTAGGTTTAACTCTAATATATATATATATATGTTTAAAAATAAAAATTCAAATATAAACCAATCATGGTGTTTTGTCTATAGGATAATAAGATGGTGAATATAAATTGTTAGTGAACATCTCCCTTCCTGGCTTGGTAAAGGACAGACAAAAACAATCCGTAGCTAAATTCTGTCACATTTAATTGATACTGGTCATGTATTGGAGAAAACGAGAGCTTTCAAAGGAATTCATCGTATCCCACCGAATCTGTCCAATAGACTCTGTATTCGTCTACTGCACACAACTGATGCGATAGGCATTCGAACTAATAAACCTAAACTATGCATTCATAAGAAGTTCGTACAGCCATTATCCCTTCCTCGCTTGGCCTATTAAGACATAACCAACTGATGACTTCCACACCACCCCTTGCTTATATTTCCAACCCCTTTCTTATCACCCCTTAATCTTATCTTCATTATAAACGTGTTTCATTTCCTTCCCTTACAATCTAACATTACTTAATCGATTCATTTGTTTTTACTAGCCTTTATCGACTACTTCCATCTGAACATTTGTTTGTTTAATCATGCTGTTTTTTCATTATTCGTGTTATCACAGATTGCCTCACTTTTTCATCCTTATTATTGATAAAACCACTATTATTATTATGATTATTATTATCATTACTACTATTATGATTAATTGCACAATTTATATTCACCATCGTATTATCCTATAGACAAAACACCATGATTGGTTTATATTTGAATTTTATTTGGAAACTTGTATATATATTAGAGTTAAGCCTGATGAGATCTAATTGAAACCGCAATATTGTTCGCTTAAATGTGTTGTTCTATATACTATGGTAGTGACTGTGAGATCAACCACGTAGATCAAACTAGTACACATCCGGGGTCAACTAGATTGTTGGAGCATAAAAATGTAGCCAGACCTAGAATAATTGACGTTGATACGTTAAATAACCTGGAAAACAGCTTAGCCATTGCACTGCATTCACTTGCATGCAATCACAAAATATGATGGGAGGGACAGGGTAAGAGTATTAAAAAGTAATATAGTTAGGTGGAGAAAGAGAGAGGTTAATCACTGGGTCTTTGTTTATCAATTCAATACCACACACGTAAAATCGGAATGAAGCAACGGCTATACCAGATAGATATGGAAAGTTGCAACAAACAACACAGGGGAGTTGGAGAGACCGAAACAGAAAAAAAAAATATATATATATATATGAGACAAAATGTGAAAACGTGTAACTTGAATTGATATGATTATGGGTAGCAAAATTCATGCTCAAAACCTTGTCAACCAGTTGTTAATACTACATCACTGTGATGTTTAAAATAAACTTACCTACCACAGTTTGTCACTCAGCATCAACAACGAAATTCAGATTTTAAATACAAACACATCAAGTCAGTCAGCTCTTCTATACGGGTCAGAAACTTGGCGGGTGGGTCACAAAGAATATTTCCAACAGCCTGTTGCACACCTTCATCAACTAACAACTGTCTTCGCTCTGTACTGAAAATCAGATGGCCGGGGTGGAAACAATCACCAACAAGAAACTATGGGAACAAACAAAACAAGAACCAATCGCCCAACAAATATGCAGGAGAAAGTGAAGGGATATGGATTGGACACTCGCTCGCTGAGGAGGCCGCAGGGTGACATCGTGCGCGCATCAAGCCATTGCCTGAGTGGAACCCGAAAGGGAAGTGGAGAGTTGGACGTCAGTGTAAGGGTGACATGGAGGTGATCGTGTGAACAGGAGTTGAAACAGTATGGACTAAGATGGGTGCAGGTGAAAAGTACAGCAGAAGACAGAAGCAAATGGAGACGTACAGTTGAAGCCCTATGTTCCACTAGGAACCCAAGGGAACAATAATAATAATAATACCTACCACAGTGCTCAATTAATTGTCAGAATTCAGACTGCAGAGAACAGCAAGAACTAGGATCATGCCACTAGTTCCGTTCTGCCTAGTGTTTACTCAAAGTACATTAGCTGTTTGCCAAATGAGTGCATATATCGAAGAAGTCGAAGGTAAACACACACATACACACACGCACACATAGAATGTTACAAACACAAATAACAACCGCAAAACATGTCGAAACAGATGACCTAAGCTTTCTTTCTTACCACTATACCTCATATTGTACAGTTAAAGGTAGGGATAATAGAAAAACATGAATAAAGGCAACTTACGCTTCATATGTCAACCAATCATTATGCAGTATGGCGGCCAGGTATTCAGCAGCTTGTCTAGAGCATTGTTTATCTGGTATACTAGCAGTACTAGAGAACATAGTCGTAGAGATACAATTCAAGAGTAGTTCTATACCAGGTGCAGTATAATCTTCAATTAACCACATGGAATTGGTCGAGTTATTATCAGGCGTCAATCCTTTCTCTGATAAAGCTTTATGAATACAACGAGACAATGCATGATTTGCCGGTAGCGGTATCACATCTCCAGAAGAAGAAGAAGAAGATAAGTAGGAGGTATTTTCATGTGACGATGATGTTGATACTGATGGTATCTTTGACAATTCATAAAGGTATTTAACTTTATGTATTGAAAATAGTGTGGAAACACCTAAAATAAAACAAGAGCATGCATGAAAAACAAAATAATGACAATAATGCTTATTGGTTACAGGATTTCATCATGAGCTGACATTGGTTAGAGAACCATTGGGCCATTAGATCGGGTCCCAGTGGCTTAATGGTCTACGAGCTCACTCTCGCCTTGTAACCAGAAAGTCGTGGGTTCGAACTCTGCCGGTGGGTGCGTACTGATCAAAAGTCCCAAACTAAGGACGAATCAGCTGTTCAGTACTCCCTGCAGGTTTTCCAATGGTTCTCTAACCAATGGTAGCGCATGATGAAATCCTGTAACCAAACAACTAAATCCCTACAAACCAAAACTTGAATAATGCTTATTGTCATACACTCCAAAGCTTAGTGTTTAGAAGTAGTAAAATCAATTGCATTCAGAGGTTTCAATAACTCTTGGTTTGTTTTTTTACGTACAAACACATAAACACACACACACACACAAACTTGCCTGTTTTCCTAGCTTACTCTGCCGGATAGGCAAGCTTTAGAAGTACGCTGGTGAGGAAAAACCACATGGATCAAGTATAAGGGTGGCTGGAAAGCTTTCCACCCCTGAACCGCCAACACAGCATATGCCTATTCAAGATGAATAGGGAGGCCGTGAAAACGCCCTCTTCGCTTTATAATGACGAGTAACTGTAGTGATTTTTCCGGGGGAACCTGGAATACAAATGATTAATTGTCTTTCTCCATAATGCACATATAACATTTGATCAGTATATGTGTAAAACTCGGGCACTGTGGTAATAAGTAATTCCACATAAGTTTGTTTATTAGATGTATCACACAGTCAGCGAAACAGTATTATTTACTGGATTTTGACGTTTCGAACAAAATTTATTGCCGTTCTTAATCATATCAATTATAATCACACGACTTCGAAACTTGAATTTTATAGTTTTCTTTGTCCTCTTTTATTTGTCGTCGTAAGCGTTGTAGTAGAATTTTCCAGATATCCGACTGGACAGGTGTTGAACCATTCTTGTTATACGTATTTGCATTTGATTTGATAAAAACAAACCTTCTGTCATCAATCTTTCCCTCCACCTTGCTATTAAAATAGATTTTAAAATTGTCTTCTTATCCCATCCCGTCGTATTATATGCTTGTGTGTAACTGCATTTAGTGAGTGGTATAGCTTAACTATGCTCCAGACTTTTTATCTTACTAGAGTCAAGTAATCTAGATTTCGATAGGTTTTTGTGCTCCGCTAGTCTGACTGACCCTGTTCTACTAATATGACCTATGCATTTGAACTGACAATCATTGCAGGCAGGATAGAAGATAAACTAAATTGTTCTGTTTAATTAGCACCACAAGATCCTTATACCGACAAATCAACTGCAAATACATGTTATGGGAATGATTCAACACCTGTCCAGTTGGATATCTGGAAAATTCTACTAACACGCTTACGACGACAAATAGGAGAGGACAAAGAAAGCTATAAAAATCAAGTTTCAAAGTCGTGTGATTATATAATTGATGATATGATTATGAACAGTTATAAATTTTGTTCGAAACGTCAGTATCCAGGAAATAATACTGTTTCACTGTTTGTATGAGCTTTTGGATAGCTAGTGCCTCGGCTCAAACCCATGCTGTGTATCCAAAAGAAATACGTCCAACCCCTGTCCCTGCCATGGCTATCATAAACAGGTAATTTTTTTAGTAATGACCATCCCATCGCCTTTCTTATCTGAACTTCCTATTTATTCATGTTAATTTTTTAAAGTTTTTCTTAATCCCTGTTTACACTACCATATTTTCATACCTGAACTTCGTGTTTAATTTGTCATTTTACTATTTCTACATATTTAATTCCTGATTGCATTAGCAATTATTCATCACATTAGTTTTTTTTTACCCAAACATCCTGTCTATTTTTGTTATTTCTATATTTCTAATCCCCAATTGCACAATATCAATCGTCTTAGTCATTATGATGCTACTTTGTTTGAGTTTTATCCGTTCCCCTGTTTATTATGACATTTTAATTTCTAATTTTAATTTTTATTAATGTGCCCCTTGACCGGATATTATTCTGGAAATTTCCCATCCATTTGATATAAGCACACGAATGTACAGCTGCCTAGTTGATAGTGATTTCGTCGAAGAGGAAATTTTCTTCGCTGCAACTGTCTTCTTAATAACTCCTGTGATTCATATTATTATTATTTCTAGTCTATATTGGTTGATTTTTATTCAAATGTCTAATCATCAGTTTCACTCATGCATATAAATGAAGGTAAAAAGTTGTGGGAGTGAGTGACTTCATATGATTATGAGCAGCAATAATTTGTGCTCGAAACGTGTGGTCATCAGTTAGTATTACTGTGTAACACCACACTGCGTGATTTATCAAAATAAAGTCTTATCCGTAATAGAGTTATACTCTACCATCATCACAGTGCCCAAGTTTTATACTTATACAAAAAGAAACACCTTACTAATGAATCAAAAAAAGATAAACAATACATACCGGCTTTAGAGAAAAGTTTCAACCATCGCTGATGTCGCCTTGGATCAGATGATGAATACTTCTCAAAATATTTTGGTGATATGACATGAAAACGGGAACGAGTAGAGGAAGAGGAGGTAGAGGAACCAGAAGAATTCATCTTTTTACAGTTTAATAAGAAATTGAATAATTCCATTTCTAACTTCGAAGACGTCTCCTTCCATGATGAAGATGATGACGTTGACGTCGACGACGACGACAGTGTTAAGCTTGTCGTCAGTGTATCATCTGGCGGAAGAAATATTGCCTCTTTACGTATACCTCCATCTTGATTACGCAGAGCTGGCATTACAATCACAGAATTTTCATTCAACAAATTCTCACTACTGGTACCACTACCACTATTTATAGTCAGTATAGGTAGGAGGGTTGGCAATTCATCATCACAACATAGTGTTGTTCTATTAGACAATGAATTATCGCCATCAATATTATCGACAGAGGCATAGAATTGACCGACAGTGGCTAACCAATTCACTAAATGTGTGGAGGAGATCTCCTCCAACTGATGAATGACTTTTAAATATGGTGCAATCCATTCTTTGAAGACAATATAAGGATAAGCAATTTGTAGGTTACAACCATTTGGTGATTTATTGATCAACAATGAAGAATACTCTACTTTTATTTTAGTTTGTTGAGGTTGCTCAGATTGTTGAAGATTACGGTGTACAGAATTTGGTTTTATCAATGGTCCAAGCTTTTCAATGAGTTCAGTGTATTCGTCTAAAGAAAGGACAGAAAAATGAAAAATATGAAAGTAGGAATAAAGTATTACAAAGCAGATACCTAGGTCAAGCAATGCTTCCTGTGGCCAAATACCTCCAACAACCATCTAATATCATCAAATTAATGTGCACCGTGATGGCGAGCTAGCTAGTGGCATGGCAGCCACATTACAAACCTGACTGTTAGAATTCAGTCTGCACCAAAGAAAGGACTAGACACGTCACACTAGTTACTAGTGTCCAAAAAAATAACCACAAGAGTCCTACAGGAGGTCAATCGCGAGCCCGAATAGCTCAGTGGTAAAGTCTCTGACTGCAGTACTCACTGGGTGACGCGGGTTCGAATCTCAGAAGTGACATGAGTTCCTTCAAAGTTTCAGATACGCCTTACTGATGAGTACCAACTAGCACGAAACCTGGGTCGAAGGCAGTTCATCTCTTACTCCCGAACGCAAAAGAGGAGTGGTTTTGAAGATACAGCGTAATTCGGCACCAGGGAATGCTCTTTCACCGCCTCATTTCTATGGCGCTGTTTTAGTTTCTCGCTGATGTTGTCCCCAAGAATAAGGCCTTCCTTTTTCGAAACTGTTGGTACCTATGGCTGCCTTGATTTTAGATTCATATTCTTATAAATAAACTTTTCTGAATAACCAATTTCACTAGTTTCCCCGTCGCCAAATTGTTATGTACTCGTCGCTAAATTATTGATATGGACTGGTCGAGAAACTAATAGTCCTGACGCGAGAAGGCGGAAATCAGAAGACCACTAGGTTTGCGATGATACTTCTATTGTCCAAACACAAGGAGACGAAAATAAGTGGTCTCACACCAAAGTGGTAAATAAGTAAAGTAGTTGTAAAGTCACAAGATTGTGAATGCGAAATATATATGAATGTTCCAGACAAAGCGTGGGAAAAATCATTAGACAGTCTTAACATGAATGGCTAATTATAATGGAGTGTCGATCCAAATATACATAGCGAATATAGCAGACATGCCAACAAACATATATGGATATATGTCACCAAGCAACGGACTGTCAACAAACACTCATATTATATATAATATAATATAAGGAGAATATACATTGATAAAGGAGACAAGTTCATACCAGTGAAATGGTCACAGACTAAGCGAGCAAACAGAAAGAGAGACCAACATACACACACACACATAAATATATATATGTGGATACATATCAGGTTGCTAGCCAGCCTCGTGCCTAAACTTCCCTCTTTACCAGTCGTATCACTCACTGGCTAGGTGAGGAGGTAAAGCAGTGTATCGGCTGGGGATCAAACCCTGGACCATGTGCATGATCAGCGAGCATGCTAACCGCTGTGCCACCCACGTACATTTATTGTCTTTGCTTTATTTCAAAAAATTGAAGGGAAAATAAAAACAATTAAACTCACCATATGTAATGCCAATTAATGCCGAGGCTATTTCAGACGGATGAGGAGGCAGTAAGATTGGAAGAGGCGGCTGATTATTATTATTATTATTAGCCCAATCGTGTGTTTGTTTATTATCGCACAAGCGTACACAATTCCCATTAGTTAAAGGAAATATAGACAAATGTTGAAGTGATTTGACTAGACGACACTTAGACATTGGTATCGATGTGGAATTCAACGGCTGTGAATTCCATATAGAAGAGGTGGATGCGCTTTGAGTGGATAAACACCATTCAAAAGCTGACATCAATACTGATAGCAAGCCTGGACGAACAATGTCATCTGAAATTAGGAAAAGTAGAAACAGAAGAAAAAATCAGTTGTAAACTTGAACTTCATTATAGATATATGGTACTTAGAAACCAATTATGAGACCAAAAGTGTCATAACCTTTCGAAAAATTAAATTGACTTTGATTAGGGGTCGGATCAGCAACCAACCAACCATTGGAAAGCTACGGATAGTATACAAGGTTGTTTCACTTTGATTTAGGGCTCTTCCTTCAACAATGCACACACACACACACACACTCATCTCCAGAAATGGTGATATCAAACTCGGGGTAAATAAATACATTAACAGTCAACTTGTAGGTCTGAATCCAATTATCTTTCGAAGACACGTCATATTCCGGCCCCGCCCCCCCCCCACTTTCATTCAATAATGATCACCTGTAATATGTCTGTGTACACATAGATTGGAGACAAGTCAGTGACTAGTGTAATGTGTTAAAAGATATATTTGAATTGGTTGATTTTCTTGACGATATTAACATCATCAACAAGAATATGCACTCTTTTGACTTAAACTCGTTATTCACTAATATGCCTTTGCTCAAAACAGTTGACATTTTGTGTGATTACATTTCCACACACACAATTTCTTCATCCCATTCCCTGAATCTTCTTATTTAAGGGATTTATTACTTCTATGTACTAACAATGTTAGGTTTGCATTTGAAGGCGATTGTTTCCGCCATGTTGATAGTGTTGCGCTATGGGAAGTCCGTTAGAGCCCCCACTTTAGCAGATATTTATATGTCGTACATTAAGAATTTATTAATCGAAAATGTGCCTCTTCATAGAAGGTATGTAGATGATATTGTAATCATCAGTGATAAGGCTTGTTCTGCCACCTAAATTTTCAATCGAATGAATGAAGTTTAGAATGGCAAGCATATCACTTACAACATCAGGATTCCTAGTGAGTGAGGGTGATTCTGGAATCCACTGACACCCATATATATACACTCACATACTTCTGTCCTGTTAGGAGAGGATGCTGACAAAATGCAGAGTCTTCTGAACACCTTGAGCAGCAATCTTCGTATGTTTGGCATGCGATTCCCCCTTACAAAATGTAGGATGCTGCTACAGGACTGGACCACGTCAACTCCTAACTTAGTGATAGGAAGTGAAGTGATAGAACATGTTGACCACTTCACCTATTTGGGAAGTTGTATTAGCACCAACCGACTGATTGGCGATGAAATCTCAACACGGATCCGAAAAGCTCGAGCTGCTTTCGCTGACTTACACCATCTCTGGCGTAGGCATGACATCCGGCTATCAACCAAGGGACGTGTGTACTGCTCAGCACTTCACTTCGTCCTTGTCTATGGCTCTGAAACATGGCCAATACGAGTTGAAGACATGAAAAGGTTGACTGCTTTCGATCATAGATGTCTGCGATCTCTGTCTCACGTTAGGTGGTTTCACAAGGCAAGTAATGTTGACGTTAGGCGTAGAGTGTTGGGCAAAGAGGGAAAATCAATCGACGAGGCTATAAAGTTACATAGACTAAGATGGCTAGGTCACGTGCTGCGCATGCCTAACCACCGCCTCCCCCGACGGGCATTACTAGCTGATATAGGTACAGGCTGGAAAAGAGCCAGTGGTGGCCAAGCAAAAACATGGCATCAATCCATGAAATCCTTGACAGTTATAAACTGAGTCAGGTAGGGAGGGAGATGCAGACTTCCGGGTTGGGGCCCTCGGGACTCTAGGAATCAATGGCTGGAGACAATAGGTGACATGGCTCAAAATCGTTGTCAATGGCCAGCGCAGATGTATTCAGTCTCTGTAATCTTTCATATTCCTTTCTACCATTACCCATTCTGTTTCACTCTTATACCTGTCAAACTCTATTGATTCTCTTCACTCATCTTCTTGTCTACCTCTGTGTGGTATTTGGAACGTGGCAACTGTAACTGGTGCACTTCGGTGCCATGTTCTATGTTGAATCCAGACAGACAGACATACTTCTGTCATCAAAATCAAACAATTAAATCAAAACAGAAAGATTGAGCGAAGAAATATTTACTTTTCAATTAGATCCTCATTTCTCTCTGATTTTACTCCAGTATGTATCCATAGCATTTTTATTACAATACAGAACAGTTTACCAATCATCAAGTGGCACTGATATGTTTGTTGACAATAATTAGTCAGTCAGTGTCAAAATGTCAAGGCGCTGGTGATAATTAACGAAGAAAATCAATCCATATTTAGAAAGGTAGAAATGGTTAGAATAAATTAATTTACAAGGAAGTGGTCAGAAAAATAATAAAATAATTTGGACAAATATAATTTTTATAATTTTAAAGGTTTATGGCGAGGAGGCGAAGTAGTCCGGTTTATGCATTCGTGTAACGATGGCTAAGGTAAGGAAAGTGGCTGTACAAATTTCACCTGAACACATAGGTTTAGTTGGCTTCTTCAGGTGGATTCCTATTGCTTCAGCTGTCGTATGTAGAAGACGAACTTGTAGAGCAAAATTAAGATTAGTCGGAATGCGATAAATAATTCCAAATGCTGTATTAACGTTAACCTTATGCTCATTATCTACAAAGCGTGCTACAATAGAGCTAAGAATAGACTTGGTTTGTCCTTGCTTAACCATGTTGGATGATGTATGTAAATACACATAGAAGAGGCAAATTCAGGAAGTTTATCGTTATTTCTCGAACGCAGAATAGGGGTGGTTGTGGAGAAACAACGTACCTCTGCTGCATAATAAGCTCTTTTTAAACTGTATTCTTCAGGCGCTGTGTAATTATTTCGCTGATGTTGGTCACCGAGGAACTGCAGTTTTATGAACATGGTATCATCGTATTTCCGGACATCATCCAGCATGGGTTAAGCAGCGACGGACAAACAAGATCTATTCGTAGCTCTATTTTAGCACACCTTGTAACATAGTGAGCACAAGGTTGATGTTATCACAGCATTTGAAATTGTTTATCGCATTCGTATGAATCTTAATTCTGCTCTACGAGTTCGTCTTCTACATACGACAGCTGAAGCAATAGGAATCCACCTGAAGAAGCCAGCTAAACTTGTGTGTTCAAAAGAAATTTGTACAACCACTTTCCTTCCTTACCTTGACCATCATCATATGAATGTATAAACTGGACTACTTCGCCCCCTCTCCCCCTAAACCTTTAAAAATCATAAAAATCATAACCGTCCAAATTATTTTATTATTTTTTCTGACCACTTTATCTTTAATTTACGTGTTATCCTTGTAAAATTAAATTTATTCTAACCATTTCTACCTTTTATATGTGTGCATTAATTTTCTTTGTTAATTATCATCCCACTGACATGTTGACACTGACTGACTAATTATTGTTAACAAACATATCAATGCCACTTGATTGGTAAACTGCTGTGCCTTGTAATAAAAATGCTATGCGTGTATATTAGAGTTGAGCCAGAGAGTGATGAGGATCTAAATGAAAAGTAAATATTTCTTCGCTCAATCTTTCTGTTTTCTAAATGTCTAAATGGGGATACTTTTTTATATTCAAATTAAACCAAAACAGTGGAATAATAATAATACATCAACCGAAAAAACGAACAAAGAATAAAATAAACGGAATAAACCAAACCGACCAGGTTTTAAAACAGCTGCTAAATTCAATAATGATCTTGTTGATATGGTCTGTGCACCCAACCAAGTCAATGATTCCATTCGCATATAATTAATGACAGAATAATCTTGCCATTGATCAGAAGGCATAATAATAAAGGCATTGTTGTCATCAATAGATGATTCAGTGCATTGTTCCTGGATAAATAAATCTGGATGTGGTTCAAACACTTGAAGACTATCAATTAAAAGATTGATTAAATCTTTGTTTGCATTCGACGATTTGACCTTGAAGCACACAATTCAAATTTTTCCAAAAAAAGACACAAATAATCGATTAGGAAAGAGTTTAGTTAAATATAAAAGTAAACGACAACTGATGAGCACATTTTGCGAACGACAACACAGATGGACTTCAGTTAACCTAAAAAGTAATAGACAATATACAACCAATCGAAGTGTCCAGAACTGTTTCTACATGTAGTCAACCACACTTTGACTAGCTCAGCTCAGTGCTAAGGAATCTCCCCGCAGCAGTCAGAGATGCTTGTTCGAACTTATAAATACGCTCTTCTAATAAGTGACAATAATGGTAAAATAATCGCCAACCACGCCACAGGTGGTTCGATACCCGGCTACAAACGCACTCCTTCAGCTCGCTAAACCAGTAATAAGACTGGTAAAGATGGAAGGTTTGGGGCATGAGGCTAGCAACCCCATCAACCAGTAAAAGTAAGCACCAATGGCTACCAAGACTTCAAGCCTCTCCACTTACATAGATTACTTCTTAGAATCTTAACCCTCTCCCACCATGCTATTGTGTGGTTGTGTGTGAATGCGTACAGTGCAATGTAGTGCTGAGCTTTATTATAAATTAGTTATCTTCGCGAATGCAGTCAACCATTCTTACCTTAGCCCAATTCTCATGTTCCGACAATCTGACTACCCCCGATCTACTAGTTTGACCTATATAGTTAACATAACTCACAGTCGTTGCAGGGTATTTCGTAAATTATATTACTTTGTTTAATTTGGTCAATAGACAGGGTCTTTTAGCCTACAGAGCTTGTCCTACCTGAGTGAGTTTGTAGGTTTGAATGCCACCCTAATTACTGTTTTATTGAGAATCCTACGTAGGGTCTCAAATGTCCCCTCCTTATATGGTATAACAGTGGATGACTTATATTCTCTCTTATTTATGTTATCATTACTAGTTTCACAATTATTTTTATTTTGCTTTTGGCCTTTTTCGATCTTCCTAATGAATTTTATAGGATAGTTAGTTATTTAACACCAACGCCTCTTCTATCTGTTTTATTTCATCATTTAGGTCTTTTCTTGTGCTACTTAGTGCTACTGTTCGGTTTGTTAGACACTTCACTAAGCTTGCCTAAACAGTGAACGGATGAGGTGATGAATTAAAGTCTAAATATCTACTAACAGAATGCGTTGCCTTTTTTAAGAACGGAAGGGAAGATCATATGATGAAATAAGAGATTATAGGAACACTTGTGGAGTCGGCTAAAGAGAACTGTAGAGAACGAAATGAGATGGAGATGAACTTACTGTTGAAGCCGTCTTATGCAGCTCGGAATTTTAAGAAAGTACAATATATATATATATATATATATATATATATATATATATATATATATATATATATATATATATATATATATAATTAACTTACGGTATTATTATTATGATATCTGATAAAAGTACTGTCATTTTCTCCATAATACGACGAAGGTACAACTAACAATTGTGATGCGCATACATACTTGACATTTTCATGATCCAATAAATATTCTTCAGAGCGTTTAATACCTGGTAACCATGACAACTGTGATAATTTTAATAATAATTTATTTGATAAATTGGCAAATACATCGCCTTTTGTTGTTGTCATCGTTTTCTGCTGTTGAATGTCGTTACCAGTTATGAATGTAGAAGATGGAAACGAGGATAGATTATTATATGGTAGGCATGAGATAATACGTCCAATTAACTGAACACGTGTACAACCCAGAGTAGTATTCAAATGACTTGATTTAGCTTTATCCTCACTTGTTACGAAACATGAAGGCGGTAACTTTAATGGTAAAGAGATAAAATGTAAAATTATTAGTAAGTAAATATGAACACAAACAATGCGTAAAATGACAATTTGAACAACATGAAGTATTATTTTCAAGGTTAGAGAACCATTATTGATAATCACTAGGATGCACTAAGAGGTTGTTTCGTCCCAGTTTAGGAGTCTTCAACAGTACGCATCCACGACCTCACAAAAGATCGGAGCCAAGATCTTTAGTCCATTGACTATGCAGCAAGTGGGACGGAATTCAATGATTACTCCATGAATTTGCGATATATAGCGTCGTCCTCCAGGCAACGTCATCAATACGTATTAGTCATTACAACCGACCTCGCGGACCACAGTGATCACAGCTTCATAATACAACTACCGTAGACAGTCAGCTAAGTGGAGATGGATTGGACACTCCCTGAATAGGCCGCTGGGTGACATCGCGCGCTCGAGTGGAACCCGAAAGGGAAGCGACGAGTGGGACATCAATGCAAGGGTGACATGGAGGAGATCGTGTGAAGAGAAGTTAAAAGAGTATGGACTAACTAACATGGATGCAGGTGAAAAGTACAACAGAAGCAAGTGGAGACGTGCAGTTGAAGCCGTATGTTCCACTAAGAACCCAAGGGAACAATAATAATAAGTCAGTCAACTGGAAACATCATATATCTATTTGATCGAAATGGGTGTCTTGTTCTCGTTGTTGCACCTGAAAATATACAAACTAGGTACCAAAAGACAGACATATGAACCATTCTCTTATATATTAGTACCTGATCTAGTGACCACTTTGGACACTAATTCAACTTGGAAAATGTAAAAATCTTAGAAAGCCTGGAAACTATTGCAAAAAAAGCCTAGAGGTACTCAGATCATTCTGTAATTTACAGACGCAGTGATGCATAGATTAGATTTATTATTAGTGATGAAAGAGGCGGCGGAGGGGTGGGAGATCACATGGACAAAAACTCGACTATCAGTGAACAACGGGGGGCGGGGGGTAAGAAAAAAGTCTAGCAACAATCTATCACGTCCAAAAAAAGATAATCAAGGGAGAAAGATTACACTATAAGATGAGATTTTCTAGAAAGATAATAATAAGAAAGATAAAAGCTACATAATTTAAACGATCCAGAGTTTAGGGTAGACGACTAGACTACAACAATAAAATATCCACTACTACTATTATTTTGTCGAATAACAAAATCCCCGTTAAAAAACATTGACAATGATAGAATGCCGAAAATTTGAAAATAATGTTTACGATTATTTTGATTGATAATTATCTAAACTACTCATAGAAAATAATAATAATAATATGAATGCAGTGCGTCACTCCAACTTTGGTCAGGCATGTAGACCAAGTTTAATGCAGTTTTAAGTAGTGACATTCAACAGATTGAAGTAACATGCTAGTTGTAAAGCGGTTGTTGTTGTTGTTGTTACATTTGGTGTTGCTGCCTACCAACAAATGGAAAACCTATGCCCTGCAGTTTTCGATGCAGACATTAAATCATAATTAAACGCCCAGACATCGTCGAAGCATCTGCACAAGAAGCCGACATGTCAATCTGAGACCAAGCACTTCGGTCCAATCAAACGAAGGGAAAATCTAAAATTCAATCAGATAATTAATAAGACCCATTGTACAAGAAGTGGCTCCGCAGCCCAAGTGTTCTAGTGAATAACGCTTACGATTTTGAAACAATTGACAATTGCTTCCAGCTTCAATGGGAACACCATCACTAGATGGGGAATGCAGGTACACCCAGCTAGATGACGACCCTCAAATGGGACGAAATGCGCGTTATCCTCGATTCCACTGCTAGTCACCATTCAACAATTAAAATGAACATAGTTATTGTCACTTACCTTTCCAATACATTCAATCATATCTGCAAACACCTTTGGAATTTTATCAACAAGCCAACAATTCCAAGCACTTTTAGAATTAATATCTTCACGAGATGATGTTAAATCAAAGTCGGCTAGACGAAAAAAGGCAGACACAAAAAAGGAAAAAAGAAAACTTAAAAGTAAGTAATGTGTACCTGAACGAAAGCTGCTACCTTCACGTGGTGGTCGGTCTTTAACACCGCAATGACCTAATCAAGTTATACTGGCTGAGACTTATGTCTCATGAGGTTCTATCATGCCAGGCAGGTTGTTTGGATAGCAGTTAAACAAAAAGCAGCTACCCTATCCAATACCATGATTCAAACAAATTCACAAAATTTCATGCCGGATCGGCCGTGGCCCGGATTAACAACGACCGCGCTTCCTGCTGCCGTGTCACAGGGCAAGAGTGATAAGTATGCTACTGAGACACACCAAACAAACGAGAACAAACAAAAACAGGCCGCGTGTGACCGGCCTCAAGCAGTTGTCCCCTGGGCTCTGCGGTCACGCAACCAACTTCCACGGTGTGGGCAGCCGGGAAGTAACAAACGCCCTCATAATCCGATATGCACACAAAAAAAAGACAGAAGTAATGTGTGGTTTTACTACTCAACTAATTGTAACTGTAGTCGGTGGGTATTTTAATTCTTCCGAACAGTTAGCTAAAGTAATCTTGTCTGATGCTGAACAATCCCAACTTTTCCATTCCATCTCTGTAGGTAAAAACTAGAAACAATTTCATTTAAAAAAAATTTGTGCTCGTACAACTGTCAAACTACAAAAAAAACAATGGCTTGGAATAAAGGGATCATTGTTTTTTTTTAATTCTTATTATTATTTCCCACGGAATAATTCCATTGGACATTAGAAAGAAGAGAACACGAAGTTCAGCAAAGATGGCGATCTTTTCGGCGATTTCACTCTCAAAAGCAGCTGTACAATCGCTTTTATAACGGTTATTTTACATGGATACAATTATTATTTGTTTAATTTCACATAGTAACAAAGGTGATAATTATTTTCAACTTGATATGAATTACAAGAGGCTTAGAGACAAAAATTACTCAGGGATAGAACGGATTACAGGTGTGAACAAAATGAGCATGGAAACAATTTGAAACCAAAATTTTCCAACTTGAAATGTAAGTTAGGACGTGTGAATATAGATTACAAAAGGCATAGAAACAAAAAATTACACAGGATTAGAATATAATTGTAAAATGGTTATTCTAAACGGATTACAAGTGTGATCAGGAGGAGCATGGAAACAAAATTAAAATAACTAGTATTTTTTTCAGTTATAAAAACAATTATTTTAAATTTGTTTCCATGCTTTTCCTGTTCGCATTTATAATTCGTTTAAAATAACTATTTTGTACAATTATATCTTAATCCTGTGCAATTTTTGTGTTTCTAAGACACTTGTAATATATATTCACACCTCCTAACCTTCATTTCAAGCTCAAATTATTATTTCAAATTTTCAGTTATAAAACTAGTTATTTTAATTTTGTTCCCATGCTCCTCCTAATCACACTTGTAATCCGTTTACAATAACCATTTAACAATTATATTCTAAATCCTGTGTAACTTTTGTCTCTAAGCCTCTTGTAATTCAAATCAAGTTGAAAACAACTATCACCTTTTATTATTTCTCCAGTTATCAAATATTAATTTTTTGCATACGTTGTAACTATTTTCTAATCCTATGCAATCTTGTCTCTAAGCCACTTGTTATCTATATTCGTACCTTCAAACTTTCATATCAAGTTGAAAATTATTATCACCCTCGTTACTATGTGGAATTAAACAAATAATAATTGTATCCATGTAAAATAATCTATATAAATGCGATTGTACAGCTACTTTTGAGAATGAAATCGCCGAAAAGATCGCCATATTTGCTGAACTTCTTGTTCTCTTCTTCCTAATTCCATTGGAGCCGAATACTCGGTCTCTTTGACTTTGACTTTCGAAGTAGTAGGTATAGGCCTCGAGTCCCAGTGGAGATGTTACCACTTGTTGGCGATGCAGGTATATCACAGTTGATGAGTTCAACAAAGGACGAAGCGTAAATTCTAGATTTCAAACGTTAACCACCATGAACTAAAGTAAACAGAGCAGTTTTAAATACAGTAGAATTTAGGGAGTTTAGATGAAGTTAGGAATAGTCAGACCAAAAAAACACGCTACATTTCATGAGACCAAATGATTGTCGGTAAAAGCTAGATGTGGTTGAGTAGATTGCATGACTGAAATTTAGTAGATGCTAATAAGTTAATATCTTCGACATTATACGTCGAAATAACTCAAAATTGATCATAGTATCCAATTTGTCATCTATCAGATGTTGAAAATCTACACACCTTCCCTACACAAGTCATCACAAGAGGTGATTGTCAAGAAAGCTTCATTTGCTTATAGGAGTGTGTGTGTGTGGGCTGTTATGACTTCCCGACTGTCCTCAGCTTGGAAGTTGATTTATTCTTCTTGAAATACTGAGAACCCTCAGAGCCCAGGGGACAACTGTTTGACGCCAATCCCCCACGGTGTATATGAGTTAGTCCTCGGGTGTTGTAAGCGTACAAAGACTTTACTGCTGGCTGTGGAGAGCCTTAATGTAATTCTTTGGGATCAAAGTTTTTTAACGCCTCTTGCTCATCCGAGGCGGAAGGACAGAATACCTGACTTTCTGGTTGCCCGAGAGAAACACCTTACACCTTACTGCTGTTGCATCACTATTCACCAGCAATACAATTTCACCATCAGACTCTCCCCCGCCCATATAATGTAAAGTGACTTACACACTATGGTGGTTTCCGTTTCCAATCCAACCACTACTCAATCGACCTATGTGGCATGGTATAACGACCTACAGGAACATTCGTACCAGACAGTATAGTTCACCACCACGTAAAAGTGACAGTGTTAAAGTTCGAGTGTCGCAACAGAATTTTCATAGGACGATACCACCACTCCCCTATCCGATTACCAACAATAGCGATTGAAGGATAGAATCAACGGTGAATACACGCGATGATGGCTAACAAAGTTATCACATGAGTCACACTTCCCACTGAAAACTGCAATAAATGGTTTTTCTCTCTGTTTGATTAATGCTCGGCGAAGAGAAATAAAAAAAAATAAAAAGTAAAAGTAATTTCAACCTGGACAACTAAATGGTAGCATATCTGACTACAGCACTAGGTTAGAAGCAAATCTTCGGACCAATTCCTCCGAAGCTGTAGATAATAAGCCTTGCTGACAATTGCCGATAAGCAAAAAACATTAGGTTCAACGGGTTCCTGTGTATTGCCTTCAACCACCAAACAGTAAATATGTTTATAGACTAAATATCATCAAGGTATATTAACCATAAGGTCCTGGGTTCGAACCATGGCGGCGGGTGTGTACTGATGAAGAGTTCGAAACTAGGACGAAACAGTTGTCCAGTACTCCCTGCAAGTTTTCCGATGGTTCGGTAAATGATGTCAGCTCATGATGAAATCTTCCATGCAATCCAACAAAAAAATCCCTACAAAACCAATACTCGAACATTAAATAAAAAAACACAAAAAAGTTCAATTGTGATACTCACCATTAATACAAAATCGAAAACCAACACTCAACACAGGTAGATAGGCAAAAATTGGACATGGCTGAAGAGGTTCTGAATCTGTTAATGATATTGCAATAGATATGGCTGTTTCTCTGGGAAGATTCTGTGTATTGAAATGTTGTATATGGTAAAGAAAAACACAAAACGCCACAATAGAGGGTTAGATCTTACCGACTAGACAAAAAGCAGTGATTAAGTAGAATAGCAATTAAAATTAAGCAGTACTAGCTCAGTGGTAGAATGATCGCCAAACCATACATAAGTACATACAAGGTTTATGTTCGGTTCGACTCCTGACCGATGAAAATCCTAAAGTTCAATTCGCCAATATAGGGAGAGAAGGTGAGGTTTGGGGCTAGCAAGCTTCACGCTGTTAACATCACACCAACTTTATTACAACATTCAACTTCAGACTATAAGCTCTATGTTCCACCCAGAATTCAAGGGATGAAGAAAACGTTTGTAGACAAAGTGATTGGATAAGGCATTAAAATGATGTGGAAAAAAAAGGTTAATACTACCTGCAGTAGGATTACTGAGGGAGGGTCAAAGTTGTAATAATAATAGTAAATAATTCTTCGAAAAAAATGAAACAGGTATAAACCGCTGATTCTCATGACAGTTGTAGGATTGATGACAATGATATAGGAATCAAATCAGAAATTAAGTATCTTGAACTTATTCTCTCTTCTGATCTCTCCTGGTCTTCCCATGTCTTAGCGATATCCAGTAAAATATTCCGCCAGACATTTTACATTAGGAAGTTAAGGCACTCGGGTACAACTCAACCCCTCATCTTACAGTTCATAAACTCTTGCCTCCTACCTATTCTTCATTATTGTTCACCCTTACTCTTTCCTGATTTGCTTAAAAAGGACTATGTCACAATGTCACAAATCTCAGCACGAATACAGGGGGCTCGTTTCACATTTGCCAGTTTACGCCGACTCTGGCGTAGACGAGATGTTCGACTATCGACCAAAGGGCGGGTGTACTGCTCAGTAGTCCGCTCCGTCCTCCTTTATGACTGTCAGTGAGACCTGGCCACTGAGAGTGGAAGACATGAAAAGACTAGCTGTCTTTGATCATAGGTACCTGCGCCCTATTTCCCGTGTAAAGTGGCATAATAAGGTGAGCAACATTGAGGTTAGGCGTCGAGTTCTAGGTAATCAGGGGAAATCAATCGACGAAGTCGTGAAGCTACAAAGACTGAGAAGGTTAGGACATGTGTTACGTATGCCAAGCCATCGCCTCACTCGACGAGCAATGTTAGCGGATATAGGGTCAGGCTGGAAAAAAGCTAGCGGCGGTCAAACAAAAACTTGGCATCAGTCAATGAAATCCATAACAGTTGGTCTAAGCCACGTAGGAAGGTGTAGACTTCCAGGCTGGGGTCCTCAGGACGGTAAAAATCTATGGTTGGAAACAATTGGTGACATGGCTCAAAATCGTTCTCAGTGGCGCAGATGCATCCACTCCTTGTGACTTATGATCTCCAATGAAACTGTTTTGTTTTTCTTTATTACTCCTTTGTCTCACATCTCTGCTCACTGTTTCTATTATGCTTTTCTTGTACTTTCTTCTCTTGCTTGCTTTGCGTGCTACACAGAGTGTGGCGACTTGAACTTCCGCACATTTGTGCAAAGTTCTATGTCGAAAACAGACAGACAGACTAAGTATAGAAATTCTATGATAGCATACTTGGAACGTATTTTATGTAATGAAAATAGTGTCAGGCAAGAACTAACTAGCCTTTTTTCATCTAGTAAATAAACAATTTCCTCCATCCATCCTTATATACCTTGAAGTTTTACTTTTATTGTTTCCATTATATTTACGGTCCTGTTGCTTCTTTATTTGTTTTACTCTCATAGGATAGAGAAGGCTCGTTCGGCATTTTTCAACCAACTTACGCGATCTCTTACTTAGTAGACGTGATATCCGGCTGGCTGTCGACCAAAACGCGTGTCCAGTGCTCAGCAGTTCGCTCTGTCCCCCTATACAGCTTTTAGTGAGGCATTGCCATTGAAAGAGGGAGATACAAAAAGCTTGGCTAGCATAGGTGCCTGCGTTCTATCTCCCGTGTGAAGTGGTTTAATAAGGTGAGCGATAATAGGGTGAGGCATTGGACCAGAGAGTACTCAGCAGCTGCATCGCTCTTCTTTAGGACTCTCCATCTGTGCCTACTCGTCACCTGATCGACGATTGAACCGAGAGCCTTCCGATTGCAAAGCAACCTCGTAGATCATTCAGTCAGTTGAGATCCGACTCAAAGGCTAGCTGATGAATTCTAACTTCTATTAATTCTTGGTTTTTAAGGTGATTGGCACTAGACAATATCATCATCAGTGGGTATTTGTCCTCGGAAGACGGTAGAAGACGAAAGACTTGTCAAACAAATGTTTATCTGCTATTTGGTATCTCTAAATAGCAAAATTATGTGCACACATTATCTTCAACGCCGCAGCATTTGCACAGGAACTTCTGTATTGTGCTTGCTACTTCTCTCCTTCCTTCATCATATTGTGTTTCTTTGTGTACCTTTTACATCTCTTCCATGTATCTCCGCAACACAGTATCATTTGCTTTCTCTGACATCAAATATTCTTAAATGTTATCAGTAGCATACGCCACATACCCACACCCGACCAGGTGGACCCCAATAAGTAAGGAACTTCTGCCTAGGCAACACTAGGCAACTTCACATCCTACACATCATGCTATCCAGTCACTACTAGTGAGCATTAAATTAATTTTTTAAGCATCAATTTTAGCACACATTTGCGTGATTTCAAGTTCTGATCACAGATTTTAAAAAATATCATATTCATCATTTTATGTACTGCTCGAGAATTTAATAGTCCTGACGCAAGAAAGACGGAAATCAGAAGACCACTAGGTTTGCGATGATACTTCTATTTTCCAAACACAAGGAGAATCAAAAATGTATCACACAAGAGTGTGAGAGCAAAATATGAATGTCCGAACAAGTGTGTGAACACAAGTGTGTGAGCGAATATCCAAAATGAACAAATCAATAGACAGTCTTAACATGATTGGCTAATTATAATGGAATATCGATCCATATATACATAGCAAAATATATCAGACTGTCAAACAAACACACACATTATATGGATACATGTCACAACACACATATTATAATGAAACATAAAAACGCTTTTAAAACTAACCTTTTTAGAATCCTTTATATCACCATCAACTGGAATGGATTCTTTAAAACAAAACCATTTGTGTACAGTGGTTGCTTGCTGTTCCAACGATGAATGACGCTCAGTTTCAGAGATAGTAATTAATTCTGCATAACACTTGGCAGTGCTAGATAACGACAGAGCCCATGTTTTACAAGTACGTTTTACACTCCAATACATATTTGGCTATTATTATTTATTTTGTTGTCATATGCAAAAGAAAAGATGAAATTGAATATTTTTCAGAAAAACAATCAAATAATCAAGACAATTAGAAAAAACAGTCTGATCCGGATCTTGGAGATTATTAAAAGAATCTATGATTACAGACTCAATCACTGGTTCATGAACAATTCCCATTCGAACCTTAATAGACAAAAGGCAAGTAGTTCATGATATGTATCCACATGATGTGTGTGTTTTGTTTTTGACAGTCTATTATATTTTGTTATGTGTATATGGATCGATATTCCATTATAACTGACATTATGCTTTTGTCTGTCCACTAACTAAATAAACAATGTATGACCTTATTATCACATGACATTACAACCAATCATGGTAAGACGTTATCTTAATGGTTCATGTGTATTAGTCATTTTCCCATATACTTTTGTACTGTATTCTGGCTCACACACATTTCGTACACTCGTACCATTTCACTCACACTCTTGTGTGACATTTATTTTCCTTGTCTGGAAAATACAAGTATCGTCGTAAACCTCGTGGTCTTCTGATTTCCCTCTTTCCGCGTCAGGATTATTAACTACTCGACGAGTACATAACATAATTGGCGACGAGGCAAACTCTAATAACTTACTCAGCAGCAGCACATAACAGTTCAGCAAAGAGTCTCTTTTCGGCGGCGAATTCATTTTCATAACTGTACAATCGCAAATATATATGGTTGTTTTGTATGTGTGTGCATATAAATTAAATTTGTCAAACGAAAATACAATTAGTAAGTTCAGATGAATTGGATGTTTATATAAGTGGATAGTAACAAAAGTGATGAGTTGTCATAAATGATTGTTAAATAAGAGTTACGTGATGGCATGAATAGTTTCATGAAAGAGTTTTGCTCAGGGTGTACATGGAAAAAAATAATATACAGAATTACGTTTTACGAGTTGATCACGGATTGATATCAGTTAGAGAACATTGAAAACCAGGGAGTACTGGACAGCTGCTGTTTCATCCTAGTTTGGGAATCATCGGGAGTACGCACCCACTGGGATTCGAACCCAGGGCCTTCCAGTTACAAGGCAAGCTCGTATACCATTCAGCCACTGGGACCCGATTCAATGGCTCGAGAATTCTAACTTCTACCAATTCGTGATTTAGCGCGACCCCAACCACTGTCGTTGGTGGGACATCCATCCACACACGTAACATCTAATTGGACCTCACTGGTCACGACTTCTCACTAGAACTCAGGAAACTCCAACCTGTAGTAAGTCACTAGCGAGCATCAGATTAACTTTCTATAGTTTGGTTTGTAAGGATTAGTTATGTTTTACGAGTTAATCACGAATTGGTAGAAGTTAGAATTCTCGAGCCATCGAATCAGGGCCCGGTGGCTGAATGGTATACGAGCTTGCCTTGTAACCAGAAGGCCCTGGGTTCGAATCCCAGTGGGTGCGTACTCCCGATGATTCCCAAACTAGGATGAAACAGCAGCTGTCCAGTACTCCCTGGTTTTCAATGGTTCTCTAACTGATATCAATCCGTGATCAACTCGTAAAACATAACTAATCCTTACAAACCAAACTATAGAAAATACAGAATTACACAAGGGTTTTAAGTTAGAAAAAAATAAGCATACAAACAGAAGTAAGGTCAAATCAAACAAACAAACAAAAGTTAAGTCAAATCAACGGAGTTGTTACCAAGAGTAGAAGTTGTTGAATAATTTTCTTTTGTATGCACAGTTCTGGTTCCTCCAACTGAATGGCTACGGCTTCTGCGATGCAAAGATGATGGAATCGTATTGTCTTTGGCAGGTTGTTCTTCACTATGTAGATTACTTTGAAGAGGCATTGGTTAAGATGAAATGAACAGTGTTGAGGAGATGTTCGATTATTGCACTCCTTATACGGCCATTACTTCCTTTCTGCAGCCACGCTGCATAGTGTTCTTTGACCCTTTTTGACAGGATGCGCGTTGAACGACCGATGTACCTGACTCCACAGCAACAGGTGAACTGATATATACACATAGGAGTGGTCAGTTGCGGACCATTTCTATGTGTATATATCAGTTCACCTTTACTCTGGACAAGATGTTTACACACTGCACTGAATTCATAGAGTAATAAATTGCGTAATATTTTCTCTCGTCATCCAAGATCTTCAAATAAAATAACAACTAATTTGATGGTTGGTGACTACCACCGGAATCCAAAATGCGCATTTCGTCCCATTTTAGGACTCGTCAACCAACTATGGAAGTTTCAAAATTCAAAGCATTATCCACTAGATCACTGGGTTTAAGCCTCAGCTGGAACAACATTACTCTCACACAAAGGAATGCAAGCACACACAGCTAAATGACGAGTCCCACCAAAAAGAATGAAATGTGCTCACTGGATTCCATCACTAGTCACACCAGACATTGTTGGAGCATTCGCACACAAGGAGCCAAACCATTTCACAACAGAGGTCAGACACTTTTGTCTAATCAATATATATCAACTGGGAAATGCAAAATGAATTAAATGAAATGGCGAATTCATGGTTTATCACGTGACGTAATGCTGTTGTTCAACCTCAGGCAACGACTATTCCTTCCGGTTGTTCGAAAGTCAGTGAAAAATGTGTGTGTGTGTGTGTGACTCAAGGACAGAACTGAATGGTTAAATACACAGAAATTAGAGAAATTATAACGATGCATTGTGTTGAATGGAGATTCAGGTAGCCAGCCAGCTCAGTGATTCAAACAGGTTGCCGATGAGACAGGCAATGAGTCGTACCTGTTTTGTCAAACCAAATGATACTACCTGGTGATGCAAACATCAGTAGGTGTGAGACAGCGTCCAAGCCCCATGACCCAGTGGATCACACACATTCTGCTAAGAAGCACTGAAGTTACAGAGAATTAAGTAAGTGGTAAGATGATCATTTAAAAGATACAAAATATCTATCTAACTAAAAGAACATATGACTCCGACTTATAGATCAGCTAAAGAGCACACCCTAGAATACAGTGTATACACGGAATGCCAAAGACAAACATAAACGTAACTGACTGACTGACTTAGTTTCAACATAAAACTTTTCGCACAAGAAGTGTGACATTTCAAGTTGTTAAGCTCTACACTTTGACGTAGTTGTGTTCTTTAGGCTGGATGGTTTACTTGCGAAGCCTTCATCGCCTCAATGATTACGCAACAAACATCTATCTTTAGCGCATACTTCAGCTTGAAGTGAGCTTTAAAAATTCCTCCCTTTATTAGTCATCTCTCCTGATGACCTGGAACAGACATCAATTTGACTGAGACAATGTTTAAGCGCATGGCGGATTTGATCATGAGCTGACAGAAGTATGACAACCACTGGAAAACCTGCAGGGAGTACTGGATATCTGTTTCATTCTAGTTTGGGACTCCTCATCAGTACACACCCACCGGCAGGAGGTTCGAATACAGGACCTTCTGGTTACAAGGCGAGCCACTGGGATCCAGTGGGTGGGCAAAACAGCTGTCCAGTACTCTAGGTGGTTTTCTAGTGGTTCTCTAACTGATGTCAGCTCATGCTGAAATCCTTAAACTTTTCCAACCCATTCCTATGTCAATTGAATCGGTTGATGGCGGAGGGAGTGAGGTGTCCTCACACTGTTAAATAACGGTTACATGGATTACACAGTCATTGAACGACAAAGCAAAAGAAAAACTTAAACAATGAACGAATGAATGAACAACATTCATATTTCTTTCATATAACTAACTTACTTCATCGGATGAAAAGGTAAGACAACGAAGACGTCTTAAGAAAAGTAATAAATTTGGTTTCAGAGTGGTTTGAATTAACTGAATAAGTTGAAGTCCTGGAGATTGATTCAGTGAATTATAATTCATTCTTTGGGATAATGGAAGGATGAATAATGTTCGACACCAAGATGGTATTTTGCTATTCATCTTCTCAGATGCTTCATATTCTTCACACCAATCAGGAAGTAACAATAAGGGTTTCTGTAGAATAGATTGTTGTTGTTGGTTTTCAGTATTCTGACGTCGAAAACGAATATGGAAACCATTTGAATGTACTTCAGGAATGTCAGTTACGTTGAACACAGACTTGAAACCTATCCCTTTACGACCTGTATGTAGAGAAGTGTGTAGAAAGAAAGGATAGTAGATGTGACAGTGAAAATTATTCTTTAGAAATTTCGATAGATGTAACGTGATACCGAGTAACAGTTTATTTTATTTTTATTTTTGATTACAGCTTGATTCCACACTGTATTTTTGGGTACAAGTATGGAATTTTCAGCGTGGATACCGGTTGCTGGATTAGATAACCCGATTATTATACTATGCATACTTCTATGGTATATACTCTTCAATACATCATAACAATATTATCACATTCAGTTGAAGCCGATCGATAGTTGCCACACCTCGAACTGGAATCAGGATTGCAAATCGTATAACAAATCAACAAGATACACTGGCTGGGACGTACTTCTTGTGTGTGTGTGTGTGTGTGTTAACATGCGAGAAAAGCGGTTTGGATAGAGATTAGGCCAAAAACACTTACCATTATTATAGTTTAGCAATATACATTAAGTTTGGAGTATGTGAGAGAAGTCGTACTGGTGATGAATAGGGATGTGTAACAGAGACATATTTTCCTCAGCGGACCAGCAAGTCGGCTATTTGGTCTCTTTAATCTGAGGACTGAGGGGCTTAAAAAGAGATCGATACTTAAAAGTCTACATTCCTATTCATCTTATGGTGGTCCGTAACAATTGGTAGGATTTTAATAGAGATACAACTCCAAGAACCATATCAAACAGGCCGTCGTCTGTGACCGAACCCAAACATTTGCCCCCTGGACTACGCTGTCACAAAAGATTAATGCTTCTTCTGCTACGGGCATTTGTAGAAGAAAACAGCTTTCAGGATGTAGATAGTCAGGAAGTAATTACCACCTAAACACTTGCATAAGCAAACAGCCTTCATAACAATTAACCGTTTTCACTTTCACCACCTTGCTTCCCTCCTACAGTTAACACTATCCCACACAGGCAGTTCTCTCATCATCTTCCCTTGAATCTGCGACCACTAAAAGACACGATATCCAGAAAACCACTAAAGATAAGATAACCTCTTAAAACCACGCTGCCATTCGGATATTGCAGAGTACGACAATTCAAACCACTGCACTTCTGTGCACAGTTCCATGTTGAAACTCAATCGATCAGCCATGCAGATGAAAGACACATGCAGTACTGAAATGTAACCGTAGAACTTGGACACTGCGGTAGAATATAACTCCATATTAGATAAGCTTATTTCAAATACCAGACACCAACACATATAAGAAATCTATTTATTTTATTGATTTAAACGCAGAAAATACTTGGTACAATATGGTACCAAGAAAGATGCGCCACACAATAATAATAAAACAACATAGATTAAAAGTAAAAAAGAAATATAAGTAAAGAACGGATAAAGAACTTCATCTGGAAGGAAAACAGTCATGCTTTACAAATTCAAACAGTATTCGTTAACTGTCATTGGGAAGGGAAGAAAGAAGGAAATTGCAACACGTTCACCACTGATAACTGCGATTCTTGGCCATATCCCATAACGTTTCGAGCCATCGATTCGAGATATCTCGCGGACCCCAACCAGGGAGTAGTGACGCACCAACCGATGCTAATCTGTCACAAACATCCTTCATCTCATGACGCCACATTATGGACTGAACACCCCTCCGCCTTTTCCATCCCGTCCCAGGGCTGGCTAGCGAACAGAGACCTGTACGGAAGCCTCTGGGCTGACATTCGCAGAACATGTCCAAGCCACCGGAGCCAGTGTTTCCAGATGACGACGACATTCAATGAATGGTGATCTCCACTGTGTTCAAACACATGCCGCCGAACCTCAGAATTACTCACGCGATGATTCCATCGAACGCAAATAATCCTGCGGAGACAGCGATGATCGAACACACAGAGTCACCGCACATCCTCACCTCGGAGAGGCCGGGTTTCACAGGCGTGGAACAAGACAGCCCGCACCGAAGCATTGTGTACCCGACCTTTGAGAGCCAGGCTAACGTCGCGACGGCGCCAGAGGTTGCTTAAGTTGATGTATGCCACCTTAGCCTTCATTATACGGTTGGAAATCTCATCCGTCACCCCTCCGCCAGCACTCACACAACTACCCAGATACACAAACTTAACAATAACTTCAAGCGCTTCACCCACAAGAGTGAGTGCAGGTACAGGCTCCTGCCAACCTTGTAACAGTACTTTGCACTTAGATGGCGCAAAGTACATACCATACTTACGGACACTGATCGCCAACTGATTAAGTGCGATTTGGGCAGCCTGCATGCTATCGCACAGTAAGACGATATCGTCTGCATACTCGAGGACGAAAAGTCTATCTTCAGGTAGCAGATCTACACCACCTTCTCGCACATCCTTCAGAGGTGACTCCAGAATGTCATCGATGGCAAACTTAAAGATAAATGGAGAGATTGGGCAACCCTGCCTAACCCCACTGTTGGTTGGGAACAGTGATAACAGTTGGTTGTACGCCCTCACTTTTTCTTCTTCCTTTTCTTTTTGTCCTTCATGTTCCCCAGTGGAACATAGGGCTTCAAGCTAAAGGCTTGAAGTTTCGGTAGCAATGATGTTTATTTTTACAGGATGGGGTTGCTACCCTCATGCCCAACCTTTCCTCTTCACCAGCATTATTTTTGGCTTAACGAGGTAAAGGAGTGCGTCAGTGGCCGGAGATCGGGCCCCGGACCATTTGCATGGTCGGGGAGCGTCCTAACCACTATGCCACCGACGCCACCACGATGCCCTCACTCTACCTGAGGTGTTGCTGTATAGGGCCTTCAAGATGTTAACAAATTTCTCAGGTACACCTCTCTCTAACAGACAGTTCCAGAGCACAGTTCTGTCCAATGAATCGAAGGTAGCCCTTATATCAAGAAACACAACGATCGTTGGCCTGCAATACGTGTGGCGGTGTTCCAACAGCTGATGAAAGGGTGAACACATGATCAATGCATCCATGACCTGAACAAAACCCAGCCTGCTCTTCGCGAATCAATCCCTCACGTATTTTGCACAGCCTGCGAAATTATTTGCATTGTGTCATTTTCAGAGAAAACCTATTGTAAGTAAAAAGGCAACGGAGTCAAAATCGTAATTGTTTGATAACTCGGGAAAAAGTTGAAGGCAGTCGGACTAAAACAAGAGGCACGATTCTGTGGAGCTAATCACTTTTTTAATCTGAATTACGTAGATAAGGGTAGGAATTGTAATGATGAAATTCACGAAATGTTAAGAACTTATGACTTTGTGAAACAAAAAACGATTGGTACCATAGCTCAGTATCACATATATATTAGCACGAGTATATTTGGTCTTTATCGTTTTACACACTCTAAACGCTTTCTGTTAATCATTCACTCTAATTTCTTTTGGTTCTAACATTCATAAAAGTTCACTCCAATATTATCCTTCCATCCGTTCTCCTGCGCCTACTTATTCTTTACAAGGTTTCAAATTGTGAGGTTTCAGTACCAGTAACGCTGTTTTCACTACGTGTAGTAATTACTAGCTTCACAAGTAACCTTACCTTTCATTATTTCCTTGCTTACTACCACCTACGAAGCTAAACAACGCGATTGAGGTTTTTAACAGTTAGTCGACCAGAAGGCGAATTCTAGACCACTGAAACACCGACTAACAAACTAAGGAAGAATAGGCAGCTGTTTCATCCTAGTTTGGCAAACTTCACCCAACTGAGAACGGAACTACCGACCTTCAGGTTACACAAAGGCAAGCATTCATTGATCAATCAGTTACTGGGTGAATACAACCCAGTAGTCCATGAATTCTAACTGCTGCCAATTCGCGATATATACAATGATTATTATAAATTCTAATATATAACTTAAAATTATGAAAATTATTCTGATGCTCACTAGCGACTCAGAACAAGACGCAACTGGCTGAATTTCTACTGAGGAATCATGACTAATGGTATCTGCCAAGTTCGCTATGAAGACAATTAATTCACCGATGAGATATTAGCTGGTGGTCGATCTATAGCATATTGTGAGTTGAGAGAATTTACAGTTTATGGACCATTCGACTCCACCGTCCCGGTGGTTCCAGGGGTCAATAGACTCGCTTTGTAAACTGGGTGGTCCGGGATTTGATCCACGATGGTAATCATGAGTACATACAGATGAAGAGCCACACACTAGGACGAAACAGTTGTCCGGTGACTTCTAGATTTTAGTGGTTTTTTAAATGATAACAATCCATGATTAACACTTGGAAAGTAACTAAAAAGCAAACCAAACCAAATTTAAATTGAAGGATAATTCTCGACAAACCAACTAACCTATTTTCATATCACGTTGAGTTATTTTTGTACTCTGACCAATATCGCATAAAGCAGCAATATCAGATTGTGTAAATCCAAGAGATTCATTATTCATAACATAAAGGGAGAAATTTTTACTGTCCATACTATCTGTACTGTGGTGATTGGTGGATGATAAGTGAAACTCCAGTGTTGGTGGCATCTCGTCATCATCACCATTACCACAATCACCGCTAAAATAAGTATTATCATCAGCATTTTGAATCAATTCTAGTAGAAAGTGTCCTGGCAAGCCATAAATTTCTTCTGATAATTGAGTTAAACTTCGGGATAATTTTCCTTCAACTCTCTGTTTAAAAAAATGGGAACAGGGAAAAGGGTGATAACACGACTTTTTGTCATTAAGAAAAAAATACAATCATAGAGTATTTCGAACCCCGGTGGGTGCGTACTGATGAGGAGCCCCAAACTAGAACGAAATGGCTGTCCAGTACTCCCCGTAGTTTTTCCAATGATCCTCTAACCAATGTCAGCTCATGATGAAATCCAATTTAACCAATCAACCAAATCCCTACAAAGCAATTCTTGAATATCAATACGATGCTCACTGACGATTAAAACTACTCAGGTAGGTAGCTACCTGGGGTTCTAGTGAGAAGTCGTGACCATAAGGGTGCAGCAAGTCGGGTGTGAGGGCGAATACTCGCCACGGATGACATTGGTTAGAGGTCGCACTATGTCGTGAATTGGCAGAAGTTAGAATTTATGGGCTGGCTATTGGATAGGGTCCCAGTGGCTCAATGGTCTACGAGCTAGTTCGCCTTGTACTCAGAAGGTCCTGGGTTCGGACCTTGGCGGTGGGTGCATACTGCTGAAGAGCATCAAACGAGGACAGAGGAAACAGCTGGCTGTTCAGTACTCCCAGTTGGTTTTCCAATCGTTCTCTAACCAATGTCAGCTCATGATTAAATCCTGTAACCAATCAACCAAATCCCGACACACCAATACTTGAATTCACTATTTCCCGTAGCAATATGCTGCTTATGGAGCGGGGGTTAGGATAACTGCCTACTCTATACTCTACACAGAACTAGCACAAGGTGGTGAATAAAGTCAGCATTACATTTTATGCACACACACACGCACCAACTCATCACATTAGTTGTTGGACGAAAATATGTTACCAATCCATGAAGTCATCGATCGTCAACATGAACAGTGAAGGTTGATCGCTTAGAGCTCGCAGGTGACCATGCGAATCACATCAACCAGTAGTGTCTGCTAGACAGATACAAAAGGATTTATGCACAAGACGGCAAATTCGCTCGAGTAGCACCCAGCTCATCATCAGTTTTTGATGTGGTTTTGTTCTCTGAGCTGGATAGTTAGTTTGCGAAGCTTTCATCACCTTACTGGGTGACATCTTCAGCGCATACTTCAAATTGAAGTATGCGCTGAAGATGTCACCCAGTAAGGTGATGAAAGCTTCGCAAACTAACTATCCAGCTCAGAGAACAATACCACATCAAAATTATCCACCTGAGCTACAAATCTTCTCTATCATATCATCATCAGTTTACCCAGTTTAACTCAGTTCACAGAGTCGAATCAGTTCAAACCACCTGCATCAGGGTTAGCAGACTGGGTGAATCCGCAATAATATTGAATGAAATTCATATTTTGCAATTTAAACATTTATTTTTATTTATTCCTCTGCCTTCCTAGTGAGACATAAGGCTTCAAAAGCTGAAAGTTCAGTAGCAATGGAGTTTAAACGAGATGAGGTGGCTAGCCTCACGTCCAACCCCTCCCCCTCTTCACCTGGCCTATTACCCACACTAAGCGAGATAAAGCGGTGTGTCGGTCAGGGATCGAACCCCGGAGCACTTGCGTGGTATGAAAGTGCTTCGTCCTAGTGCTTTGGACTCCTTACCAGTATGCATCCACGGAAGTTTAAACCCAGGACCATCTGGTTACAAGGCGATCTTGTATAGCATTAGGCTACTGGGACCCGGATCTAATGGTCCATGAATTCCAAAATTTGCCAACACGTTAATTAAAATCCAAATATACCCACAACCATTAGACTACAGTCTTAGCTGCATATAAAGAATGTACTACTTGCAAAAATATGACCAGCTGAAATTGATACATAACAAAAGAATACTTCATATTGGTTTGTAGAGATTTTGTTGATTGGTTACAGGATTTCATCTCGAGCTGACGTTGGTTAGAGAAACACTGGAACCATTGGACTTTAAATTAGCTGATACCATAAACCAGTGTGATACGATGGTCGAAAGTACAAATGCGATTTATTCACTGGCTGCTAAAGCACTCAATATTTTGCCAACGAGATAGCCAAGGTTTGAATCCGTCCCCAGAAAAATTAGGAAATACCGTCACAGCCCTCACACAATAAATAAGCGTTTGGCCCATAAACTTACATACAACTTAGTCCCAACTAAACTAAGAATACCAACATATTACATAGTCAACTTGGTTTGACAGAACTTAACTCTCAAAAGTATGACTGACTGTGTGTATATTCCATGAATAATAATAAATTGCATAGGATGAATATGCTCATGAAATATATATATATATATATATATTGTAATTCAACGCGTAGGTGACATAGTGGTTAGGACGCTCGCCAACCATGCACATGGTCGGGGTTTCGATCCCCGGCCAGTGCACTCCTTTACCTCACTCAGCCAGAAGTAAAGCTGATAAAGAGGAAAGGTTGGGCATGAGGGTAGCAACCCCATCCTGTAAAAATAAACACCATTGCCACCAAAACTTCAAGCCTCTAGTTTGAAACCCTATGTTCCACTGGGGAAAGTGAAAGAATAAGAAAGTTCAACGCTGAATCACCTGTAGTAAATCCACAGCTTCTTTGCTTAAATCAGCACCCACGCCAAATTCTCGACGTCTTAAATCTTCAATAAATTGACGAGGAGACAATGATGATGATGATGACGATGATAAAGTATCATGCGTCCCCTTATGCACTATTGATGCTTTACTATAGTCAGTAGTATATTGCTCTGTAATAGCAGTACTCTGAAAATTAAAAAAAAATAAAATATACAATAATGAATGGGATAAGGTGAAAAATAAATAAACAATACAATGAGAAACATTTAAGACTCATCCGGTAACCCACCGATTCATACACAAAATCTAATCCGAAAGAAGTGCACACCTGTATACCAAATGACTCCGACACCAAAATACAACAATTTCAAATCACACAAGGAATAACAATTGACGTGATGGTTGGCAGCTGCATGTCGTAACGACCCAGAGTAACCTACACTGACACTAGAAATGATGCTTGTGCAGGTCGTATCATGCCAGAAAGGTCGTTTGGATGACGGACAGACTAAAAGCAGTTGGGAATATCTGTGGTCAAAGCTGTGCTGCTGGGAAATAGGGATGCACTAGCAATCGGATGTCTCTGTCAAATATGACGAATCCAGCTATGCTTAGAAAAAAATCCATTCTGAAATCTGCAGAACACTCGCCTTACTTTGCAGCAGTCCACAGGTGGTGGGTGGCAAGATTTTAATACTAGGACAACTTCTAAAAATCAAATCAATACAAACAGGTGGTCGTGAGTGACGGGGCCTCTTTCCTTTGGGTTCTGAAGTCACGAAATATTAGTGTGCCTCCAAGAAGAAACCAACTTCCCCCAGTGTGGGCGGTCTGGGAGACCACAAAGAGTGACAAAGATTTTGAGTTATGAATACAAACACTTTTTAACCATTTATGTTCAGTAACTCGAGAACCTCAGTCAGGCAACATACAGATGTCGAAACAACAGTTTAAGAATTCATGAACTGATGTCATAAAAGTCAGATTGAACCAATCCTATATTACCGAACAGTTTCCGTCAGACAAAATATACATAGGTCGAAACAATGAGTCTTTCGTCTTTGTCTATCGAACCCCATCATCGCTCTGAGTTGAACAATTCGATTATCGCACGCACAAAGTCAAATAATATTACTTGATTGTTTTTTAGATATAGGGAGTGATATCTATCCATATATATATATATATATATGTTGGTCTCTCTTTCTGTTGCCCTCTTAGTCTGTGACCATTTCACTTTCATGAACCTGTCTCCCTTAACAATGTATATTCCCCTTATATTATATATAATATGTGTGTTTGTTGACAGTCTGTCCTTGGTGATATATATCCATATAATATGTGTGTTTGTTGACATGTCTGTTATATTTTGCTTTGTATATATGGATCGATACTCCATTATAATTAGCCAATCATGTTAAGAATGTCTACTGATTGTTCACACACTTGTTCGGACATTCATGTATATTTTTGCTCGCACACTCTTGTGTGAATTGATTCTCCTTGTGTTTGGAAAATAGAAGTATCATCGCAACCCTAGTGGTCTTCTGATTTCCGTTTTTCTTGCGTCAGGACTATTAAATTCTCGACCAGTACATAATAATAATTTGGCGACGAGTACACAATAGGGAGTGAAGTGGTAGAGCACGTTGACCGCTTCACTTATTTCAGAAGTGCCATCAGCCCTAACAGGTTGATCTCTCACGAAATTTCAGCAGGAATACAGAGGTCTGGTTTCTCTTATGTCACTTTACGCCGACTCTCGCGAAGATGTGATATCCGGCTGGCTATCAACCAAACGACGTGTGTACTATTCAGAAGTCCGCTCCATCCACCTTTATGGCCAGCTGTGAGACCTGGCCATTGAGAGTGGAAGACATGAAAAGCCTGGCTAGCTGCCTTTGATCATAGGTGGCTGCGTTCTATCTCCCTCCCGTGTGAAGTGGTATAACAAGGTGAGCAATATTGAGGTGAGGCATCGGTCAAGTGCTAGGTAAGGAAGAAAAATCAATCGACGAGGCCGTGAAATTACATCGACTGAGATGGTTAGGACATGTGTTACGAATGCATTCCTAGTCATCGCCTTCCTCGACAATGGGCAGTGTTAGCTGACATAGGGTCAGGCTGGAAAGCAGAGAGCAAGCGGCGGTAAAACCAAAACATGGCTTTACCAGTCAATCAAATCCACAGCAGTTATTTCAAGCTAGCCAGCCGCATAGGAAGGTGTAGACTTCCTGACTAGTTGGGGTCCTCGGGACGATAAAATACAATGAAGTCTGGAAACAATTGGTGATATGGCTCAAAGTGATCGTTCTCAATGGCTGGCTAGCGCAGATGCATCCATCCACTCCTTGTGACTTATGATTTCCAATGAAACTATATTGTTCTTCGTTACTACTATTCCTTTGTCTCACACCTGTGTTTCCTGTCTCTATTATGCATTTCTTCTACTTTCTTCTGTTGATTTGTGTGCTACAAGGGGGGGGGGGGGTGGAGTGGCGAATCGAACTGGTGCACATCGGTGCAAAGTTCTATGTCGAAAACAGACAGACAAAGAGATTGACTTGATTGTTAACAGAACATTGGGAAAGCATTTCATCACTATTCAGAACTATCCCTATGAGTACACCAGATCCATCTAGATTAAAATCAATACTAATTAAGAAGAAAAAACTTTCAGCTCACCTTATCATCCACTCTGTTATTTAATTCTTCAGAGTTTTCAGGACTACCCTTTTCAGATGATGAGCGCCTTATTAATGTTTTTTGACACAATGACTCATTATTATCACCACTAACAGCAACTTTACTATCAATAATTTGAAAACGTTTTTCTTCAAAACACTGAATATATGCAGGCCATTTCAACTGATAACCAAGATTACCAATAGCTGAGATTAAAAGGAATTCCTGAGTTTGTTGATCCACCAGTAGTGATGATGGTGATGATAAGGATGGGGATGACAATGACGATAAATTGAAACGCTTTGACACTGGTAGAATATCATCAAACAGAATTTCTAAAAGACTAAAAGTAGATGATGGTGAATTCTTCAACGATATATCAGCATTATCTAACGGCCAAGATTGAGCTGATCTTATATTGGCTAATTCTAACGTTGGAATGATTATCTGAAATATAGAAAAATATATATGAGAATATACAAAAGCTAATGACTACTTTTAATTGTAAATAAAGTTGGCCTGGCTGTCAAAGGTCGGGTATACAATGCTTCGGTGAGGGCTGTCTTACTCTGCGCCGGGCCTGTGAAACCTGGCTTCTCCGACGATTAGGCTGAGGATGTTCGGCGACTCTGTGTGTTCGATCATCGCTATCTCCGCGGGATTGCTTGCGTTTGATGGAATCATCGCGTGAGTAATTCTGAGGTTCGGCGGCATGTGTTTGAACACAGTGGAGATCACCATTCATTGAATGTCGTCGTCATCTGGAAACACTGACTCCGGTGGCATGAACATGTGCTGCGAATGTCACCCCAGAGGCTTCCGTACAGGTCTCTGTTCGCTAGCCAGCCCTGGGACGAGATGGAAAAGGCGGGGGGGGGTGGTCAGTCCATGACGTGGAGTCGTGAGATGAAGGATGTTTGTGACAAATTAGCATCGGTTGGTGTATCACGACTCCATGGTTGGGGTCCGCGAGATAGCTCAAATCGATGGCTCGAAACGTTATGGGATATGGCCAAGAATCGCAGTCATCAGTGGTGAACGTGTTGCAATTACCTTCTTTCTTCCCTTCCCAATGACAGTTAACGAATACTGTTTGAACTTGTAAAGCATGACTGTTTTCCTTCCAGATGAAGTTCTTTATCCGATCTCTACTTATATTTCTTTTTTACTTTTGATCTATGTTGTTTTATTATTATTGTGTGGCGCATCTTTCTTGGTGCCATATTGTACCAAGTATTTTCTGCGTTTAAATAATAAATAAATCTACATTAAATACTCTTCAGGTAGGTCATCTGAGCTCAGTTACTCGAAGTAGGTTTTTTAATACGTTCCAGCGTAGCACTTTGCACACAAGTGTAGCTCCCCCAGGTTAGCAAGCTCTATGTATGTACCACACATTGGATTTTAATACCTGGAGAAGCTAAACCGGGCAATCTACACCTCCCTACAGTGAAAACAAATTAGTGAATTGATTCCAATCCAGGTTTTGGCTTGACCACCCTTTACTCCATTACAAACTAATCATCTCATGTTAGATAACATTGGTCAAAGACGAAGACGGTGTGTTTCAGCATGAGCAACACGTGCCCCAGCCACTTTAATCAGTGCAGTTTGACAACCTTATCGATTGATTGACTTCGCATCCTTACCTAACACTGTACGCCTAATCTCTAATATTGTGGTGACAGCTGTCTGCTAGCCCAAATTGGTAGACAGTAATTTACGTCAATGTTTGTGCCCCCAATATTGGTCATGGGAAAAATTAGAATAAAGACTGACTCAACAACCAATCACAGAAGACTTTGTGTAGACGGATACAATTAGCAGATAGATGATCTGATATTGAAGGAACACCCACAATGAGATGAAAGATTAACTTTCAGTGAGAAACAACCAATCAGAAGACTATGTCTGCTAACAATAATCTATAATAATGTACATGAAAATCTATACATATGCGTTGATTTCCTTAATAAACGATCTGTTTCGTGGCCCTTGTCTTCTGTTGTTACAATATTACTTTGAATTAGTTGTACGGTACTCTGAAGGATTCAACAATGGACAAGTGATTATATGTCACATCTCATGCTAAATACCAACTTACATGTGTGTGTGCGTGTTGTTACACAAATTGTTACAGAAATTTTGGGAGGAAAGCTACCTACCTACCTATCTACAGTTTCGAAGAAAGGCAACCTTGTCAAACTACTAAAAAGGCAGGAGTGAAGCCTTTACAAAAACTAATGCAGAATCACCTTCTTCTCCGTCTCAAAAGAAATATATTAAATCACGTCATTCTGAAGAGAGTGACTGAAATAAACTGTGAGTGCAAAACTCCGTCGAGAAATAAAGTTGCATTAAGGCGAAAGCAAATCATGTGCATATGAAATTGCATCACATTATGGAATAGAGTATAGAGAATGGCAGTCAAATCTCCATATCAAATTTATCGACTTTGAGAAAGCCTTAGATTGTGAAATAATTTGGAAACTGCTTCAACTCTACGCGAAGTGGCCTAAACCTACATCAAAATCATTCAGCGGCACATATATATACGCTGATTGGTTGATTTTTCTGTATACCGAAGGTCAACCAATCACTGAAAGGAGACCTACAAGACACCCAATCATTATTCACATGTCAGTCACACACCCACGCATTCGCACAGCACAACCAATCAGTTTCAACACAAGAATAAAATAGTAGCAATAAATACATAAATGTTCTCGAAAGATATAAGTCGGAATTACTTCCAGTCTACCCTAATAAATAAAGAAACATTCGGAAGACAAATCAATCAAAAATCAATAAATACTTGAACTGTTTTACACAGAAAGAAAACAAACAAATACTTAGAAAACTTACAGATGAAAATACTAATCCAGACAAACTAAACGGTAGACTGATCAAAAGACAGTGAACTAAATAAATCCACTGATCTGAATCTACAGAAGACAAAGGTAATTTAATTAATTAATTAATTTACAAGTTAGTCACTGTACATATAAACATCTCACATTACCTGTGTCAGCAGTAGTACTACTGGTAGTAGTCAGATTCCCTTTAAGAATTAAACAAACGCGTTCAACAGACAAATTGTTAGCCTTGATTGCAGTACCAATTAGATAATCACACAGGAGATTAATTGCCGATTGAGTAGAATTCAACTGCCATTGTTTAAATGCACACGACACATCGTCTAGTGAAGGATGCGCAGTAAGGCGTAACAGTTGGCCACCGCTATTTTCAGCACCAGCAGAACCATATGATGATGGTAACAGACGGATAGCGAATAGATTAAATTGATTACAAACTGAAACAAAGGATTCAAATGGAGGAATACAATAGAGTTTTGTTAAGTAAGTGATATATTAAGTTGTGGTACAATGTAAAATTATGATATTATGTTTATAAAACTCTGCACACTGCTACTGAATGCTTGAAATGACTAGTTGGACACCACAAAACATTACAAGCAGAAGTACTTGAATAGCCAGACAACTAATAGCCAACATCACACGGCTGTTTAGCCCGTTTGGCGCCGAGTTCATCAGGCGTGTTTCCATTCTACACCAGATCAGAGAGGTGATCAAAACAGTTCAAACCACCAGAATTGTAACTAGCTACTTAAGGAAACTGATGACATAGAAAAAATCCCCATTTAGACATTTAGCAAAAAGAAAGATTGAGCGAAGAAATATTTACTTTTCAATTAGATCCTCATTTCTGGCTCTACTTTAATATACATGTGAAGCATTTTTATTACAATACACAACAATTTACCAATCAAGTGGCACTGATATGTTTGTTAACAATAATTAGTCAGTCAGTGTCAATATGTCAGTGGGGTGATAATTAACAAAGAAAATTAATATATATATAATTAAAGGGTAAAATTGGTTAGAATAAATTTAATTTTACAAGGGTAACACGTAATTAAAGAAGAAGTGGTCATAAAAATAAAATTTGGACAATAAGAATCCATCCGAAGAAGTACGTATAGGAAACCTACAACAACACGTCAGTACACTCATTTTTTGAGTTTTGTACCTTTGAAATATAAACGCGTAACCTGGTAAAGTGTCTGGTTCATAGACCCAGGTTAATCTGTTCAGACGACTGCCTCAATGAGGAGCTTAAGATTATTAGAGAATTCCTTAGAAAAAAAATGGGTTATCCGGATAGGTTCTTGAGAAAAATATGAATCCATCACCTAGGACAGTCACTATGGCAACAGTTCCGAAAAAAACCACTGTTTATAAAACTGCAGTTCCTCAGTGACATCATCAGAGAAATAATAACAGCGCCTGAACAATGCAGTTAAAAGAGCTTTCAATGCAGCAGAGGTACGTTGTTTCTCCACAACCACCCCTATTCTACTTTCGAGAAATAAGGATAAACTACATATATTTTCCTTCTCTAGGTGTGTGTATCTACTAGTTTGACTGCAGCTACGGAGCCAGCTACATCGGGCGTACAATTAGGCAGGTTCATCATCGTATTTCCGAACATCATGCAACATGGTTAAGCAAGGGACAAACAAGATCTATTCGTAGCTCTATTTTAGCACACCTTGTAGATAGTCAGCATAAGGTTGATGTTAAGACAGCATTTAAAATTAATTATCTATCGCATTCCTACTAATCTTAATTTTGCTCTACGAGTTCGTCTTCTCAATACAGCTGAAGCAATAGGAATCCACTTGAAGAAGTCAAACCTGGGTGTTCAGGCGAAATTTGTGCAGCCACTTTCCTTACCTTGGCCATCGTTACATGAATGTATAAAACAGACTACATCGCTGCCCTCCCCCTAAACCTTTAAAATTATAAAAATTATAATTGTCCAAATTATTTTAGTTTCATTTATTTTGACCACTTCATCTTTAATTTACGTGTTATCCTTGTAAAATTAAATTTATTCTAACCGTTTCTACCTTTTAATTGTGTGTATTAATTTTCTTCGTTTGTTATCACCCCACTGTCATGTTGACACTGACTGACTAATTATTGTTAACAAACATATCAGTGCCACTTGATTGGTAAACAGTTGTGTATTGTAATAAAAATGCTATGGATATATATTAGAGTAGAGCCAGAAATGAGGATCTAATTGAAAAATAACTATTTTTTGTTCAATCCTTCTGTTTTCTAAACTGATAATACGCAAAATCTTATTCGCAGTTTTGCAAATTAATTTGCAGATTACATATCGTGCTCTGAATAATACCCAGTTTCTACAGCAAAGTATGGTGAAATTTTACCATGAACTATATAGAAATTGCAAATTACAAATATTATAATTCAATCTAGTACCAACCAGTACATGCAATGAAGCTGGACAGCATACAAGTTGTTTTAAACGGATTCCTTTCCTTGAACTAAGGCAAATTGAGTTCACTGTTGATGATGTGCTCGGCCCTAAAATGAACTGAATTGCTGTCTGGAGCTCAGATCACTTCGATCAATCTGGCCAGGAAGCACAACAACTACTACTACTACTGAGTGATATGAGTAGTGCCTAATTATTTCGTGTCAAACAGTGAGTAGTATACAGCATAAAAAATCTATGTCTCCTGCCATTGACTGTTATATAACACATAGGACACACCTTGTTTTCTGTATAAAGTTAAAAAACTTTTAAATCATGAAAAATTCCCAACCGAAAAGACTCCTCTCTTTCCAGTTGTGACGTGTGCACTTCTGATAAGATTTCTCAGTAAGATATATGTAAAAAGAGATGTTCGGCTTCCCCGATGACATATGTTTGATTTCCCACAAACTGGAAGATATGCAAGTCAAAACCAACAAGTTGGCAGAACAAGCATTCAGAAAAGATAGGACTTAGGTGAACATAAAGGAAACAGAGGTAGGTGATGAAGATTCCTTGCCAACAACAACAGACAACAATCAGCCAGCATAAATGGGAGAAATCTGGAAGAAACAACCTCCTTTACCTACCCACCGACCTGGGAACCATCGTTTCAACTACAGGCCAACGGAACTGACGAGGATATTAAAGCAAGGATCGGGAAAGCAAAACAAGCTTTCATTACTCTCAAGTCTATGTGTAGGTCAACAGCACTCAGAATGAAAAATTAGATCCGGATTTTCAACTCCAATGTGAAGTCAGTGCTACTTACTATACGGATCCGAGACTTGGCGCGTCACGAAGGTTATTTCGAACAAACGACAGACCGTCATCAACATCTGTCTTCGCTCAATACTCAAGATCAGATGACCGGCCAGAAAAGATCAGCAACAGAGTGGGATCTCTGGGAACAAACCAACCAGGAACCGATTGCGAAACAAATAGACAGGAAGAAATGGAGATGGATTGGCCATACTCTGAGGAAACCATCAAGTGACATCACACGACAGGCCATCATTAGAGTGGAACCCGAAAGGGAAGCGATGAGTTGGTCATCAGTGCCGAGGGTGACTTGGAGGAGGTCATGTGAAGAGGAGATGGAAGCATGTGGGCAGACTTGGAGCGGGGTGAAAATGTTGGCAGAAAACCGAAGGCAATGGAGATGCGCAGCTGAAGCCCTATGTTCCTCTAGGAATTAAAGGAAATAATAATAAAGAGATGTCCACTGCCATAAAACATTAAATAGCAGAGAGATACATTTGATGCCAGAGAAAGGAAATGATATAGTGTTGCGGAGATACATTGAAGAAGCACAATATGGAAGAAGGCCAGAAGTAGCAGGCATAACACGGAAGATCTGTGCAAATGGTGCGTTAAAGATAAGGTGAGCACATAATTTGGCTACATAGAGATCCCAAATAAGAGATAAACATTAATTTGACAAGTCTTTCATCTTCCACCGTTACGCGGTGGATTCATTTTCCTCTTTAGCTGTACAATCGCATTTACATACAATCCCTTTTTTACATGAAAGAGGATAGTAACAAAAGTGACAAGCTGTCACAAACAGGGTTGTTGATATTAGTCAATGCGTAAGAGGAGTTGAATAAGCGCATTAGAATTTTAGGTATTCAGATGAAGGCGAAGTTCAACAATAGCGTCATCCCAGGAGTGTGAACGCTCCAATGACCTTCAACGCATGGTAGTCGTTGGCGAATGGCAGCTGTCATTATCATAGCTGAAATATCAACGCTATTCACCAACTTAAGAGCAAATTTCACCCAGATCATGTTTTTCTTAAGTACTGTTTAGACAATGTGTTAATAGCTCGTTAGGGTTAGGATCAGGGTTATTATTAGCATTAGGGTTAGAATTACGTTTGGATAAGGGTTAGTGTTTAGGGTCAGAATTAAGCTTATGGTTACGATTAGGGATAGATTTATAGTTGATGTTATTCATTTTAATTTGTTTTATTTTCCACGTTTTCCTGATATGCGGTCGTCTATCCTCTTGCTAGAAACCATGATAAATTCAACCGAGGTCTGTGCTTGGAAGACTTCAAGCAGGATGAGGGAGATAAACGATTCACAGAAAAAAACGGTTTATCTGTAGTCATCTCGGTGAATACATGTACAGAAACCAGTCTAACTTAGCAACTGGCACTCCTCGATATAACTAAGGCGTATTTTTAAGCCATGTCAAAGAAAGATAACCTGCTTTTAATGCGTTTTCATCAAGCATTTTCTTGTCAATATACATCATCATTTTTTGAGGAAACATTCCTCATATTTATGATTGGTCAGCTGAAGGTCACTCATGCGTTTGCACTCCTGGGATACCGCTATTGTTGAACTTTGCCCAGATGAATAATTTAATGAATAAATTGTAATCGGGATGCATACAAAAAAACTAAGGCAAATATGGAATTACGTAAAAGTTCTGAAAGAATACAAGAGTTATAAGGTGTTTGAAAAAAATAAGGGCGTTTGTTACACCATGATAGTAGAAATGGTTGAATAATTTTTTTCTGCTCATAGATCTGGCTTTTCTATCTGAATGGCTAAATAAAGCTTCAGTAACGCAAAGAAAATGAGAGCATATTGTCTTTAGCCGGTTATTCTTCACTTCGCAGATTGCTTTGAAGAAGGCGTTTGTTTATATGGTATGACAAGGTGTTCGATTAACGTACTCCTTATGTTGTTGATTTCCTTAATAAACGATCTGTTGCCAGGCCCTTGTCTTCTGTTGTTACATTTGGTGTCGCTGCCTACCGACAAAAATCGAAAGCCTATACCCTGCAGTTTTGATGGAGACATATGAATCTACGGGCAGGACTTCGAGGCTTCTGCGCAGTTAAGTGGCGTTCAAGATCTGTCGGCGATGAAGCTGTTACTTGGGACGCTGCTGGGATGTCGAGCGAAAGCAGCATATGAAAGTGTGAGGCGAAATACAGACGAATGTTCGACAGGGTCAGGCAAACAGTTTCCAAAGTGGGAACGACTACATAGGGTCACGTTGAGATGGGGTTACGCAGACACAATCGCAATGGTAAACATAGAATTTTGAGATTATTTATTATCGTCCTGTGATTTCAATGACTGGTGGTAATAATATCTTCCATGCATATTTCTCGTATTTGCATTGAGTCATTTCTGTTGCATTTGTTGTGTTCGGTGTAGACTCAACGAACCAGTCAGGATTCAGTAATCAACCTCTCTCTCACTCTCCACCTACATAGATTATTTCTTAGAATTTTAACCCTCTCCCACCATGCTGTTGTGTGGTTGTGTGTCACTGCATGCAGTGCAATGTAGTCCTGGGCTTTTTTCTAAATTACTTATCTTCACGAGTGGGGTCAACCATTCTTACGTTAACTAAATTCTTATGTTCCGACAATCTGATTTCCCCCGACCTACTGGTTAATCCTCATAGCCATCGGAGGGTATTTTTAAATTTTATTATTGTGTCTAACTGGGTCCACCGACAGGATCCTTTAACCTACAGAGCTTGTCCTACCTGATTGAGTTTTTAGGTTTAAATGCCACTCTGATTCCTGCTTTATTAAGTATCCTACGTGGTGAGGGTCTCAGATGTCCCCCTCCTAATATGATAAAACACTAGATGCCTTACATTCTCTCTTATTTATGTTAACATTACTAGTTTCACAATTATTTCTATTTTTATTTTGCTTTTGGTCTTTACTGATCTTCCTAATGAATTTTATAGGACGGATTAGCTATTTGATACCAACGCTTCCACTGCTATCTGTTTCATTTCATCATTCAGGTCTTTTCTTGTGCTACATAGTGCTATCGCTCGGTTTGTTAGACACTTAACCAAGCCTCCCTTAACAGTTAACGGATGAGACGAATTAAAGTCTAAATATCTATTAGAATACGTTGACTTTTTATAAACGGTAGTGTGTGTTCGTTTTGTTTTACACTCTAACATAGCTAATTTTCCTTGTTTATTTTCCACATGTATATAAATGAAGGAAAAAGTTGTGTGAGTGACTTGATGTGATTATGAGAGCCAATAATTTCTGCTTGAAACGTGATCATCAGTTAATATTACTGCATAACACTCCACTGTGTGATTTATCAAAATAAAATATTATCCATAATGGAGCTATACTCTACCAGCACAGTGCCCAAGTTTTATACTTATATCGAATTTTCTGCATAAAAAGATTTATGTTGGACGAAAAGCCTCGATCTTTACCAAAATGCCCTCCCCAAGTACGGACGCTTTAAAGATGTCTAAGGATTTATATGATGTGATTATTGTTTATTTGGGGTGACTAGTAGCAGAATCTACCAGGTGCGTTTCGTCCTATCTTGGACTCTATAATTTGGACGTACCTGCATTCTCCTAGTAGGTATAGTGTTGTAATAATTGCCGAAAAAATTAGGATTTGTATTCACACACACACACAAACACAGAAAAAACGATGTCACTCACCTTGATCTGTGCCACATTCGTTGAGAAATGATTCTAAACTGCCCCAACGATCTAAGAGTACACTGTTCAGTTGAGACCATTGACACCAAACTTTCAGATCTTCTAATGAAGGACATGCTGACATTAGTTGGAGTAGGCAGTCTCGTTGAGTTAACAAATGAGAAGAAATAACATCAGATGACGATTCCGACTGGTAATCAATCGATTGATGAGAATTTATGAAAATACCTTGTAAATTGATAAAATCACTACGACAAAAAAAGAGAAGAAAAAGCAAAACAATGAGCTTAAAACTAGTATTGAAACGACCGAAGACAAGGGCCAGGCAACAGATTGTTTATTGAGAAAAGCAAGAGGTTTTCAAGTATTGGTTTGATTGCGTGGATGATTTCATCATGAGCTGATATCAGTTAGAAAATAATTAGAAACAAGCAGGGAGTACTGGACAGCTGTTACACTCCAGTTTGGGAATCATCGGCAATGAGCACCCACCACCACAGTTCGAACCCATGTGAGCTAGCTCGCAGACCGTTGAGCCACTGGGACCCGATCCAATAGCAAGTCTATGAATTCTAGCTTCTGCCAATTCACGACATAGCGCGACCATTTCGAAATGTCTTCTTCGATGATTTACTGCCTCATCTTCAACCTGCTGTACCCTACTGGTCACGGCTTGTCACTAGAACTCCAGATCAACTGCCTGAATAGGGCCAGTCACTAGTGAGCATCAGATTAATTTTCAAGTATTGGTTTTGTAGGGATTTTTTTGTCTGATTGATTTGAGGATTTCATTATGAGCTGACCAGTAGGGGTTCAGCTGTCCAGGATTCTCAGGTTTTCCAGTGGTTCTCTAACTGCTGTCAGTTCATGATGAAATCCTCCATAAAATCAAGAGGTATTTATAGATTTTATGTGCATTATTATTAGCGTTATTCTTAGCGGATAAGCAACCTCTTCTGACTGGCTATTGTCCTGTTGAAGGCTATTCTGTTATTTCTTTATAGCCGTTTCTCAGAAAACCAAGCCATACATATATATGTAAATCACATTTTCACACTTTAACTCTGCTGTGATTGGTTGGTGATTTTCTCAAGGTTAAGCTTTGTGTTATTGTTTTTTCTTCATGACCCTAATTCGGGACGCGAACACACTGACGCAAATTGTTGTCGACATTTTGGCTTGCGACCAGCTCTCATCACAATGTAATCGATAAAAAAACGTGTAAAGTCCCTCCCTATAAATTGCCAGATACGGCTGAGAATAGGTAACCTTCAGCCTTCCTGGCGAAATACTTTTATGCAGCCAATACCTCCAGAGGTACGGGGTGTTCCTCAAAAAAGTGCCAGACTGGTGGACATGCAGGTCTACTCATGGGAGCTGTAAAATCCTGATTCCAAACCTATAGTTGTACATGGGTTCCAGAATCTGAAGGGACTAAATGGTCTTATGCAGCTGTTTCAGTCACAGGACACCATGAGAACATAGCTCCTGACGCTGCTTTACTGCCTTGTGGATCTCAGATATCAAGTCAAAAGCTTGGGTGAGGGTGGTCCCTTAAGACAACCACCTGCTTCGGCCTGGACATTCGGGAAGAGCATGACAGCCCTTAAACAAACTGAGGTTTTGTGTGGTGAATCTCTTGTGATTAAAGTCAGATCCATATGACAAAAGAGCAGAATCAGGAGCTGCGTTTCCACGGTTACCAATAGCTCAAATACGGTCGTAGAGCACTTGTTTCTTTCGGATTTTGGAGCCCTTGTACACTACAAGTTTGGATTCAGCGTTCTCCGACTATCCCAAAACGGACATCCATGTACACTGTCTCGGGGACAAACGCTGGACATTCAAACTCATCCAATTACTTTTGTTAGAACATCTTCCGCCACTGCATGGAGACACTAAATGAGACTTGCATGACAGAGGTTATAAACTCATGGAAATATGGGAGCATTTCAGGAAGAAGTTTGGTGTCTATCCAGTTCCGAGCTGTATCAGGTTATTTTCTGAAGGTCAATATATACAATCAACATGCGGATTATGCTGGTAATCTTAATGTGGGAATCATAACTCAACAGCATTACTACTTGACTCTTAATAAACGGAAGAGTGGGGTTAAACATCCAATCACCTGTTTCAAACTGAATAACCGGAGATAATACTGAGTATATTGTCAATAATTGAACATGAAATCACAAGCCCTAGTTAAAACTCAACTGCCTGTAACAGATGTTTGATGTGCTAAAGTGAGCTATAAGTCACACAAATTGTGCATAGGAGGACAGAGAGCTGAAACAGATGGAGTCGACGCTGGACCTGGATTCTGTAGACTAACAGTTGAATGCTTTCGCCAAACAACCACACTATAACTAGTTGAGAAGTAATGAACTTCTTCAGCGAAGGACACCTATTCTCCATCTAGGATTGTATTAGTAACTTCTAGTTCGCTCATGTAGTGTGTCACTGTAGCACACAAAAAAACTTTTAAAAAATATCACTCAATTAAAATCCGTACTCGAATCTAACTATTGTCTCTCTGCCTATCTGTTTTCAACATAGAACTTTGCACCGATGTGCACCAGTTCAATTCGCCCCCGCCCCTTGTAGCACACTAACCAACAGAAGAAAGTAGAAGAAATGCATAATAGAGACAGGAAATACAGGTGTGAGACAAAGGAATAGTAGTAACGAAGAACAATATAGTTTCATTGGAAATCATAAGTCACAAGGAGAGGATACGTCTGAGACAGCCAGCCACTGAGAACGATCACCTTGAGCCATATCACCAACTGTTTCTAGCCATCATTAGTTCTTACCGTCCCCAGGACCCCAACTAGTCAGGAAGTCTACATCTTCCTACGTGACTCAAACTAACTGTTGTGGATTTATTCATTGACTGATGAAACCATGTTTTGGTTTGACCACCGGTAGCGCTTTTCCAGCCCGACACTATGTCGGCTAACACTGCCCGTCGAGGAAGGCAATGTAGCTTAACAGTCCCGTCGATTGATTCCCCCTCCTTACCTAGAACTCGACTGATGCCTAACCTCAATATTGCTCATACTGTTATACCACTTCAAACTGGAGATAGAACGCAGGCACCTATGACCAAAGACAACTAATCTTTTCATGTTTTCCACTCTCAATGGCCAGGTGTCACAGCCATAAAGGAGGATGGAGCGAACTGATGAACAGTACACCCGCCCTTTGGTCAATAGTCCTAACTATTGTTAAAAACATGAGCATTCTTTGAATTCCAATGAAAATCTCAACACGAACCGACATGGCTGAAATAGGGTATTATAGAACCAGAAGAAGGAAACAAAACGACCAATCTGTCTACTTGACACCCATCAGAATATAAAGAAACTATACAACACAATCTCAAACATATCATAGTCTGTGTATTCAACAAGATGTCAATCAAAATCCTACAAAGGTAGCACAAATCAACTATCAAAGACTTCGAGGATACATACCTGCTTTTGATTTGACGACAAGCGCCGCACCCCCCCCCATAATTCTTTTCTAACCTAATCCTATGTCAACTAAGATTATTCGACGAGGAAGGCGATGGATGGCTCGACGCATGTGTAACACCTGTCTTAGTCATCTCAATCAACATAGCTTTCTCTCCTCACCTAAAAGTCCTACGCCAAATCTCAATATCAATTCACTAGGTTAAACCACTTCGTTTCACTTCTGTGGTTAAAGACAGCTACCTTCCACTTTCAATGGCGCTGGGGGTCTCACAGCCATAAAGAAGTATAAAGTCAAAAATTCGCTAAGCGTAATAATTTAAAGTAAAAGGGTACCACTATAGAAATTCATATTAATAATTAACTTACTGATAAATTAACGCCTTTTGTTGATGTCTCTTCAACTCATCACTAGTGATTAGTTTAGGTAAAATAGATGTGATGAAATTATCTAATTTTATAGAAGGGATAATATCCTGTAGATTTTCACACACAAGTTTGCATACTTCCTAAAATGTTTCAAAAAAAAATCAAAGTAATAATTCCAATAATAATAATAATAACCGCCATGTGGTTTGTAGTGGTTATCATTCTGGATCATTTTGAACCCAGTGACACAAGTTCGAGTCTCGACAAGACCTCGGGCCAAAGACAGCACTTAATCTCGACTAGTTACTTAGTTCACCAGCCGATCCTAAGCTTTGGAAAGGAGGGCGGCAGGTTTGGTAAAGAGCTAACTACCCAACCACAGGAAGTAAATACGAATTATCTATTACATCAATAATAGTGACGAATCAACGCACATGTCAAAGCATAAAAGCACTACATGTGATCTATGGTGAGCTTGAATACAGCAGATAGAATTTTCGAGGAGGATATTAGTTCCTTCAATGCTACAGCTACGAACAGTTACGAAGCCAATCCTAAGTCAGCTGACACAGCTTGACCTGAGCAAAACGTAGCCTAGTCATCTCAACCGGTGCAGTTTCACAACCTCATCTATTGATTGACTTGACCTTCACACCAAGCACTCTGACTACAAACTTTGGTGTCCTATCTGCCGTGATGTGGTATAATAGGGTGAGATTAGGTGAAAAGACAGCCAGCCTTCATCTGTCTTCGACTTCGAATGGCCATGTCGTCTTACAGCCATAGTAAAGATATAAGGAATTATTACGCAGTATACAGCTGTACGTTAACGGCACATGTCAAGTGATCCACAACGGAAAACTCAGCGAGGCGTTTGGAGTAAACACAGGAGTTAGACAAGGGTGCTTATTATCACCAATAAATGATATTCCTAATTGTGGTGGACTGATTGGATTAGGCCTCAGACAGTGAGTGGGAAACGAGAAGACAGGGATATCCTGGACCGACGTGAAGAACCTAAAACCTAGACCTGGATTTCCCGCGTGGATAATTTACGTTTGATGTCAAACAAAATCGAAGACTTACAAGCGAAGATTGACAAACTGGTCAAAGAAGCAGCCGGCGAAAACAGGACTCCAGGTGAACATAGACAAGACGGAGATTATGAAAATAACCAACCAACATCAACAACAACAACAGCAGGAATAGCCAGCTCCAATCACCATCAAAGGGAGCGATTTGAAAGAGGTTACTTCATTCAATTACTTATCTAGGGAGCATTGTCTCAACTACAAGCAGTAGGAATGGTCGACGATGTCAAATCGAGAGAGAATCGGGAAGGAGAGAAACACATTCATCAACCTGAAACCAATCTGGAAATCTTCGTCACTCAGCATCAACAACAAAATTCGGTCGGATTTTCAATACAAACACGTCAAGACAGTTCTTCTATACAGATGAGAAACTTGGCGGGCGGGTCACAAAGAATATTTCCAACAGCCTGTTGGAGACCTTCATCAACTAACAACTGTCTTCGCTGGATCTATACTGAAAATCAGATGGCCAGGCCGGAAACAATCACCAACAAGAAACTATGGGAAGAAACAAAACAAAACAAGAACCAATCACCAACTAACAAATATACAGGAGAAAGTGGAGATGGATCGGACATTCGCTGAGGAGGAGGCCGCTGGATGACATCACGCGCGCGTCAAGCCATTGCTCGAGTGGAACCCGGAAGGGAAGCAGTGTGTGGGACGTCAATGCAAGGGTGACATGGAGGAGATCGTGTGAAGAGGAGTTGAAACAGTATGGACTAACATGGATACAGGTGAAAAGTACAGCAGAAGACAGAAGCAAGTGGAGATGTGCAGTTGAAGCCTTATGTTCCACTAGGAACCCAAGAGAACAATAATAATAATACAAGTCCTTTGATAAATAGCCGGATATCATACCCATTTCAAAAATAATGTACATACAGAGAAATAGCCTTTTGTATCCGTCATAGGACTCTGTCATCAATCAATAGATTACGGCTGATGCAAGGTCATAAAGAAGTAAAGTGGTCAACACGTTATATCCTCTCATTCTCTATCCCTAAGCTAGGAGTAATTGTAGTCCAGCTGTGCAGTATCATCTTATATATATATGCGAGGGGCAAATCGTTTGCCAAAACATACTAAGATCAGTTTGACTGGACGCTAGTCTGTAAGTAACTAATGTTATGCGTCTAGTTGTTGCTGTTCGGTGTAGACTGAATACTAAAAGTCATCACGATACACTCTAAATTGTTATTGTCAATAGATAGATAGATAGATAGTTGGAGGTAATCGGTAGGAAGCCTTGGACCTAAGTGAGTTTCGTGCTAGCTGGTATTGTCATCAATAAGGCAAAACTTGGCTGACGATGTTGATGTGTCAGTTGAGCAAACTACCATACTCACACATCCGCACAGATAAAAAGTTTTTTTTAATTACACAATATGAAACTACACAACTTACATCTTTGCTCCGTAATGAAATACAGCTCAATTTCTGTATAAATTGTAAAATTATATGAGGATTAAAGTTTTCTATTGAGCGTATTTCATCGACTTCATTAGACAAATTATTAATCCCTTTTTCATACTGATATAAGTTCCCATCACTGTGAACATTTAATGCTTGTACCAACATCTAAAATAAGAAGAAGAAGAAAGTATGACAGGAATAATCCAATAGTTATACAACGAGATTCATATTTATCATTCGAATTGACCCTATTCAGGTAGTTACCTGGGGTTCCAGTGGGAAGCCGTGACCAGTAGGATGCAGCAGGTTGAAGATGAGGCAGTAAATCATCGAAAAAGACATTGCGAAATGGTCGCGCTGTGTCATAAATTCGCAGAAGTTAGAATTCAAGGACCATTAGATCGGGTCCCAGTGGCTCAATGGTCTACGAGCCAGCTCGCCTTGTAACCAGAAGGTCCTGGGTTCGAACCTGATTGTTGGATGTGTACCCCTGAGGAGTCTCCAACTAGGACGAAACAGCTGTCCAGTACTCCTAGGTTTACCAGTGGTTCTCTAACTGATGTCAGCTCATGATGAACTCCTCCATGGAATCGAATATAGTACGCAATTCAGACAAAGTTCGTATTCTTATCGTTTTGTCAAAACTCATATAGGTAACCAGCTATTTTAATTAAGTTGGATGGAATATTCTCCTCGTGTAGAGCCTAGTACAAAACTGTAGCCGTTCAAGTTGTCACACTGCATAAACTAAACAATCGTTTCTTTTATACCCTACATCCCGAGTGGAATATAAAGCTTCAAGCTTTTCAAGTTTTCAGGAGCACTGGCGCTGATTTTTACACAGTGGAGTTGCTAACCTCATACACACCCAACCTTTTCTAATTTCCAGGCTTATTACTACCGTATGGGCAAAGTTTAGGAGTACGTCAGACAGGAATCGAAAGTTCGACCATATGCGTGGTTGGCGACGGCGGGGAGGGAGGATTCTACCGTTGAACTACTGGCACATTTATTTTTTTTTTGTATATCTTATTTTATTCCTTTATGTTCCCAGTAGTGGAACTTAGGGCTACTTCAAGGTAGAGCTTAGAAGTTTCGGTAGCAGTGGTGTTTATTTCTACAGGATAGGCTTACTAGCCTCATGCCCAACCTTCCCTCTAGCAGTCTTATTACTGGTTTAGCAAGGTAAAGGAGTGTGTCAGCCGGGGCGTGGTTAGCGAGCACGCTATCGCTGCCACTGACACTGAAAAAGCCCACACCAAGCATACTTGAACAAAAATATTTCACATTTATCAATTCTGCATTGCGCTTACATTCTTGTCTACTGCTACAGATAAATAACTTAGTAGAGTTTTAATAACGGGTTGTTTCTTATTATTATTATTTTCATTATTAGCACCATTATCATTGTTTCCCAATAATTCGCTTTCCAAGGTAGCAAGTAATGTCCAAATACTTTCACTGCTTTGTATCTCCTGTTCAATATATTCATGCAATAATCGGTTGACTCGATTTGTAATCAATGTCAATTCAGAAGTACCTGAAAACAAACGACAGGAAAAGGAGATATTAATAATGATAATAATAATTTGCTTCAATCCAAAACAGTACTTGTGATACAGAATGGAATTCTCAGCATTTCACTACAGTATTGCATCCAGTTTGTATATTGTCTGTCTGTCTGGATTCAACATAGAACTTGGCACCGAAGTGCACCAGTTACAGTTGCCACGTTCCAAATACTACCCAAAGGCAGACAAGAAGATGAGTGAAGAGAATCAATAGAGTTTGACAGGTATAAGAGCGAAACAGAATGGGTAATGGTAGAAAGGAATATGAAAGATTACAGAAACTAAATACACAACAATAAGGTGTTTCCTTCAGATGACCAACAGGCTAGCTATGCCCTCTTCCCACTCATCACCTCCAACTCACACAATCTCCTCCATGTCACCTTAGCACGACCCACTCGTCGCTTCCCATTTGGACTCCATTTAGGTGATATCCTGCATTGCGCGTGATGTCATTCGACGGCCTCCTAAGCGGCCTATGCCCGATCCATCTCCATTTTCTCCCACATATTTGTTCAGCGATCGGTTTTTGGTTGCTTTTTTCCCAGCCAGAGTTTCTTGTTACTAATTCTTGCCGCCGGCCATTTGATCTTCATAGTATGGAGCCAATAATGCGGGGGGGAAGGCTGATGATAAAAGTCTGCAGTAGTCTATTGGAAATACTTTTCGTGACACACACACACACACACAGCTCCTTCTGGAACACGTGTGTAGATACCGATCACGCACTGGTCCGGGCTCGTGTGTGCTTACGACTGAACGGACGTAGGAAACAGCTGGCGGTAAAACCATTACGTCCCCAGCTCGATCAGGAAACTAAATCCCTATTTGAGGAAGAACTAGCTAAACGCATATCTGAATCCGACAGCTGTGCTCACCCTGGAGAAGCCTGGAAGAATATTCAGTCAGCTATAGATACAGCTGTAAAAGCTGTGAATAAAACAAATCCAAAGGTGAGTAAAAACCACTGGATTTCGACTGCCTCATCCGAACTGATAGATGCTAGAAGACTTATTCCGGCGAGCTCCGAATTCAATGAGGAGCGAAAGCTGCACAAAAGGAAACTTACTAAAAGTCTCCGCAAGGACCGTGAACAGTGGTGGGTGACAAAGGCGAAAGAGATGGAAAAAGCATTGGCGATAGGCAACACTAGGCAACTCTTTAGACTCATCACAGAATCGGGCGGGAGAAGGCAATTCATAAGTGAGACTATTTCTGAGAAAAATGGCTCCTTAATTAGCTCTCAGGATAGACGCCTTGAACGCTGGAAAGAACACTTTGAGGAACAATTTAACTTGCCTACAGCCACACTGAACCTCCCCGCCATCCACCACGTACCCGAATGGGATATAGACACTGGTCCGCCGTCTGTAGGTGAGGTTACAAAAGCTATCAGTAATTTGAAACGAGGCAAAGCGGCAGGACCCGACGGAATTATTCCGGAGGTGTTTAAATATGGGGGTGACATACTAGTTTGTAGATTAACTGAGGTACTAGGCAAAGTCTGGGAATCAGAGACAGTACCATCAGACTGGGGTAAGTCACTTATTATACCGATATTCAAGAAGGGAAACAAGTCCTCGTGTGATAATCATAGGGGGATCAGCCTAACGAACATAGTCTCTAAAATCCTAGGCTCAGTAATCATGCATAGACTAAGCAGAACTCGGGAGGAACAGACAAGGGAAAATCAAGCAGGCTTTAGACCAGGTAGAGGGTGCATAGATCATATCTTCACTCTTCGACAGATTCTAGAACATAGACACACTTTTCGGCGTCCAACAATTGTCATATTTCTTGACTTGAAGGCGGCCTTCGACTCCGTGGATCGAAAGGTACTATGGCAATGTCTGACTGTGAAGGGAGTGCCAAGAAAGTACATTGCACTAATCAAGGCACTCTATTCAAACTCACGTAGTCGTGTAAGGGCTTATGGGGAATTGTCATCTGAATTGGTAACAACCAGTGGTGTCCGACAGGGATGTCCACTTTCCCCATTTCTGTTTAACTTCATCATAGATATGCTAATGGAAGTATCCTTAACTGAACGTAGTGACTTAGGAATCGACTTGTTACCAGGGAATAATCTAATGGACTTAGAATATGCAGATGACATAGTCCTGTTAGGGGAGGATGCTGACAAAATGCAGAGTCTTCTGAACACCTTGAGCAGCAATCTTCGTATGTTTGGCATGCGATTCGCCCCTGCAAAATGTAAGATGCTGCTACAGGACTGGACCACGTCAACCCTAACTTAGTGATAGGGAGTGAAGTGATAGAACATGTTGACCACTTCACCTACTTGGGAAGTTGTATTAGCACCAACGGACTGATTGGCGATGAAATCTCAGCACGGATCCGAAAAGCTCGAGCTGCTTTCGCTGACTTACACCATCTCTGGCGTAGGCGTGACATCCGGTTATCAACCAAGGGACGTGTGTACTGCTCATCAGTTCGCTCCGTCCTTCTCTATGGCTCTGAAACATGGCCAATACGCGTTGAAGACATGAAAAGGTTGACTGCTTTCGATCATAGATGTCTGCGATCTCTGTCTCACGTTAGGTGGTTTAATAAGGTAAGTAATGTTGACGTTAGGCGTAGAGTGTTGGGCAAAGAGGGAAAATCAATCGACGAGGCTATAAAGTTACATAGACTAAGATGGCTAGGTCACGTGCTGCGCATGCCTAACCACCGCCTCCCCCGACGGGCATTGCTAGCTGATATAGGTTCAGGTTGGAAAAGAGCCAGTGGTGGCCAAACAAAAACATGGCCTCATCAATCCATGAAATCCTTGACAGTTAAACTGAGTCAGGTAGGGAGATGCAGACTTCCGGGTTGGGGCCCTCGGGACTCTAGGAATCAATGGCTGGAGACAATAGGTGACATGGCTCAAAATCGTTGTCAATGGCCAGCGCAGATGTATTCAGTCTCTGTAATCTTTCATATTCCTTTCTACCATTACCCATTCTGTTTCACTCTTATATTTGTCAAACTCTATTAATTCTCTTCACTCATCTTCTTGTCTACCTCTGTGTGCTATTTGGAACGTGGCAACTCGAACTGCTGCACTTCGGTGCCAAGTTCTATGTTGAATCCAGACAGACAGACACAGCAGAAGATTTTCAAACTGATTTCGGTTGATGAAGACTTGATGTCTTGACTTTCCGATTCTATCTCGCCTAGTTAACTAGCTTGCTAGTTTTCTAGCCAGTAAAGAGCCCAAGTAAAGAGAGAGGGCTGGGTGTGGGGCTAGCAACTCTACACCAAAATAGCTATCAAACTGCTAGAGAAACTTCAACGCCCAATCAACCAAATCCCTACAAACCATTACTTGAATATCAATGAGATGCTCACTGGCGACTTGCCCTATTCAGGTTGGGAAGTCGTGACCAGTAGGGTGCGGCAGGTCAGGTGCGGGGACAAATACTCGCCAGCCAGGAGATTGACTAGGGGTAGCACTATATCGTGAATTGGCAGAAGTTAGAATTCATGGGCTGGCCATTGGATCTGGTCCCAGTGGCTTAATGGTCTACGAGTTAGCTCGCCTTGTACCCAGAAGGTCCTGGGTTCGACCCTCCTGTGGTGGGTGCGTACTGCTGAAGAGTCCCAAACTAGGACTAAACAGTTGGCTGCCCAGTACTCCCTGCAGGTTTTCCAATGGCTCTCTAACCAATGTCAGCACATGATGAAATCTTGTCACCAATCAAGCAAATCCCAACAAACCAATACTTGAATATATAACAATAGTTGAAAAATATATATCCACATAGCTTACCACCATCAGTACAGTCTTTAGGATTATCATCGTCATAATCTGAATCACCGGTTAAATCAATTACATTCGATGACGATGATGATGAAGTGTGAATAGATGATAAAAGCTGGCTAACTAAATCTGTTAGCTTCAATGAACTTGTATCACAGACCATAATCAGTATACAAAATAATCTACATAATGCCTTGAAAAAAAATCAATAAAAGACAACAGGAACTAAGATAAATAGTACAGTAGAGTAATGAAATATATATATATATATATTTGTATATCTATCCTGGCTCAAAATGCATCACCCGACACGTTTCATGAAGAGAAACATGATACCAAAGCCAAAAAGAGAAGAATGCACTCCTTAACAGGGGAATCACCAGTTCCCTAGAAAAGATCGTTCCCGCAGCAATTCACTAGTCACTCACTGCTTCTAAGCAGTGGTCAAAGACAAACTTCTGCATATAACCACTCCAAAACACTTCATCAACACCTGTTACAGCATCTGAACTGATTCATTCATCCTAGTTTGGGAATCATCGGTAGTACTCACTCTCCTATCTGGGGTTCGAACCCAGGACCTTCCGGTTACAAGGCAGCCTGGCTCGTATACCATTTAGCCACTGGGGCCCGACCCGATTTAATGACTCATGAATTCTAGTGAGAAGTCGTCGTGACCAGTGAGGTCCATCCAGATGTCACGTGTGTGAGGATGGATGTCCCACCGACGACATTGGTTGGTCCCAGTCGCGCTAAATGCCTCACGAATTGGTAGAAGTTAGAATTCATGCACTGGCTGCCCATTGAATCAGGTCTCTGTGACTGAATGGTATACGAGCCTGCCTGCCTTGTAACCGGAAGGTCCTGGGTTCGAACCCCGGTGAGGTTGGTGCGTATTGCCGATGATTTCTAATGGTTCTCTAACTGATGTCAGCTCGTAGTCAAATCTGTATTCATATATATATATATATATATATATATATATATATATATATATATATATGCAATATAAAACAATAGAACAAAGATATCTTACTTACCTCAAGAGGAATAACATTATCAATAAACTCAGAAAATACTAACAATGCGCTTAAATGATTTTTAGGCCATTTAACATACACTGCACTATTAAAATTATCCATATTTGCCAGTACAGCATGCAGTCTTAGCGTGAATTCCTTCAAACCTTTTAGAATAATATTTGGTTTTCTTGGATAACAACGGCCTAAGTAAGACAGGGAAATACAATATTTGAAAGAAAAAAAACGACAATACAGGAATAAGAAAGAAATATCATAAACCATTAAATCAATACTTAGCTAGTTTAGTCAGTAGACGACAGTGAAACTTAGTCATAAGGTCCAATTCGACATTGGCCAACCAGGCACAGGGTTCAGAGATCGACTTTTTAGCCACCGAACCACTCCTAAGCCTCTTTCAGGCACTAAAAAGCCTGGTACCGGCGTCCAACAATTGTTATATTTTTTGACCTAAACACGTCATTCGATTCTGCCGACCGACAGGTACTCCGGCGATGCTTCGTTGTAAAGAGAATGCCAAGAAAACACATTGCACTGATCAAGACACTCACTCTACTCAAACTCATGCAGTCAGCCAGGTGAGGGCTTACGGCGAATCGTCATCTCAAGCGGCAACAACTAGTGGTGTTCGTCAGGGATGCAAATTATCCCCAATTCTATTCAATTTCATCATAGATGTACTAATTGACTTAACGCTAATTCACTTCAGAGACTCGGGGACTGACTTGCTACCAGGGAATAATCTCATTGACTTAGAATATGCAGATGATATAGTCCTTCTAGGCGAGGACGCTGACAAAATCCAGACAGCCTCTTCTGAACACCTTGACCTGCAATCTACGAATGTTTGGCATGCGACTCGCTCCCTCTGTCAAATGTAAGATGGTGTTACATGACTGGACTACACTAACTCCTAGGTTAGAAATAGGGAGTGAAGTGGTTCGTGAAGCGTGTTGACCACTTCACTTATTTCAGAACTGCCATCAGCCCTAACAGGTTGATCTCTCACGAAATTTCAACAGGGATACAGAGGTCTGGTTTCTCTTATGTCAGTTTACGCCGACTCTGGTGAAGATGTGATAGCCGGCTGGCTATCGACCAAACGACGTGTGTACTATTAAGTAGTTTGCTCCGTCCTCCTTTATGGCCAGCTGTGAGACCTGGCTATTGAGAGTGGAAGACATGAAAAGTCTGGCTAGCTGCCTTTGATCATAGGTGTCTGCGTTCTATCTCCCTCCCGTGTGAAGTGGTATAACAAGGTGAGCAATATTGAGGTGAGGCATCGGTCAAGTGCTAGGTAAGGAAGAAAAATCAATCGACGAGGTTGTGAAATTACATCGACTGAGATGGTTAGGAAATGTGTTACGCATGCATTCCTAGTCATCGCCTTCCTCGACAATGAGAAATGTTAGCTGACATAGGGTCAGGCTGGAAAGGAGAGAGCTAGCGGTGGTCAAACCAAAACATGGCTTTACCAGTCAATCAAATCCACAACAGTTATTTAAAGCCAGGTAGCCAGTCAGGTAGGAAGATGTAGAGTTCTTGACTGGTTGGGATCCTCGGGACGATAAAATACAATGAAGTCTGGAAACAATTGATGATATGGCTGGCTGTCTCAGACGTATCCTCTCCTTGTGACTTATGATTTCCAGTGAAATTATATTGTTCTTCGTTACTACTATTCCTTTGTTTCACACCTCTGTTTATTATCTCTATTATGCATTTCTTCTACTTTCTTCTGTTGGTTTGTGTGCTACAAGGGGGGGGGGGCGGGAGAGTGGCGAATTGAACTGGTGCACATCGGTGCAAAGTTCTATGTAGAAAATAGACAGACAGACACTAAACAATAGGTTCATGATTGGTTTGTCCTCCTAACTTCTTATTGCTAATTCACGCTGACTATCTGATCTACGATAGGGAACGAAGGGAACAACCCTTGATGAAAGTCTGCAATGGCCCGTCGGAAATACTTTCCACTGACTCGTTGTGAGCCAAGTTTGCCTTTTTTGCCTATATAAAAGAACTGAGTTAACAGTGGTGTTCGAAATCATAATTTTCTTTTTTTTTTTACTTTTCTCTGTGGAGTGCAGACGATTTTCACACTGATTTATAGAGTATGCTGTAGTCTGTTTCATCACTTTCCCGATTCTGGTTTTGACTTCCTCGTATGTGTGCCGCTTGTGCCGAGCTGAAATAACACTGCTCAAGTAAATGAAGAAGGTGAGTGACCTTGTCCAGATGTCTTTTTTTTTTGTTTTACAGCTTGATTCCACACTGTATTTTTGGTACAAGTATGGAATTTTCAGCATGGATATCGGTAGCCCAAATTTTGCAGGCCGACCATAGATATCAGGTGTGCGTCGGTGGGGGTTCGAACCTCGGACCATGTGCATCGTCGGCGAGAGTCCTAACCACTGTGCCACCGACGATAGTGATTAGTGTTGTTGGTTGATTGGTTATCTGCATCACATCTGTCTTCTGTATGCTCAGTGTTAAAGTCCTGTCTCTGCTGCTTCTTCTACCAGCCTGTTTGATGTTCGCCTGTAGACCTTCGATTTTCAGGTGACATTAGACAGACATCTGCGAAGTCCAGAGCTTATAGAGTCTTTTTATCGGTCTGAAGTGTTCCCGTCTTCTCGCCGCTCACAGTCTAGCATGAAAGGGTCAAGACGGATTAAACACAAACTTTTTCAACGAACCAACCAGGCACCTATCACTTTACAAATATGTGAAAAGAAGCGGATAAACAGTGAGAAGACTATTGAATGACTTTACACTTCATGCAGACCCCCAAGTGGAATTTATGCAAGAAAAACAACGGAGAGTTGTGGGTTGGATCAAGGGTGAAGTTGAGGAGATCGTTTGTGAATAGGAAATGAAAGCTTCTGGGCATTTATGAAGCCAGCTAAAAAGATAGGAGGACTTCAGAGAAGAGTTTGAAATGGTGATATGCTGGTAAAGTTCCCTATGTCCCACGAGGAACCCAATGGGACTAATAATCGTAATAATGGTAATGAAATAAATTTAACATACTGACCAGGAATAGATCAACTGTGCAAAAGAAAGTAGTTATTACGTAACAAACTGCCTCCTAGACTTGAATAAAATTTAAAATTCAGCTAAGAGACTCTTTTCAACGAATTTATCATCCAGCTGTACAATCGTATATATATGGTTGTTTTTTAAGAAGTTATATCCGGTGAGGGAATTGAGTCATAGGTGTGAATGCATAAAATAATAATAGTAGTATGAAATGCAATTAAAACCTGCTTGTGTGGAGCTAGGTATATCGGTCGTTCGACTCGAGTTTTGTCCAAGAGGGTGCAAGAACACTATCCTGCATGGCTACGAAAAGGTGGAAGTGGAGCAATAAGAAGCGCGATCATTGAACATCTGGTCGATAATGATCACACTATCTCTATAGCCTCCGCCTTTAAATTCATCTACAAGGCAAAAAGCAATCTACCCAAATCCCTACGTACCCGACTCATCTGCATTGCTGAAGTTTTGGCTATCGAAACAGAAAAGCCAGATCTCTGTGTACAGAAAAAGTTCGTCCCATCCCCCTCCAATTTTCATAGTCTTAATCCCTCTATGCTAAAATATGGTAATCCCCAATCATATTTTGGCTATACCAATTTTTCATTTTGTCTATTTAATTTGTCAATTGTTACTATTACTACTCTCACTTTGAACTGTGCCCGGTATTATTTCACTTGTTCCATTTGTCATTCTAAATCCATTCTCTTTTTTACAAAGTTCAATTCTATGCTATCAAATTTCACACAATACTACGTAACATTTTTATTTTATTTTATTCGATTTGTCTACTATTCCTATAATTGCACACCCTTTTTCAAGTTCTATCCATCCCATGAACTATTCTGTGTATGACATTAATTTGTTCTGCCACTTGACATTTAACTATGATTATAATCACAAACATTTTAGATTTAATTGCATTTCATACTACTACTACTACTACTATTATCATTATTATTTTTATGCATTCACACCTATGATTCAATTCCCTCACCGGATATAACTTCTTAAAAAACCATATTTATACGACTGTACAGCTTGATGATAAATTTGTTGTTGAAAACAGTCTCTTCTCTGATTCACAACTTGTTTTGATTTTCTATATGTTACAATGGGAATTTTCCATAAGTTAAATAAAATTGTCAAAATAGTGTTTGCAAGGTGAAATGAGTAAACTGTTCTTTTTGTTTGATGTGTTTTCACCAGATGCAAACAATCTGAGTATTAACCAAAAATTTTTGTTTTGTTTTTGAATTCACTGAGTATTTTACTTCGCTTGCCAACCAAACATGTACGTGGTCAAGATATTCGACTTCCAGCTGACGTGCTACTGAACAACCCAGCTGATGATGATTAGTCCTGAAAAAAAGGGTGGTTAACCGTGATACTAAGCAATCTCACCCATTAAGGATTATACAACGGCCCATAGCCACCAAAAGTTCAAAGCTTGAAGCCTTCCTTATGTTCTACTCGGAACATTTGCGTTCCGGCTGCAATACGGCGCAATGTTCTCTTTCTTTTATATAAGGGTTGGGTTGCTAGCGTCGTGCCCAAGCATACCTCAATACTAGCCTTTCTGTCTGTCTGTTTTCGACATAGAAATTTGCACCGATGTACACCAGTTCAATTCGCCACTCCTCCCCCTCCCCCCCCCCCTTGTAGCACACAAACCAACAGAAAAAAGTAGAAGAAATGCATAATAGACACAGTAAACAGAGGTGTGAGACAAAGGAATAGTAGTAACGAAGAACAATATAGTTTCATTGGAAATCATAAGTCACAAGGAGTGGATGGATGCATCTGCGCTAGCCAGCCATTGAGAAAGATCACTTTGAGCCATATCACCAATTGTTTCCAGACTTCATTGTATTTTACCGTCCCGAGGACCCCAACTAGTCAGGAAGTCTACACCTTCCTAAGCGGCTGGCTAGCTTAAAATAACTGCTGTGGATTTGATTGACTGGTAAAGCCATGTTTCGGTTTGACCACCGCTAGCTCTCTCCTTTCCAGCCTGACCCTATATCAGCTAACATTTCTCATTGTCGAGGAAGGCGATGACTGGGAATGCATGCGTAACACATGTCCTAACCATCTCAGTCGATGTAATTTCACAACCTCGTCGATTGATTTCCCCCTCCCCTTTATCTAGAACTCGACCGATGCGTAACCTCAATATTGCTCACCTTGTTATACCACTTCACGCGGAAGATAGAACGCAGACACCTATGATCAAATACAGCTAATCTTTTCATGTCTTCCACTCTCAATGGCCACGTCTTACAGCCAAAAAAACGGACGGAGCAGACTGAAGAGTAGTACACCCGACCTTTGGTCATCAGCCAGCCGGACATCAAATCTACACCGGAGACGGCGTAAACTGGCATATGCGAAACCAGCCTTCTGTATCCGTACTGAGATTTCGTCAGAGATCAACCCGTTAGGCTGGCTGACTTAACTTCCCAAATAAGTGAAACGGTCAACGTGCCCCAACAGTCCACTCCCTATTTCTAACCTAGGAGTTAGTGTAGTCCAGTCATGTAACATCATCTTACATTTGACAGAGGGAGCAAATCGTATGCCAAACATTCGTAGATTGCAGGTCAAGGTGTTCAGAAGACTGCATTTTGTCAGCGTCCTCACCTAGAAGGACTATATCGTCTGCATATTTTAAGTCAACGAGAATATTGTATTATTATTATTATTTATTATTATTATTTGATTACAGCTTGATGCCACACTGTATTTTTGGTACAAGTATGGAATTTTCAGCATGGATATCGGTAGCCCAAACTTTGCAGGGCAACCATAGATATCTGGTGTGCGTCAGCAGGGGACGAACCACGGACCATGTGCATATATATATATATATATATATATATATATATAATAACCAAATAGACAGTAGCTAACCTAAGTAAGTTTTCTTTGAGCAATCTTGAACTGTACTCCATATTTCGGTTACTCTACTTCTTATCTTTTCTTGGGCTGCTGTTGATTCACGAAGAATATTTTCTCCTGCTTTCTTACGTTGAAGAACCTAAACAGAAATTTTAAAAAGCATTATGAGAATACCAATAATAATAATCACCAGCTGACTTGGAGTAGGATGATTTTCTTCCTCTTGAACTGATTTCTCTCATTTTGCAAGAATAAACTGGTCAGTCACTGTTAACACTGAAGCAATATTGTCTAGAAGGATAGTAAAAAGCTTATATTTATTGATATAGCATTATTGTTCCCTTGGGTTCCTAGTGGGACATACGGCTTCAACTGCACATCTCCACTTGCCACTTCTGTCTTCTGCTGTACTTTTCGCCTGCATCCATGTTAGTCCATACTGTTTCAACTCCTCTTCACACGATCTCCTCCATATCACCCTTGCATTGACGTCCCACTCACCGCTTCCCACTCTGTCGGGTTCCACTCGACCAATGGCCTGACGCGCGATGTCACCCAGCGACCTCCTTCTCAGCGAGTGTCCAATCCATCTCCACTTTCTCCTGCATATTTGTTGGTTAACGATTGGTTCTTGTTTTGTTTTTTCCCATAGTTTACCATAGTTGGTGATTCTTTCCGGCCATCTGATCTTCAGTGTAGAGCCAGCGGAGACAGTTGTTAGTTGATAAAGGTCTGCAACAGGCTGTTGGAAATATTCTGTGACTCACCCGCCAAGTTTCTGATCCGTATAGGAGAGCTGACTGATTTGACGTGTTTGTATTGAAAATCTGACCGAATTTTGTTGTTGATGCTGAGTGACGAAGATTTCCAGATTGATTTCAGACTGATGAATGTGTTTCTCGCTCGATTTGACATCCTCGTCAGTTCCAAATGTCTGTAGTTGAGACAATGCTCCCTCCATAGATAAGTGAATGAAGTAACCTCTTTCAAATCGCTCGCGTTGATGGTGATTGGCGCTTGATGTTGCTGCTGCTATTGTTGTTGTTGGTTGGTTATTTTCATAACCTACGTCTTCTCTATGTTCACTTGGAGTCCTGTCTTCGTCGGCTGCTTCTTCGACCAATGTAGGTCTTCGATTTTGTGTGACATCAAACATAAATCATCCACGCGAGAAATCCAGGTCTTCTACATTCTTCACGTCGGTCCAGGCAGGATATCCCTGTCTTCTGGTTTCCCAATCACTGTTTGACGCATAATCCAGTCAGTCCACCACAATTAGGAATATCATTCATTGGTGATAATAAGCACCTTTGTCTGACTCCCGTGTAAAAGGCTTAACTGATGAAAAAGCCTTCACAGCAAGGAGGACAACACAAAATACGACATGTCGTTGATTTACTTATGGGATGCTTGCGAGGCATGCACAGGAGGCGAGAATTTCACATCTCCCAGACGATACACTCCTAAAAACCTCACTTAACCAGTAATAAGCTTGAAGAAGAGGGAAGGATGGGCGGTGAGATGCTAATAACCCCAACGTAATCACTGTTGAATCTTTATGTTTCACTCGGAATGCAATAATAGTTAGAGATAAAAAGACGGTAATACAATGATTCTAAACTATGATGAACATATTTAAAGCATTTCCAACAAATTGCAAAAACCTCTCATGAATATTTGGCCTTACTGGAGAGTGTAGAGAGACAGAAGTTGACCGATCAGAAAGGATAAAAACAACAACAGCAACAAGGGACTCGAGCAGTGCAGCCAACTAGCCATCCACCTATTTATTATCCAATAAATAAATACACAGAAACAAAAATAGAGATGGATCGCAAAATATGCTGAGAGATCATTCAAGTGACACCTCAAGTGATACGAATCCAACCATCGAATGGACCCTGAAGAGGAAGCGATAAGTTGATTGGGTGGGTTCAAGGGTGACAGAGTGGTCTTATGGTATGTAGAGAAATTCAGTGCCTTGTGAACAGTTGTGAAGTTAAGTGAAAATGATAACAGAGAATAAAGTATAGTGGAGATGCTCTGTGAGGTGTGGGTGTGTGTGGGGGTAAGAGCCTTCGGAACGCAAAAAATGAATAACCATGATAAATAAGATAACAAGACTTACCATAGGTTGGGAAATTCTTTTAATTCTAATCCCAAACTTAAACAATGCCTCAAATCCATCGTTTTTATTTTGAGAAGATACATTTTCATTGAATAAGACTTGCATATATTTTACAAATGATGATATTCTTTGATTCTTTAAGCAAAATGAACGATGAGCACCTTTACGAGGAGGAGGAGGAGGAGCAATTTTATGACAACCGAATTTTCTGCGAATATCTTCAGCAGACATTCTCATTTGGCTTATATGACTTTTATTGCATTTTAATACAGTGAAAGCTTTTTCAACACATTCAGCAAATTGTTCAACTTTAAATATTTCTAATACAACTGGTAACTTTGTAACTGGTCCAAGAAGGTGGTAATCATTTGGTGATACTTCCTATTTTGTTTTTTGAAGGATTGAAAAAGAAAGAAAGTGAGAAGAAAACTTGAAAATAACGCCTTTTTCAAAAACAAAAAATTTAGGTAAACATACCAAACAAACTAAGCAACCTTGACAGTTTTAAACATAATGCAAACATTCCATTCACTCTATGCATACCTTCAACAAAAGAAAACTTCTAGACTCAGTGCTGACAATAGGTAAACAACTGTTGAGAAGAAAAGCTTTAGCTTTAGAGCTTATGACAACAGCGATATCAGCAATATTAGACTGAAGGCTGACGCCACAAGATAGCTGGATAATTGTCTATAGAAGATACTTCCTGTCTCTGTCTGTCTGTTTTCGACAGAGACATTTGCACCGATGTGCACCAGTTCAAGTCGCCACAATCCATTACTTGTAGCACACAAACCAAAAGAAGAAAGTAGAAGAAATGCATAATAAATAGAAACAGTAAACAGAGGTCTGTCTGTCTGTGTTTTCGACATAGAACTTTGCACAAATGTGCGCCAGTTCAAGTCGCCACACTCCGTGTAGCACACGAAGCAAGAGAAGAAAGTACAAGAAAAGCATGATAGAGACAGTGAGCAGAGGTGTGAGACAAAGGAGTAATAAAGAAAAACAAAACAGTTTCATTGGAGATCATAAGTCACAATGAGTAGATGCATCTGTGCTGGCCACTGAGAACGGTTTTGAGCCATGTCACCAATTGTTTCCAACCATAGATTTTTACCGTCCTGACGGACATCACCAGTCATCACGACTTGAGATGATAACTCGCCGTAAGCCCTCACCTGGCTGACTGCATGAGTTTGAGTAGAGTGAGTATCTCGATCAGTACAATGTATTTTCTCGGCATTCCCTTTACAGCCAAGCATTGCCAGAGTACCTCTCGATCGACACAATAGAATGCCGCCTTTACTTCCTGTACTTTTAAAGTGTCAGTTTGCAAGTATATTGATTCTAGGTTTCCTAAAAGCATATGTATCAAAAATTTGAGAACTATTGAAAATCAGGGAATACTGGACAGCTACTTCACCATGATTTGAGACTATTCAGCAGTACACATACACATCATGACCCTACTGGGTATAGAACCCAGGACCCTCAAGTGACGAGGCGAGTTTTTTGACCGTTCACCATTGATAGTAGTTAGAATTCATGGGTTATTAGATTCCATCACAGTGGCCGTGAATGTTTAGTGAGCCTGTCTTGTTGTGTAAATATCATCTTATTGAAGCCTGATCTACAACACAGTTCAACAGAGTCAGCAGCAGCTAAGTTACCGTAGCCGAAATAGGTCTATACGCCACTCGATCCTTTACAAATTCTGCAGTCAATCTACACTAAAGCTTTGGAATCAGAGTTTCCCAGCTCCTCTAGAGTAGGTCTTTATATCTACCAGTTTGGTTGTAGGAGCCAAACGTTCGTATTCACCCTTCCACCTTTATTAGGAGCACTCAAGCAGTGTGATGACAGCAAATATGACTTTCCTAACAGAGGTTATGAACGCATAGCCACGTGAAAGCATTTCGAGAGGAAAGCCAAAGTTTGTTCACACCTTCAGCCATACTAGCTGGTCTATGGAGGTGGGGGGGGGGCTACTAAGTCTTACAATTAAACTTCATTCCACCTATTCAAGTTTCACCAATGACGTAATTTTACAAATCTTTACAAAAATGTGTAACTGATGTAGTATAGTAACCCCCCCCCCCCAAAAAAAATGGAAAGTGAAGAAGAATGAAAATAGAACTTACACGTATAAATCTTGTAATATCCTCTAAAGTCAAAACATCACCTATTAGCGCATACACTAGTATTTTCAAGTTGACATGTTGTATTAATCTTGAATGCTCATTAAGACGTGGAATATTCCCCACATTAAGCCTTGCTTTCTTAAGATATTCTTGAACATTTGGATATTTTTGAAGTAATTCTTCTTGAACAACAGCAGGATTTGTGTATTGATGCTGTTTAGCAATCTTTAACAAGATTGACTGAACAACATTATTGACATCTTTTAAAGAATTAAATTGATGCTCAGACGTTGTTGATGAATTTGAACTTGATGGATGTTGTGCTGATGACATAATTCACAATAATTTTTTTATGATTGTTTAATGCATATATATGTTACGAAGAAATTAGTAGTTGCAGTTGACAAGACTGGACAGAAAATAAAATTAGAAAACGTAATTACTTTCATAAATACATGTTAAAAATTATATGAATATTCATGTGTCCAACTGAAAATTACAAATAGTATGGCCATGCGCACACACCGGGGTTCGAACTCAAGACCATCCGATCACATGGCAAGCTCGTATAGCATTCAGCCACTGGGACCCGATTCAATACGCACACACCGGGGTTCAAGAAATGGGTTTTCCAATGGTTCTCTAACTCATGTCAGCTCATGATGAAATCCCGTAAGCAATCAAATCACTACAAACCAACACTTGAGTATGATCATGCATTGGAAAAAATGGTACAACACCACCATAACAGAGTTTGCTATACCTAACACTGCTAGTTGGAGTTCACTAATACCAAAACTTATAAGCCAAAATACATTTTTGCACCGGAAAAGTCAACATCATTCATGGAATCAGGGTAATACACTCAGATTTTGTATTTAGTCACACATTTTGTCAATACACGAGACAGTAGAGGTTCATAAATGCTAAGCAAGGCTTTTACAGCTCTGCAAATGTCTTGTCATCAAGCCGTCAATTGATACTTCTTCAGCTTAACGACATAATGAGGCGTTCAAAACTTGACGAGATTTCTCAAGATACACATAATCGGTCTTTTCACCATTTAGAGAGGATTATATCATCTATGATTTAAATCGACCAAGTTCTGAGAAGTTAAAATCACACCTAGTTTCTTCAACTAAGGAAAATATCGACAAGAAATCCTTTGTATAGAAAACTGATCGCCATCTATTGACGTGATACATACCCAGAAACCTTTGAACAGATATGTGAATCACAGCACACAGGTTTGGTAAGTATAATACAATGTAACCGCAAGGCTTTAACACTATAAAATCCACTGCTAATCTGAGGTAGGCGTTCCATTTGCACGTTACATAAAATTGCTCCCCCCCCCCACTTTCAAGTACCACAGGAGGAAAGCAACTTACATAGTGTGCATCCATGACATACCAACCACACTCACGCTCTCATTAGTACGCAAAATCATCCTGCCTATAACCTTCAAACGTCATTTTATTTTCGCATACATTTACTTCCATACAAAATAAAATGTCCTACGGTTCCATCACCCACAGACATCTGAAAATATTGGATAACGATGGCTAAACGCAAATGGAAGACTATACAAAAATTCGACGTCTGTTAGGCACTGTAAGTGTGGCTTATACCTTTCTTCATATTTCTCTTAAATTTCCCGATTTCGATAGCATTGAGCGGCCCGAAAAATGCCTAGAAACACAAAAATTTTACCAAAGAGACTTCACTTGAAGTCAAAACCGAAATCGCATGCATATGATAAACGCAGAAGGTGAAAAAGATGGGAAAAAACAGTACTCAGTAACCTCAATTAGATATCCCAGCTAGCCGAATTAACAAGGCCACCGCAGAAAGTGCTCAAAAATTCGGCTGGCTGGAACGCTAATTTTGCTACTACGTTTCTGAAAAGCCCCCTAAGTGTGTCCCAAAGTTCTTGCAGTGAAAACCGACGGAAATTTCAGTTGGGACACTAACAAAACATTTTTGGGAAACTCGCCCAGTCGGTGAGTATTTATGGGACCTAGGACATCCCAAGCTTACAACAATCCTAAACTTATTCTGGCCTGTTCTTCGATAATGCCGTTTTATGGTAAATGAACATTTTATCTACCCAATATTTTCTAAAATAACAAAGAGAGCTGAGTGCTGAATTAGTGCCAGTCATGCTGAAAACATGCACTGAGTTCTAGTCTGTGCCATTAAAGAATCCATTTCAGAGCAGATTCAGAATTTAATCACTGCAGAATGTTAGAATTATTTCAGAATTAGTGAGATTTAATTCAGCACTATAGTAAGCTTGGGATGTAAGTGAAATAGTGGGCAGTTTTCCGTTCAAATTTGAGAAAAGATGACTGTTTTCGGTTGTAACGTAAATAAATTGAGAATAAGTGGGCTATTTTAGAAAACGACATGCATAAACTGGGAAAAGTGGAACAATAAAAATTTTTGAGACATGGCCCAAGCTTACTATAATGCTGAATTAAATCTCACTAATTCTGAGATAATCCTAACATTCTGTAGTGAGTAAATTCTGAATCTGTTCTGAAATTGACTCTCTAATGGCACAAACTAGAAGTCAAGGCTTGTTTTCAACATGACTGGCACTAATTCAGCACTGCGTGCTCTTCCTAGGTATTTCTAAGAGTAGATCGTCACCTACTCGGTTTGCTTACCAGAGTTGTTCCAGCCGTCACATGATATATTAAGCACGAAATAGCGTTAATTCAAAACGGAAAGATTTAATTCAGCACCCAGCTCTCTTTTAAAGCACGATCAGCGTTACTGTACAACATAGTGGGTAGACAAAATATTCATTTACCATGAAACAGCTGTTCTTCGATAATGCCTTGGTTAGAATAAGTTTATAACTGTTGTAAGTCTCTACATAGAGACTTATCAAGGTCTCTACTAGGTGGTTTCGTTTTTGGATGCTATAGTTTAACGAATGGTACAATAACAAAAAGCCATCGGGAATACGACAAACAACACACGCCTTTCAAGGTCATAAAAGTCAAATTAAGTAAAGCTCCAAAGTCTCCAACATCCAATATCTAATACATTTGAAGCAAGCTCATTAAAACATATCGATTTCTTGGTGCTAATCCGTCGATGTTATCAATCACCCTTGTGGGATCTAGTGTAACTATAAAAAAAGAGGATGGATGTCGGTTCATCTGGCGAAAAGTTTAATATCTCTCCCGAATTATTGTCACTCCGCATTTTACACTATCGCCATTTCTCTAAATTGTCCTGTATACTAATCGCAAAGAAACCGAAGAAGGAGTTGCTAGGATGCGCAGTACTAAAGGTTGCAGAATGTGTTAGCACCAAAGATTAAACCATAGAGATGAGATAGTGACAAGTTGTGTTTTTTAGTGACATCCCAGTCTGCCAAAAATGAATTGACTCCCTTTCTCAGCGCCGCATGGTCATTTGGATTCTCTTAAACTCGCTGAGTAATGAGCGATTTACGAAACAAGCAACCCAGATAGCTGTAACTTTGGAGGTAAGGCAAACAATTGGAAAAGGTCCAAAGTTCTATTTCTGCCCCCAATAGCTCTGCTTTATTTCTTTCCGGAAAGTTAAAGGAATAAAATATACATAAAATAATATCATATTGCGGCATGTGCTACCGATAAGACTTATCAGTAGAATGTAAAGAGATGTACATTGGCATAAAAACATCGATTAGCATGGAGATAGATTTGATGTCAGAGAAAGTAAATGATACAGTTTTGTGGAGTTCCACGGGAGACGTGAAAGAAACACAAATAGCTTTCATTGAAGCTTTGTTTATAAGGATACTAGTATCTAAATCAGTTCCTAGTTCCATTGGCGGGCGCGGTTGTTGTGTAGTTCGCTAAATGCTACTGTTAGTACTAGGGGACTACTGCAGTACACGATCCACTTTCGGTAAGTTTTAGCCAAGAGAGGTGGACAAATTATTACAACGCACTATTCTGCGTTGACGCAATGCTTTGTTCTGAGCTACGGCTACAGACTTATAACTGCTATTCAGTCCTAAATGATCCTGACATTTAGTAAACTTACTAGCACCCAGAGAATTACCGAATTTAAAAATAATGAGGCAGTTAGACTGGGTCGACTTTTCACGATGTCGTTTGTATTCACATGGAACACTAGACATGCCGCAGCAGTCGAGGATTTTGTGTTTTACAGTCTTCAGATGCAGCGAATCTGGGACGTTGAAAACTATAGCTTGGTGAGGAGAGGTTATACGATTCATCGCCTCCGCAGCCAAGCAGTCAATCAGATTTTCAGCTTTGTTTAGGTTGTCTGGAGACATGATAGGATGTTTTCTAACAGACAGGCTATTGGGCCTAAATCCGCGAGTTCGTTTTCAGTTACGTCCAGTAAAGACTTAACCTGGTCAACATCAGAACGGCTCTCCGTGGTATTTGAGACTGGTAGTGCATGCTATCAAACTGACCTAATTCTTCCTGAAGTTCATTTACTTGCCCCTCAACACCTTTCACAAGGCAACTTAATTTAAAGTAAACAGGAATCTCTAACAGAACATCTTTCACCTGTATTATGGGAGTGAGAAATGCACTCGAGCCACTTTCTGAGCTAGTAGTTGATACTGTATTAGAGGCCAGTAATGCGGTTAAAACCGAGCTTGAGCGACTGTATAAAACAACTGTTGTCAATGTATTTGATGACTGAACGTTTACGCTGTGCAATAACTGTTATTTTTTGGCTTTCCCCTCACTATGCTTTGTCAACAGAACAATGGATACAATAATCTATGATATGTTAAAATTTCCGAACTGAATTGATAATACTGTTTGAAACAAGCCCTCGCTTTAATGAAAACAGTGTGTTAACATGTCTCAAATCCTTAAATCCATCACTTAGCATAGGACAGGGTGGCTTAATAAGCATCATGCTTCAAAAGTGTGCTGATAGTCTGTGTTACCCTCCCACTCAAGCATTTAATGCATCGTTTCCCAGGGATACAGTACCTGTTGCCTGGAAGTAAATGAGGAAACTGGATGTAATAAAGTCGTCTTCTGGATTAAATTCAAATTTTAGGCCTATCAACGCCACGTATAAATTTCTGAAAAATTGTGGAGAAACTCCGTTCGCATATACTTAAACCCTTCTGAAATCTTTCTACGGCCCGAAGCAGATTGCTTACAAATGCAGTTGTCAGCCACATCTCGTAAACCGTTAATGCCCAGCTCTTGCTACGCTCGGGCTCACACTGTTCCTTCAAGTTTCTCAGAAACGCTTAGTAATAACGGACGAAAAAACCAAAACACCAATTGTTGACTCGAGGATTCTTTATTGTTACACCAACATATAAAATATGTTTCCACTAAGGTCTGTGAACAAATATTACAATAATAAATCACAATATTACTTCTGACGGTTTACTGCTGACTTCTTTCTGAACAGCGACCGATGAGACGATGACTGTCGTATTGATGCCTCCGCGAAAATTGGGGAAGTTGGTTTTGAGCAAACAACCATGAATTGATCGTTCAATCTTCAACTACATTGACACTCCCCGGCAAAAAATGGATCCATCACTTTTTTCCATCACGACCAATACACGTTGACTTGGGTGCCATTGCGAGAACCTGAGTCACATGGACAGAGCTGAAATGGAAAACAAACAGAAAAGCCAACACACCACAAGCATACCCACAGCACAATCTCACACATCAATGACGACCTGCGCCTTCCAGTTATAGGCATCCTCTTGCAACACAATCTCCACTTGGTAGAATGACTCTTGCAGACTGCAACGTGACCATAGCAGCACCTCACGATACTCTACGCACATCCTCATATCTACTCACTACCAATTACCACTGGAATCGCTTGTCACTCATTCTACCTCAGTTCTAGTAACGGTAACGTATGCGAGCCTCAGTCGTTTACACTCTTTCTCCCCGACGTGTGGGACCGCAGCCAACAATTATCCCCGTATGCATTTCATTCTCAGCAATAGCCTACCCGGCGTATACGACCCATCTGCTGTCCTTAACATCAATCAATTCATTCATGGATGTAGAAGACTCGAAACAACTTCAGAAGTAATCACGACGAAAATTTTAACAAAATTACGTAATGACAACAAGGTACGAAAACAACGAGTAAACACAATTAATCCAAAAAACACCAATTGATATGACACACCACACATATGTACAAACAGTACACACAAACTCGCGGATCGTGTCTCGATGGAATTCCTTTGAAGAATCGCAGGACTTACACCAGTACGCCTGCAACCCTTCTCAGGTTGACGATTGTAAGTTGTGGAATGTCCGGACACAAACAAGATTAACCAATAATTACAATAATTGGAACACACACAATTATTTAACACAAACATATGTACAATCAACGCATCAAATGTTGTGGATTCCGGCATGACAAACTACCCTTGAAGAACTGTAGGACCGAGAGCTGTACGCCTACATTCCTTCTCAGGTTGATGATACAAGTAGAAGTCGTCCGAACACAAACAGAATTACCAACAGCTAGATGACAGATGATATCAATTCAGTATATACAACATGTACAAAATCACACACCAAGCACATTGGACTGCTCATTGATGCGCTACCCTTTGAAGAATTGTAGGACTTACAGCAGTACGCCTACAACCCTTCTCAGGTTGACGCCCTAGGTTGGAAAATCGTCGCAGAGTTCATTTGCTGACTTCCTTCTATCAGCTATATCCTCAAATCTGAACGGCAACACGCTCATGTCATTGTATCGTAGAATATAGATGACGAACAAACATACGACGTATCTGGTCAACCAATCGTAGGCGCAGAGCAATTTACACCAAAGGTAATTGCATTCAAATAGTAACTTGAAACTAGAAATGCCTTTATTCATGAAAGTCAATTTAACAATTACTCTCTCGTTTACACCCGGCTTATCCTCACGAAACTGAGCAATATCTTTCGTCTTTTCAAACGGACTGGTACTAGCATAGTCATAGCACAAGATAATTGAGTTGATGGGCGCCTGTTTCATTGTGGATGACAACACCAACGACAACTGATTGATACCAGTTGATGAACTTAGCGGTGGATCAGAAGCTGTTGTTGTTCGGCATTCAGATAGTTGTCTAACTGCAAGATTACCACCACTGCTGTCTTTCACTACTAGTTCGGGTTTAGCACTATCATCTGGTGATAGGTGGGCTACACGCTGATCAATTACACTGACGGTCTCACAAGTATTCATGCCTTCTGCAACTGCATCTGCGTTCAATTCTACTTCACGTTGTAGTTGTGCAGAACGTTTATTTAACTTAGCAGTAGTAGGCATTCCCCCCATTTCATCATGATCAACCAAAGACAAATGTGCACTATCATGATCATTATCACAAATATTCAATTTACCATCATCTATCTGGTCGACTTCATCATTTTAAAACTCTTTAATAACAGCAGTGGATGATTTGGCTTCTTCCTCACAAATCCCTAAAGATTTTATACCTTCACTCTGACTAGTAATACCTTGTAAACTAGTGGAGTCAGAACTGCACTCTGAAGCAGTAACTCTATTCTGTGACACTCTATTCAACAATGGCTTACCAGTTGCAACTACGGACTTCTTGACCGCACCGTTATCGTCACACAATTCGGAGTCAGGCCTGGAGTTTACATTCAGCTTATCACTGAACTTGCTCACTGGTTCACAGTTCACCTTTGTATGCACCTCTTGCAAACGTGTAAAACACAACCGTGTTTGTCTTGCATCTTGTAACTTATCTGTTGAGGATGTGCTACGTGTCCTGTTACACTCACTAGGTCTATATGCATTACTAGACATCATGGAGCCTTCTCGATATCCACCTCTCTGAGGCCTACTCGTCATCAATGATTGCGTTTTACCCTCAGACTGCTCTATTCTAGGGGTGAGATTCAATATACTGGCAAACTTGCTCATAGATTGATTGACGCTATCTTTTACCAGTTTCAGGATATCATCAAATTTTGGCTCGATACC